CCTCCTCCACTGCTCCTGGTCGCCTCCCGTCCTCCCCTCCTCCTCCGCCGTCGTCGTCGGCGCCGTCATTGTCGTCGTTTGGCCTTCCTCCTCGTCGTCGTCGGCTGGGGGCGGCCCTCTGCGTCCCCTGGGACTTGCGGCCCCCCGCGGGGATGGCGTCGGAGACACTGTCCTTATCCAGGTGCAGGTTTCTGTGCCCGGACGCCCTTGGCGTAGGGACGTCAGAAGGACAGGTGCAATTCCATCGACGCTCTACGTTGGCTTTCTTCCCCCTCCGTGTTCCTCTGTTTTCCTTTCCCCCCTGCATTCTTCTTTTTCTGGGGAGTCCAGGGTGCGTGGTCGCCCTGACTTGCAGTTGGCACTCCGGTGCCGCTTGTACGGCCAAGGCGTGCTGGCAGATATCCAGCTGCCCAAGACACGGGGCCACTCCCACCCTTTGGGAGCCTCTCCTGGCCCGCGCTCCCGAGTTTGCCCGTGGCACCCGATCTGCGATAACTAACATGACCATTGGCGTGCGATTATTGTCCAGTCTACCTCCGCGAATCGGTAGTTCGATTCCCTTGGGCGGGGTGCTTGTTTGATACCGCGCGTGCAGGTTCCCCTCTTGTCCTCCTCCTCCTCCTCCTCCTCCTCCTCAGCCTCTCGTTTTCTTGTTCCTCCCTCCCCTCCTTTGCCTGTTCCCCCGTCGTGGCATGTCAGGAATTCGAAGTGTATTCTGACCTATGCCCAGTATTGAAGTGTACTGAAGCGCTGCTCCTTGCCTGTTGTTGTGTGATAACCGATGAAGTGAATGGTCGTCCGGATCAGGGGGGAGGCATTCACAACGCTTTGATACATTTTTCCTCTCTGCTCCCTCTCCGCCAGAGTCTCGGTGTCATTTTGTTGGTCGCTCTGCCTGCTCCCAGCTGCGCGCGTTCAGATTGCCGCTGAGTGCCTCCCATCGCGAAGCGATGTGTTGATACGACTTGCTATGCACGTGTCTCGTTGTGCTCGCTCGTTCGTGTATCGCGCGTGCGGGATAGCCCCCTGAGGGGCCGCGGATTTCTCAATCTCGCACGTTTCAGAACTGTCAGGACGTAGCTGTCACGTTGACACGCGGCACTGAAGACCCAGGAATTATGTGTTCGCGCGATTCAGGAATCTCAAATGTTTGTTTTTCAACGGGGCCCTTCCCGCAATGAACATACATTCTTGTAGTTAACAAGGAGGGAACTCTGGGTGCGGTGTATTGAAACATCGTTGGTACGTCTTCGGTTTACACTGGTCCTCCTCCTCCTCCTCCTCCTCCTCCTTCCCCCTCCTTCTCCACCTCCCTCTTCCTCCTCCTCCTCCTCCTCCACCTCCTCTTCTTCTTCTTCTTCTTCTTTTTCCTCCTACTCCTCCAAAGACCCCGACATCGTGGAACGCCAAGAAGATCTGGGCCGCTTCCCCGGGACCGTTCTTTCATCTCTGGCCGTTTTCTGAAGGTCCTCCTACGACGAACATTGGCAAACAACCTCGGTCGACCTGCTTCACGACGTGAAAGATCGTGTTAAAGTGTCCCCCTCCTCCTTCACCACGCCGTCCTCCTCCTACTTCTCCTGCTCCTCCTCCTCCTCCTCCTCCTTCGTGCTCCTCCTCCTTCCTCGTCCTCCTCCTCCTCCTCATTCTCCTCCTCCCCCTCCCCTTCCGGAAATCGGAAATCGGAACGAAGAGTCTGGCCGAACAGAACACAGCTCAAAACCGACCCGAAAGGAAGGGAGAGAGACGGAGAGAGAGAAAGAGAGAGGCTATGAGTGCCCCTGGGTGGCCTGACTGAAAAATCGCAGTCGGCAGCAGGGCCACCCAGGGGCGAGAAGGGGTCCTCCAATCCCCCGCCCCCGCCCTGTGACCGTCCGCATCCCCTTTCTCCAGGGTGAGAACCTGCTCTGCAGTGGGATCGGGGTAGGCGCTGAGCGTGGCCCATCTCGCGTTGCACCCTGGCTGGAGGGAGGGTGGGGAGATGTCATCACCATCATCGTCATCATCACCATCCTCATCACCTGCAGCACCATCGTCTGCATCAGCATACCATCAGCGCCAACATCAGCATCTGCATTCACATCAACATCGGCATCAACATCATCATCCGCATGAGCACCAGCATCAAAACCATCATCATCAACATCATCATCATCATCATCAACGTCCCTCCTTCCTTCCCTCCCTCCTCCCTCCCTCCCTCCCCCCATCCCTGCCCCCCCCCCATCCATCATAATTACTCCGTCTCTTTCCCCCCCCCCTTCTCCTTCTCTCTCCTCCTGGGATGGCGGCGGACGTAGGAGGGAGAGGGAGGAGGAGTGGGGGGAATGGGGAGGGGGGGGAGGCAGGGAGGGAGGGAGGCAGAGAGGGAGGGAGGCAGAGAGGGAGGGGTGAGAGAAGGCGGGAGGAGGAGGGGGGGGAGGAGGAGGAGGAGGAGGAGGAGGAGGAGGAGGAGGAGGAGGAGGAGGAGGAGGAGGAGGAGGAGGAGGAGGAGGATTTCTAGGATTTCCACCATCACGTAGATATTAAAAAACCCAACACTGCCAGGGCATGCGCAATGACCTCAAACGGCCTAGGATGGGAGTCGGACTCAGAGGTGCACGTGCACGTCCTACGCCTCCAGGACCGACCCCCCCCGAGGGGGGGGGGGCCCTGCCACCCGTCAGGCATTCCAGGCACTGGCCCGGGGCGCAGGACACCCCTCGCCACCTGGCGGGGCACCTGGTGCGAGTCTCGGGGCGGGTGCCCTGGCCTGCTCCCCCCAGTCCCCTTGCCCAAAAGGGACAAAGCAGGACTCCCCATGAGCCTGGCCGAAACCATGAGCCTGGCCGAAGCCAGACCCCCCCTCCACACCCTGGCGCGACCGCGGAATCGCCAGGCCAAGACAATGGAGGGGACCCGAACTGGCCGTAGCCGAAACGGGTTTACCGTTTAGGCCCGAAGACTGGGGTCGGTGCCCCCACTGCCGAATCCACCCACCCACCCACTGCAGTGGCGCAGCCCCCATACAGGCCACGACTAAGCGGGTTTCAGTTCCCCCGGACGCCGGGAGGTGCCGCCCACACCAACCGGCTGCCCGCCCGGGGGCAGGAGGAAGAGGAGGAGGAGGAGGAGGAGGAGGAGGAGGAGGAGGAGGAGTTCGAGGTGGAGGTGGGAAGAGGACGATGACGGCAAGGACGGCGACGCCTCCCTCACCTCCCCTATAGCCTAGAGTTCTGATCAGGTTTTCGAGGGGAAGCGACGCCTTCAAAAATCTGAACATCCCAGGATGCCCTGGAAAGTGCGGAAAGACTTCACAATACTCTCATCGAGGATGGCAGGAGAAGGACGAGGAGGAGGAGGAGGAGGAGGAGGAGGAGGAGGAGGAGGATAATGTGGAGGAAAAGGAGGAGAAGGATGAGGAGAAGGAGGAGGAGGAGGAGGAGGAGGAGGAGGGGACGGATGGGTTTTGCCAGTCGTGCCAAAAAATGTTCTCGACCCGGCTACGCCTCATTGCGCACTGGTCCAGACCGCAGAATTCTTGTTGGCTGTGGGTCGTAGTGAGGGCATCGCCCTTGTCGGCCGAGAGAGTCGCGCAGCTGGATGCCCTCGACGCCGCGGCCAGCCGGGCCGCCAGGAAGGCAGGACACAGCCGGCCCCTCACGGACGGACCTGTGAAGCAGGCGCCTGCCGTTTGAACGAATCTCGGTCTTACCATTGCCCCCCTTGCGCGCGACCTGTCCCTTTGCTGAACTCAGGGACTGAATGCTTGTTTGATGCCCTCTGTTGAATCTCCGCCGGGAAGAGAAGAAGGGGGAGCAGGAGGACGAGGAGGAGGAGGACGACGACGATGATTGGAAGGACGGAAGAAAAGGTCTTTAGGGAAACGACGCCTGGACACAGAGGCTTTTCCCGAGGACCGCCTTTTCATCTTGAGCCTTTCTTTGACGGCCCCAGGGCTCGTAGAGGCGAAAAGCTGCGCGCTGCAGATTTCGCCGCACCCCCCCTCCCTTTGTCAATCCCCCCATGTGATCCTCGTCGTGTAGCTTTCAGGTCTTACATCGGGGCTCTGACCGGACGATCGAGGCGATTCGGGCACCTGCGAAACGCTCTCGGCGAGGCGCAGCTGCTGACGAGCATCCCGCGGCTAGAAAAACGCCGAGAACCGACGTCAACGTCCGAAGACCTCTAATCTCGAACCCCTTTACATTTAGCGACTCTCGTTGTTGGTCTCTCTTTCTCTCTCTCTCTCTGCTTTCTTTCTTTCTGTATAGATGTAAATGTATGCGTGCACACATGAATACATACAGACACACAGACAGACAGGCAGGCAGACAGACAGACAGACAGACAGACCAGCTGACTGACTGACATACATACGTACTTTATATACGTCAGCGGCTAGGCATAAGGACTGCACCGGCGGATAGGGCGTCTGTATGATAGCATACATATATACATACATACATGCATGCATACATGCATTCATACACACATGCATGCATACCTATATGCACACGTACATACATACATACATACATACATACATACATACATACATACATGCATGCATGCATGCATGCATGCATACATACATACATACATACATACATACATACATACATACATACATGTATACATGCATACATACATACATACATACATGCATAGATGCATACATACATGCATGCATACACGTACACGTACATACATACACACATACACATACCCATACCCATACACATAAACATACACATACACATACACATACACATACACATACACATACACATACACATACACATACACATACACGTACACGTACACGCACACGTACACGTACATGCATACATGCATGCATACATACAGACAGACGCACACATCCATACATACATGTACATACACGCATATGTATATATGTATAGGTGTACACAGATAAGTCGATGTTCTGGTCTCGGGCCCCCTGTACTTGTCGACCTTTCCCCCGGGACCGCTTCTGCGTCCCGAGTTCCCCAAACACCTCAGTCAGACTCGACACGGCCGAGCCTCTGGAACTCTCGGCTCTCTGCACGGCGGGGCGGCCCGCGACGGCGCCGTTGGCGCCTGGGCTTGGACGCCTCGCCGAGGCGCCGCCTGGTGGTCGCGGACTGGAGGCGGCCCATGCCTGGCAGCGGAGGCTGGAGAGGGGGCGGAGGCCGAGACTGGCGGGCGAAGGGGGGGCGGAAGCCCAGACTCCCTCCTCCTCCTCCTCCTACTCCTCCTCCTCCTCCTCCTTCTCCTCCTCCTCCTCCTCCTCCTCACGTCGTGGAAAAACGCAGAACACATGGTCGTCGTGCAAATTTCAGCCTCGGGGGGCCCTCGCCGGGCCCCTGGGGCCGTCAGAAGAGACAGCCCAGGACGAGAAGCTGGTCCCGCGGACTGGGTTGAGACATCCGGGGGTCGACATTGGAGGAAACAGTTATGACGCCGTCGGGGGTCTGGAGAGGGGGGTGAGGGGGGAGGGAAGGGGGGGAGGGAGGGGGCGATGCAAGGGCCCATGAGGAGGGAAGAGAAACAGAGGCGGAAGTCGGAGGAGGAGGGGGAGGAGTCCAGGAGTCCCAGGAGGAGGGAGGCGAAGGGCTCGAGGATGGGGACGGAAGCTGGAGGAGGAGTCCAGGAGGAGGGAGACGAAGTCTGGGGGGAGGGGGCGGAGGAGGGGGGATGAGAGGGCCGAGGAGGGAGGAGGAGGGAGGAGTGAGGATAGGGGGGCGGAGGAGGGGAGGGGAGGAGTGAACCGAACGGAACACCTCCGATCCAGGATGCGCTCTGCAGCATGACTGATAATGGAGCTGTTGTTGAGGTGAGCTGGACCTGTATCCAGCAGGAGGAGGGGACATGCACCCTGCGCCAAAGATCCCCCGAGACCCCTTCTCCTCCCTCCTATATTTTTCTCACCCAGCTCGTCCCCACCCTCCAACTCAGCCCCGTCCTTCAAACTCCTGATTCCTCATCCTCCTAACTCCTAGTTCCTCGCTCTTCACTCATCGTTCCTCACTCTTCCTCTTCACTCTTCATCTTCCTCCACCTTCTCCTCCTTCTCCTCCTCCTCCTCCCCTTCTCCTCACTTCCCACTCCTCACTTCCCACTCGTCAATCCTCACTCCTCACCCCTCACTCCTCACTCCTCACTCATCCTCCTCCTCCTGCTCCTCCTCCTCTTCCTCCTCCCCCTCCTCAGCAGCAGCACAAGCAGCAGCAGCAGCAGCAGCAGCATCATCATCATCATCATCATCATCATCATCATCAGCATCATCATCATCATCATCAGCATCAGCATCAGCATCATCATTATCAGCATCCTCATCATCAGCAGCAGCAGCACCATCATCATCATCATCATCATCATCATCATCATCATCATGTTCATCACCATCATCATCGTCATCATCATCATTATCGTCATCATCGGCAGCATCACCATCATCCTCATCATCAGCAGCATCAGCATCAGCATCATCATCATCATCATCAGTATCACCATCACCATCATCATAAAATACATCATCACCACCAGCATCACTATCATCATCAGCAGCATCATCGGCATCGTCGTCAGCATCATCACCACCATCACCACAACTATCATCATCATCATCATCATCATCATCATCATCATTATCATCATCATCAGCATCAACATCATCATCACAAAAAAATCAACAACAACACCCTCATCATCGTCACCGCCACCACCGTCAACATCAGCAGCAACAACAGCATCGCCATCGTCATCATCACCGTCGTTATCATCATCATAATCAACATTATCAGGATAAGCAGCACCATCATCATCATCATCATCATCATCATCATCATCACCATCATCCTCGTCGTCATCATCATGATCATCAGTATCATCATTCACAGTATCATCCTCACCATCATCATGACCAGCACCACCACAAGCATCATCATCATCAGCAGCAGCATCACCATCCTCCTCCTGATCACCACCATTATCATCATACTAAGCAACATCGTCATCATCAGCAGCAGCCTATTATGTATCATCATCACCATCACCATCATTACCAACACCATCGCAATCGCTATCACCACCACCATCATCATCATCATCATCATCATCAGTATCACCACCATCATCATCGTCAGCCTCATCATCAACATCATCATCATTATCATCATCATAGCCATCGTCATCATAATCGTCATCATCATCAGCAGCATCATCATCATCAGCAGCATCAGTATCATCGTCAGCATCATCATCATCATCATCATCATCATCATCATCATTATCATCATCATCATCATCATCATCATCAGCATCATCATCATCATCATCATCATCATCATCCTCTTCCTGCTTCGTCTCCTCCTCCTACTCCTCGTCTTCATCCTCCTCCTCCTCCTCCGGACTGCGCCTCCTCCTCCCCCTAAGCGGAAGAGAGTCGCGGCGACATATGCTTCCCCATGGTGCCCTGTCCTCGATCGGTCGATCTATCTAGGGTTGAACTTTTCCCAGGTATTCACCCTTTCTGGGCCGTCGGGAGGCCTCTCGTCGCCCCTCGAATCCTTGCCAGAGCGCACTCCTGGAGAGTTCAGGGGGAAGACTCTCGACTCCCACCCCCAAGCCCCATCGCGTCGTGAAAGGAACGAGACTTCAGGATGTTGTTGATGTTCGGCCTCTGGAAGCCTGTATGGCATTTGTCTGGCCGCGGGAGGGTTCAAAAACACTTAGGATGAAGCACTGGTATAGGGGAAGGGTTCCAGAGCTCGGGGGGTCCACGTTGAGAATTACTCGGCGTGGAACTCCCCACTTGCGCATCTCGTTCCTTAGCACTTCCTGCTGTGAGCGTTTGATTGTGAGGGTCTGGGTGTGGGAGTGAGTTCGAATGGACGACGGCTACGACGACGGCCAAGGCGTCAGCTATGTACGACGCGGGACGACGACGCCGACGCCGACGCCGACGCCGACGCCGACGCCGACGCCGATGCCGAAGCCGACGCCAACGCCGACGACGACGTCGACGACGACGACGACGGCGACGAAGACGACGACGAAGTCGACGACGACGACGGCGACGAAGACGACGACGACGCCGACGATGACGACAACGACTCACAAACAGACAAGCGGTGAGAAGGCCCCCTTTCCCTCTCCTTCGTCTACCTCCGCGTCGTAGCCCCTCCCTTCTCTCCCGCCCTCCTCCCTTATCCCTCCTCCTGCGTCCTCCTTCCTCCTCCCTCCTCCTCCTCCCTCGCGGCCGTCCTTATCCCTCCTCCCGCGTCCTCCTCCCTCCTCTTCATCCTCTTCCTCTTCCTCCTCGTCCTCTCTCCTCCTCCATCCTCCCGCATCCCTCCTCCTCCCTTGCAAATGTCCCCGTTCCTGGCGGCCTCATCCTCCTTATCTCATTTTTCCTCTTCCTCCGCGTCGTATCCCCTCCCTGCTCTTCCTCCCTCCTCCCTTTTCCTTCCTGTCTTTTCCATCCTTTCCTTTTCCCTCCTCCCGTGTCCTCCTGCGTCCTCCTCCGTCCTCCATCCTCCTCCCTGGCGGCCGTCCAATTTCCCTACATCGAGATTAAAGGAATCGTAAATGCAGCACGTACACCTCATTCGAGACATCCCAACGGTATGAGCGCGAAGTGGCGAGTGGCATGACCCCTGATGGCCCCACCTGGGGTGCTGAAGCCAACGCCTCGCTCGAGATATCCCCACGACGTGCTCTGAAAGCAGAGCAGCCCGAGGCGCAGGAACAAGCAAACCGCCTGAGGCATCCCCGCGATTTGGGCGCGAACTGGCAAGTGTCTTACCCCCTGGCGGCTCCTGCTTGGGGTGTTGGGTGCTGAAGCCAGCGCCTCGCTCGAAACATCCCCACGAACTGCTTTGAAAGCAAAGGAGTCTGGGCAACCAAACAGGCAAACCGCCGAAGACATTTCCACAATCTGGGCGCGAACGGGGCCGTGCAACCACCCCTGGCGGCCCCCCCTTGGTGTGCTGAAGCTAGCGCCTCGCTTGAGGCATCCCCACGACATGCTTTGAAAGCAACCGACTCTGTGCAGCAAAGCAAGCAATGTGCCTGAGACACCCGCACACTGTGGACACGAACGGGGCCGTGCAACCATCCCTGGCGGCCCCACCTTGAAGCACTGGAGCCAGCGCCTGGCTCGAGACATCCTCGCACTCTGCTCTGAAAGCAAAAGGGGTCTGGACAACCAAGGAACCATTACCTCTCCCACAATCTGGGCGCGAACGGAGCCGTGCAACCACCCCTGGTGGCTCCCCCGTGGGGTGCTGAAGCCAGCGCCTCGCTCTAGACATCCTCGCGATCAGCTCTGAAAGCAAAGGGGTCTGTAACCAACCGAGCAAGCCGCCTGAGGCATCCCCACAATCTGGGCGCGACCGGGACCGTGCAACCACCCCTGGCGCTCCTGCTTGGGGTGCTGTAGCCAGCGCCTAGCTCTAGGCATCCTTGCGATCTGCTCTGGAAGCAAGGGAGCCGTGCCTGAGACATCCCCACAATCTGGGCGCGACGGGGGCCGTGCAACCACCCCTGGCGGCTCCTGCTTGGGGTGCTGAAGCCAGCGCTTCGCTCGAAACATCCCCACGATCTGCTTTGAAACCAGCTGGCCTGGGCAACCAAACAAACAAACCGCCTCAGACATCCCCACAATCGACCGTACCACCCTGGACGGCTCACAGTTGGGTGCGGAAACCACGCAAGCCTGCGTACGAGTGCGTCGCACGCCCAAGTGCGATTCCGAGTGTGAGTTGAACGACTTTGAATGTGAAAGAATTTGAATGTGAGCGCGTCTGCATATGAGCAAATCTGAGTGCGAGCGAGTCTGCCGCTGTGTAAGTCTGCGCACGACTAACTCTGAGTGCGGGTGAGTCTGGGTATGGCTGGGTCTGAGTGAGGAAGAGGAGGATGTGAGCGAGTCTAGGCGTGAGTGGATCTGAATGTGAGTAAGTCTGAGTATGAGCGGGTCTAAGTCCAGAAGAGGAGAATACGAATGAGTCTGAGTGTGAGGGTAAGCGAGTCTGAGTCTGAGCGAAACCGAGGCCGACTGAATCTCAATGCGGGCGACTATGGATATGAATGCATCTGAATGGGGAAGGGAAGAAGTGGGGGGAGAGGGAAGTGTGAGGTGTGAGCCAGAGGCGTCCGAGTGCGAGCGAGTCGGAATGCTGATACGCAAGCCTGTGAGGTGAGGAGCCGGAGGTGTAAAAGTAATAATTGCCCCGCGACGTGCCCAACCCAACTGCAGCGACTGAACCGAACAGTTGGCCAAAGCAGTTACGGATGATCCATCTGTCGTGAGAGCTACATGGGAAACTCCCGCGCTGCGGGACTTACGGGACACCGATCGGAGGGCGAGAGCGGGATGGACGGAACCCTCGGCCCGAAGGGGAAAGCGCGGGAACGGCGCGGAGACGGCGCAGCAGCAGCAGCAGCAGCAGCAGCAGAAGGAGGAAGGGTACGTAAGGGGGAAAAGGACGACGACCAAGAAGGAAGGAAGGAGGGGGCAATGTTTCAACTCTCACCCATGTGCAGCGGCATCCCGAGAACGATTGTTTATAGAGCTAGTGCAAGAATTGAGCGAGGCCGAGCTGCACTGCCTGCCGCTCGGCCTCGCTCGTGCACTTGTCCAAAAAGCGCGCAAGCGTGCCGCGGGGTCCCGTATCATCAGGAGATAATCGTTCGCCGTGGCCCTAGAGAGTATTACATTTCGCAGGGCCCCAAGCATGGCGAGGTCTAGCCTGACTCCCCGCAGGACACCACTATGCGGCACCCCCCAGCAACCCTCGAACGTGGCGACCGTTTGGCACTTCGCGGACCCCCAGGCATGGCGAGGTTGAATCTGGATCCCCGTAGGACACCACGATGCTGTACATCCCAACAGCCCTCGAACGTGGCGACCGCTTCATATTTCGTGGACCCCCAAGTATGGCGAGGTCTAACATGGATCACCGTAGGACACCACTATGATAGGTCCCCAGCAGCCATCGAACGTGGCGGCCGTGTCACACTTCGCCCCACACACACACACACACACACGACACACACGACACACACACACACACACACTACACACACAACACACATACACACGACACACTCTCACACACACATACACAACACACACACAACACACACACACACATTTTGCGCCGGCGGCTAGGCAGAGGGACTGCGCCGGCGAGTAAAGCGACACACACACACACTCAGGCATGGCGAGGTCTAATCCGTGTCCCCGTAGGACCACTATGCTGGAACCCCTTGCAGCCCTCGAAAGTTGGTCACGATTTTACACTTCGCGCCCGCCCGCCCCCCCGAGCACGGCGAGGTCTAACCTGGACTCCCGTAGGGCCCCACTATGCTGGACCCGCCCAGCAACGGCAACATGTTCACACGTCGTGCCACCCCACAGACATGGCGAGTCGAATCTGGACCCCGGTCGGACCCCACTTTGCTGAACTCCCCAGCAATCCCCTGAAAGTGGCGACGGCTTCACACTTCGAGCTTCCCCACAGTATGGCGAGTCGAATCAGGATCCTCGTAGGACCCCACTACGCTGGACCCCCAGGCAGACCTCGATAGTGGAGACGGTTGTACACTTCGCGGCCCCTCCGTGTATGGCGAGGTTGAATCTGGATCCCCGTAGGACCCCACTGTGCTGGACCCTCCCAGCAGCTGTCGACAGTGGCGATAGTTTCACACTTCGCAGCCCCCGAGCATGGCGAGGTAGGAGGCAGTTAAGAACTAAGTGGGAAGAAGGTGGGAGAGAGGAAGAGAGAAAAAGAAGAGGAGGGAGGCGGGAGAAGGAAACGGAAGGCTAGAGACAGCGATGCCCATTCAAAAAACGGGCCCGACGGAAGGCTGGACACAACAACCCCATCCCTGAATATATGGGTGATTTAAATCTACTTATGGGCTCTGAGACGGGGCAACCCACACATTGAACGCGCACTTGGGTGGACCAGCCAGACACGACTTCAACAATAAGCTGGAAACACACCTTTTTGGGCGTCGCAGCCCCACGCGCCGCGGCGACGGGACATAGAAGCAAGACACACACACACACACACGGCTGCAGGTAGTCCGAGGCTCGACTTTGAGGAACAAGACCTGAATCCCCAGTCGGATTCACATAAGCGCTGGACCCACACGCAGAACGCGATCGTGCCGTCCGCACCAAGGCCGCGCGGTGGGAATACATGCGGCCACACGTACATCCAGGTGTCACCAAGGCTGTCCACATCACGCGGCCCGTTCCAGAAAGCCTTACCCCCGAAGGGCTGGCATCTCATCTCTTGGGGGCAAACTTCGCTTCCGCCAACTCCCGCCAGCCTCCCGCCGGCTTCCCACACTGGAGCCGCCCCCATTATGATTCCGCTGGCTTCCGCGACGTCCGACAGGCCTCCGCTGAGGAAGGGGAGGCCAACTGTTCGATGCCCTCGAGCGCGGCTCTTTTCTATAGCGCCCCGTGCGCATCCAGATTCCTGGTGTAAGAGGGCAGCGCGGGGTTGTGCATGTGTTGTATATGAGAGAATGGTGTCAAGACAGATTCGAGCCCAGTAGCGCCTATCAGTGTCAATCAATGTAACTATTCACGCCTATTAGCGCCCGTTGGCGCCTATTAGTGTCTACTGGCGCCGATTAGCGACTGCTGCTGAGCAGTAGCTAAGTGCTGATGGCCAGACACGACGTTGACCCATGCCGAACACTACGATCACGCAAAACACACCTAAGTAAGAGGGAAGCGCGGGGGGAGGGGGGGGGCGGTTCCCTCAGACGGCGCACGCGTCTGGCTGTGAGCTCTGCGACACCAAACCAAACAAAAACCCTGCTTCGAGAAGGCACCGCCCTCCATCCGTGTGGCAGTAGCGTCCATCAGCTGCGCAAATGTGGGAGCATTCTACGTGCCAAGTTTGAAAAACACACACACACACAAACACACACACACACGAATGTACGCGGCGCGAAGACAGAAAATGCGCACCTTGAAGACGGGCCGTCCTCCATCCGTGCAACCGTCGGAAATTTGCACGGCAAGCGCGCGCGGCACAAAGACGCGAACCACATCTTAAAAACTGTGTGCCTTCCATCCGTGAAACCACTGGGTGCGTTCAAAATGGGCTTGGACAGGGGGAAGACGAGAGCCACACACTGAATAACACCCGCCCCCCATCCGGCAAACTGCCAGAAACTGCCAGACACTTAATTATGAAGAGGAGAGGACGCAAGGGGGCCCATAGAGGGCACCGAAGTATCCGAGGGCCTCTAGAGTTCTCAGGAGGATTTCGCGAAGGCTTCTGAAACACAAAACGCATCTGGGCGACGATCAGAAACGGGTCTTGCGCGAGATGATGCAGCGACCTTACGCCGCGGCTTGCGCGGGCCGCTGGCGTGGCACGTCACGTTAGAAGCGAGGGCGCTTACGCGCGACCTTACGCGGCCAACTTACGCGCCAATGTCGGTGAAGACGACCCCGTTTTTGGTGCGTCGCCCATCTGAGGAGAGGGTTCGTAGCTTCACTATCCTGGCAGAATGCTGCCACTCCCGCGCGCGGCCCGTCCCCCTGCGCCCACTTCAATTTCAGTGTTCGCGCAGGGCGCCGCGAGATGCAATATTTCTCTCGTCGGCCGCGACTGACTCAGCATCGAAAGTCGGACAGGGGGGCACGAGACATTGAAAACAATGGCTGCACGACGTTCCCGGGGGAGTGCAGGGAAAGCGGCACCGGACCCCAAGGCGCTCCCCGGGGTCCAGGACCCGCCTCCCGTTTCCAGGGCACTACGGCGAAAGCAGAGGGCAGAACCACCACCATCAGCATGAGCATCCCTGCCAGCGAAGCCCTTTCGCAGTCACACCTCAGGAAGGAACATGACAGGGCGGGGCTGCTCAGGAAGCGCCGAAAGGCATTTTGCTGCAAGCGGCAATCCTGGGCGTCGGGACTGCGCTCCCTCCCTCGAGAAAGGCACCTCGGGGCCCCTTCCCCTCGGGGCCCCCTCGAGGGGTGGGGGCGACGGGCGCGACGAGAGAGAGAGAGAGAGAGAGATCACGAGGCTGGGCGCCGAGCGCACCCGCGGCCGAAAAAGGCGGCCCCCGGCGACAGGCGGCACCGAAGGGCTCAGGGCCGAGGGGCACGGAGCCCGGCGCCGCCCCCGCGGGAGGGGGCGAGGACGAGCGCGACACGCGCCCAGGCCGCACGACCCCGCGCCCTCGCGCACCCGCGGGCGCGCGACGCGCTCCTCGGTCTTCGCGCCCTGGCGCCGCCGCCCATGGGGCCGAGATGCGCGGGGCGCGGCTGTCTTCGCGCCCCCTCGTGGGACCTGACTGGGGCACCTCAGGCGACCATGACCACCGCGACGCCCACGACGACGACGACGACGACGACGACGACGACGACGACGACGACGACGACGACGACGGCCGGCCAGGAAGGGGCACGGGTGGCTCGGGGTCGCTGATGACGGGCCGTCGAGTCTGAAGGACGTATCGGGTCAGGAACCGCGGGCGTTCCAGAGCGCCAACGGCGCGCTGCAAGGGCGCTGGGGCGTTTTGGAACGCTCGCTCTGGGACGGCTTATCCTTTCCGTACGGCAGGCTCGTGTCGAAACGACTTCGGTGTTGGTTTCTGACACCGCGTGGATGGATCGTGCAACCCTGAACGATCGCGGCTTCCCGATCGCACGTATCGTTCGAGATCGGCCAATTCAAAACCACACGCGGGTCCCAACCACTCACGCCCGCGCTGGGCTCGCTGCCGCGTCGACACGACGCGAGCCTGCCGTAGCCCAGACCTGCCTGAGGAGGTCGGACAGGCCTGGGAAGAAATTGGCGAACACTCATGCCACATTCATATGTCAATGGCATCCCCCCCCAATGATCAATGTTGGCGGTGGGTTGAATGAGGTGCACTTCGACCGCAATCTTCCTCGCGCGTGCCAACTTTGAATTTGGGGGAGAGGGGGGGAGTGTCCATTCATGGTTTCCCTCTGCCGGACAGGGGAGGCGGAGGAGGCGAAGCAGGAGGGGACGGGAGCGGGCGAGAAGCTGAGAGCACCCTCGAGGTATGCGATGTACTGCTTGGTGTCCGGCTCCCCGTAGGCAATCGACTCCACCCCCTCCGGCGTCTGTATGCGCTGGGCGAAGGTGTGGAACCGTCGGCGGCCTGGCGTGACATGAAGGAGCGAGGTGGTGAGGAAAGTAAAGAGCGGGGACGGCACACCAGAGAGGGGGGGGGCGGCCTCGACCAACTACGGGGGTGGGCGCGTGGCGCCGTAGCGCTCAATTGATGACGTCAAGGGGCCCGTTTCCGAGTGCACACCACTGCTGCACAGAGAAGGGCAGAAGAAATCACAAGACAGCTCGCCGCTTGGGCCCTACCGCCAGCCCAAACGGCGAGCATAAATCGGGCGTAGCCCCGCACGCATTCGCATGCCCACACTTCGTCCTCGTAATGCTCGTAGTCATCCCCGTCCTCCTCCGCATCCTGATCGTCGTCGTCCTCCTCCTCCTCCTCCTCGTCCTCCTCCTCATCCTCCTCGTCTTCCTCGCCTTCCTCCTGCTCCATCCACCTCCTCGTCGTCCTCGTCTAAGACCGAGTCCTCGTTTCTCTTTCACCTCCTGCTCATTCTCTATCTCCTGGCACCTCGGCGGCCGAGAATAAAACCGTCTCCTATCAGTTGCGCCATAGGTTGCGCCCTCGGCGGCCGACAATAAAACCTTGTACTATCGGTTGCGCCATGGGTTGCGCCCTCGTCGGCTGAGAATAAAACCGTCTCCTATCGGTTGCGCCATGGGTGCGCCCTCGGGGGCCTAGAATACAACCGTCTCCGATCGGTCGCGCCATTGGTTGCGCCCTCGGCCGCCGAAGGTAAAACCGTCCCCTATCCGTTGCGCCACAGGTTACGCCCTCGACGGCCGAAGATAAAAATCATCCTATCGGTTGCGCCATAGGTTGCGCCCTCGGCGGCCGAAGATGAAACCGTCTCCGATCGGTTGCGCCATAGGCTGCGCCCTCGGCGGCCGAGAAAAAAAAACCCTCTCGTATTAGTTGCGCCACAGGTTGCGCCCTTGGCGGCCGAAGATAAACCGTCGCGTAACGGATGAGGCCAATCTGTTCATTTTTCAGTTCAGTTCAATTTTTCAGTTTACCGTGCGAGAAACAAATTCGGGCTACGCCCGACATCAATTGCGATGTCTGGCATTGAAACATGATGATAACAGATAGCTGCGAATGTCGCCTGCCCATCTCTTGCGTGGACGATTCGGCAACCTGCCTTTTACTCTTCTGTCCCTGCCGGCATCACACATAGCGGCTCGCAGTGACCATCTTCCTGAGGAAGACGACGTAACCCGGTGTGCGAAACAGGAGCAGAGAGCAATGAGCATCTTGGACATGGAAGCAAGAGGAATGGAAACTAGTGGGCAGGAGCCGCAGGGGTCATGCAATCCCGCCCAAAAGAAAAACACTTCCAATGACAAACGAAGTCAGTAGCCCGCGAGCCCCGGTGGGATGTGATGCGATTTTGCGGCTCCTCCTCCCAAGAAGGGCTTCGATCCACTGAGAGCTCATGCAGCATCCATACCCCCGCAGAGCTCCGACGAACATCTCCGAGCCTATGGGCCCAAACCGCTCAAACCTTTCCCTGGGACCGTCCTTTCGTCCTGGGTCGTTCCGTTGACCGTCCCGTGGCCTTCGGAAGCCGAAGATGCTGGGGAAGATCGGGCCCGAGATTTCAAACACCTCAGGAGGTCTTGGCCCGTCCCAGCGAGCGGCGCTTTTCTTGACAGGCAGGCCGAACAGCACCTCAGGGAGGGCAGAAGGGCACACCAGGCTCGCCCTTGGAGCCTGGGCACGCCGCGGGCCCGCAGCCGAGGTTTGTTTTTCCTGTTTTGCTAAAGCGTGGCCTCAATATCTCCTCCTCTCCTCCTCCACCTCCTCCTCCCCATATCCCATCCTCGCCGCGTCCTGCTCCTCATCCTCCTCCGCCTCCGCCTCCTCGTCCGCCTCATTGTCATCCTCCTCGTCCTCCTCCTCCTCCTCCTCCTGCTCCTCCTCCTCCTCCTCCTCCTCCTCCTCCTCCTCCTCCTCCTCCTCCACCCACCCCTCCACCTCCTCCTTATAGATAAGTCCTCCCTGTCGCACCACGGGACGTGTCCGTAGGCCGGGTCCGGCGTTTCGCGTGACACAACCTCGCCAATTGCGATCCTGAAGGTTGAGCTCGGCAGCGGCTTCAAATTCATGGCGGCTGGGTAGCTGTCGAAATTTGGTTCTCGCCTCAGTGCCGCGCACATTCGTCATACATCTCTGTGTCCGCTTCAAAGATGAAGGCCAGCTCGTTTTGGAAATGTCGTTCTCGCTTGGTCGCCGCGTCTTAGGCATGTGTGACCGCTTGAAGGATGGAGGCCGTCTTGATTTCAAGATGTTGTGTTCGCCTTCGCGCCGCGAGCACTCATGCGACCCAGCCCTCACCATCTGGTGCAAAAGCAGCGCATACCCATCCAACCCAACCCGCAGCACCTCATTCCAAAAAAACATATCATTCTATTCACGACCACGCGACCCAATTCCCACCATTGTAGGTAACAACCGAAGCCTTCCCATCCGACCCCATCCTCATCATCCGATGCAACTTAACATACACCAGTGAACACCCGCACGGCCCAACCTTCATCATCCGATGTAAAGGATATGTTCGGTGCACATCCATCTGGCCCACCCTCACCATCCTACACAACAAATGCAACCCGGTACACATCCATCCGACCCAACCCTTACACTCCGATGTGGAATAACAGCGATCGATGCGCATATGTTGATCACCGACATCGGCCCACTCCCTGGCCCAGAAGAGCACACGAGATATAACTAATCACTTCGCCACAAATCAACAGCAAACACCTAATACATCGACGCGCGTCGGGCACCCTCGCCGAACCTGATGTTGGACCCAAGCGCCCCCGAGGCTGCTCAGGCGATCCCGGACGCTTCAAGATGCTCCCAGGCGCTCCCAAACGCTACATTCCCTCCCAAAGCGCGCCCTGGCTCGCCGTCGCCACCAGCAGCAACAGCATCCACATCCTCATCTTCATCTCCCTCGTCGCCGCAAGAGGCCTCAAGGAACAATTGAATTCAGATCGCGGTGACGCGCGGACCACACATGATTTTCAGGATGGGGTTGTCGATTTGCTGACGCCGCACACCATTGTTTCATACAGCGAAGGGACGGTTAGACGGCGGGCCGTTTTCAAGAAGGAGTTCTCTCCCTGGCGCCCTGCATACTCGGCATCCAATGTGTCCGTAACTGCGCGAGTGGAAGGCGAGTCCTTGTCAAGACAGTGGGGGCATTGAACAAGGGGCCCGTAAATCAGAAATCCAGGGTCTGGAAATTAGTGGAACTTCAATCGTGGATCGGCCATGGATATGCCTGCCGCCCTCATCAGAAATGGAATCCACCAGGGTCTGAAGCCTCCTGGGCACATTCCTGAACAAACACCCCCCACCGTACCGGGGTCTGCCATTCGCCTCGCGCGCGTTCGAATACAAAATCAACCATCTACTCTCATATGCCCCTTCCTCGACTTATACGACCAGGCGCTCCATGTTGTGAAACAGCTATAACGGATGGAAAACAGCTCCTCTTTCGAAACGGGGCGCTCGCGGAAAACTTCCGCGAAGCATACGTCCACGACCCTGGCATCCTGCCACGGTTGGAAGGATGAAGGGCATATTTCGCGGAAGACTTCCGCGGGGCATACGTCCACCACTTCGGCACCCTGCTAAGATGATATGGATCGAGAGCATGTGCTTTCCGAAATGGGGCTGCCATGAGCGTCCTTCAAGTGGAGGGCGTTGCAACAGGCGTCGTCGTCTGACTGGCTGACCGACAAGCCTCTCGTCATTCAAGGGGGTACTCGTATGGACTTACGAAGCAATGACTAGGGGCGGGAGGGTGTCATATAGCATCGGTTGATGCATTTCGGTTTTACTCTGGTGTTCCTCCTCCTCCTCCTCCTTCTCCTCCTCCTCCTGCCAGGGACAGGCATCTCCTCGTGAGTCGTTGTTTGACTGTTCAGGGGCCAGGGAGAAGGCCCCCTGGATGCTGAAGATGTCCGAACACCTTTCGCTTCGTGATTCTCGCCGCGGCGCGGCGAAGGTCTGGGACCCCCCCTCTCCCCAACTGCAAAAAGACGCCATCCCTCCTCCTCCTCCTCCGCCTCCTCCTCCTCCTCCTCCTCCGCCTCCTCCTCCTCCTCCTCCTCCTCCTCCTCCTCCTCCTCCTCCTCCTCCTCCTCTTCCTCCTCCTCCTCCTCCTCCAGGGTCCTCCCCGCTTGTCCTCATCATCCCCTCCTCTCAATCAGCAAGAAAACACAAAACCTCGAATATTCCCCAAACCTCCGACGCCATGACACTCTCACCGCGGGGGCCGCAGACGTCTGCCCCCCCCCCCCCCACCTGGGGCCGGCTTCTCATCCAGGGCTGTTTTTTACAGTCCAGGGGCCCGTCGAGGGCCACCAGACATCGAAAATAGCTGAAAACCTCCTGTCATGGACTTTGTGTCACGGAGACAGGAAGTGGACAAGAAGTATGGGGGCCCCTCCTTTTTTCCATGCTCGAGGAGAAGACGGAGGAGAAGGAGGAGAAGGAGAGGGATGATGATGATGATGATGATGATGATGATGATGATGATGAGGAGGAGGAGGAGGAGGAGGAGGAGGAGGAGGAGGAGGAAGCGAAGGAGGAGGAATTGGTGGGCGCCGACTGGAAAGCGTTCGCGGGGAGGGAGGATACTCTCCGCGGGGAGACTGGTCAAGGGAGCTCACGGCTGTCGGCGTCCTCTCTATTCCTCATCCATGTCAAGATCGGGTACTGCACAATCCTCAGGCGGCGGCTGCGCCGCTGGCCAATGCTCAGGGGGCGCATCAACTTGAGCCTGCACCTTGGCGGCCTGTCTTGTGGCCTGCTGGGCCGCACTAGCCTCCCTGACCTGTTGCAGCCAAGGCTGCGCATACCGAATGCAACAGGTAGCAAAATGATCAACCACCCCCAGCTGCTGAACAATATATTGCGCACGTAAGCTGGAAGCGAAAGCCTCGAAAACAGCAGCGCCAGAGTCCTCCGCAGCTCCAGCCTGCAGCGCTAGAGTGGATTGGCGAGGGACCCCATCTGCTCCAGCTGGAGCTGGACGCGTGCATTCTCCTTCTGGTCGGCCTGCTGCTCAAGCTCAATGACCGTCTGCTGCTTAGTGGCAATCGCTTTCTTTTCAGCCTCAACCGAAGCCTTGAATTTAGCGGCAGTCTGATCAAACTTCTGGAACTTGTTGCCAAGGCCGTGCACATGCGTGCCCGAGGGCTTGGAAGCATGAGTCTCTTGCCGTAGCTGGCGCACCGAAGTCTCAGCAGCAACATACCCCTCAACAGTCGTAGGATCCACACATTTGGCCTTCGCGGACACTGGCAGAGCATCAACATTCCCCTCGCAGACCTCCAACTCCTTCTGCTTGGAGTCCCTTTCCATCGCGGTGGGCGGGGGCTTCAGAGTGGGGTGCCTCAGAGTCAGATGGCTTCGGACGTGACGACTGCAACTGCTGAACCTGCTTGCGTAGAGCCGCAAGCTCCTTTTATATCCTTGGAAATTGGCAACAAGGACAGCCCCCCACGGAACCTTCGCCTCGCCAGCGAAAAGGGGGGCGCACGGAAGCTGGGAACAGCAGGCTCGAGGTCGCACTTGTAAACCCGTCCCTCTGCACCACCACACAGGAAGCAATCAACAACATCATGATGATTGTGCCACGGAGCACCAGCCTTGGCATGGGTGCAGAAGCGGCAGAGCCACCTCTCTGTTTTCTCGACACGATCCCTGGCAGCTCTACTCTTCGGCGGCATGACGCAAGCGAGAGAGACAGCGGGCACATGAGCGCACCGTAAGCAGTGAGTTTAAGGAATGACATCGTGAAGGCTGCAGGTGGGGCACAGCCCCAATAGCGTATCAGATAAAGGACGCCGATAGGGGACGTGGATCCCCTGTGCCAAAAACTTTTGTCCGCTGCTGGCGTCTGAGCCACATACTACGGACGTGCGCCACAATGGCCACGGAGAAGGAGCAGGAGGAGGAGGAGGAGGAGGATGATGATGAGGAGGAGGAGGAGGAGGAGAGGGAGGGAGGGAGGGACCTCCTCCTCCTGCTCCTCCTCCTCCTCCTCCTCCTCCTCCTCCTCCTCCTCCTCCTCCTCCTCCCCCTCGCTGGAGGAGGAGCTGGAGGTGGGACCTCGTCCTCCTCGCTGGAGAAGGTTTAGGGGTCACTTTGGCGAGGAGTGCGTCGCACATGGCGGCCTGCGCCGCGGGCGAAGTTGCTCTCGAGAAAGGGCGCGTCGGCAAGGCCGACATCCTCGGACCGCTCTTGCGGGGGAGGGGCGGGGGGGCGAGGAGGAGGAGAAGGATCGGGGAGGAGGGGAAGGAGCGATGAGGAGGGTATTGAGGAGAAGGGGGGGAGGAGGAGTAGGAGGAGGAGGTTCAGGAGGAGCTCAATATCGGCCAGTTCAGGGTCGCCGGCGGCTTTCAACACTGAACGCAAGCGGCGGGGTCGCCGCTGGTCGACACGACGCGAGCCTACCGTACCACCCCCTAGTCAGGAGCGAACTGCGGGGAGCCGTGCCATGGCGCTCGCACCAGGAGGAGGGCCGACCAACAGAAACTGTGGGAGGCTGAATCCATTACCCCCCTGGGGGAACCCATCGCATCGGCGCATCGGCGATCAGTCATAGAAGAAGGAGAATAATAGCACAATAATAATAACAAAAACAACAATGATAATAATTTCAATAATAAGAATGCGAATAACCATAATACCAATAACAATAACAGGAAACAACATGTATGCGCAACATGTTTCGAGAGCCAGAGCTGAATTCTTGGATCGGCGCGGGACTCCCCTCCCTGGCGTGCCGAGCGCTCCAGGGGGGAGGGACATAACGCGAAGCAAATTCAAGGGGGATGGGGGAGGAACGCGGTGGATCTGTGCAATTGCCCCCCCCCGTCCCCTACATCTGACAATCTGAATGTTCATTCCGCGACCCCTGGGCTCCCGACCTATGTCCCTTGGGGTAGCTGTTCGTCCTTGATCCGTTTCTGATGGCCCCCAGGCCCTAAAAGTGGCCCCTGGAGGCCGAAGCGAAGGAACAAACGCCGCGACGATAAGCAATACCACATGCAGAACATCAAAACACATAAACTTTCGGAGGTCCGAGCGGATTTCTTGGGTCGGCGTTGGACCCCCCTCCCTGGCGCGCGGAGCGCGCCGAGGGCGGCGCCAGAGGCGCCGCCTAGAAGGCCCAGCGCGGATCCAAGGAATCCACGCGGAGCTCCGAAAGTTTATGGTAATGCTGTTTCGCCTTTTTCGCCAAACACTGCCCATGGAGGCCGAAACGAATGAAGAAACGCCGCGATGGAGAAGTCGTACCTTCGACGGTCTGCGCCCTCTGGCAACGAAGGAGCCCGCCCTAGACAGGAAGCAGAGAGGAGAGCGGAGCGAGGAGAGCGGACGGCGGAGCTAGGCGCGCTCGCGCCGTCTCTTCCCATTGCGCTGATGGTCGTTCTATCCGCAGACGCGTCTCATAGCCGACCTGGAACTCCAGAAGGGACCCCATCGTGATGTGCGCAATCGGAGAAGGGAAGCTACAAACAGAGGAGGAGGAGGAGGAGGAGGAGGAGGAGGAGGAGGAGGAGGTGGCGGGCGAGCAGCAGGATTAGCAGGGGGAGAAAAAGAAGGATGAGGAAGGAGAAAGACGAGGACGAATTGCAGCACCAGCAGCAGGAACGGAGTGGAAGAAGTGGGAGGAGCAGGAGGATCATGGCGAATGGTGGAGAAGGGAAACGTAGGGGAGCGACAACGATGAAAAAGGGTCCGGATTAAGAAAAATGGCCCTCGCTGGGGCGAGGAACCATCCTGCACGACGGGAGCACAGTGCCGATCCGAACAGGAGACCCACGCTGCAACGGGAACACCATTGTTTGAAACACCAGGAACACTCATATTTCAGAGGCACATAATGATAAGCAACTTCGCCCAATCCTGCGCGTATGAAAAACCAGGGCGCGGAGAGGTGCCGGAGATCTTCTGGACAGGGCAAGGGAGAGAGGAGAGTGGTATTCATACTGGGCAACTGTGGAGGAGGAAGGGGAGAAGAATGCGGAGGAAAAGGAGGAGGGAGGAGGAGGAGGAGAAAAAGGAGGAGGAGGACGAGGGAGGGTCGCACGACACTAAAGGAAAGAGAGAGAAAGAGGGTCCGACGAGTCCAACTTGCCCCCAGGGGCCCCCATCGGAGAGGACCTCTTTCTGACACCCTGGCGGGCCAAGCCCTGCCAGGGGCCAACGACAGGGCCACCCCTAGAAACAACAAGTCGCCTTCATCCTCTACTGGCAGGTCGTCGCCCTGCTGCTCAACATGGACCTTGCCGCCGAGATTCCGTGCCTCCGCTCCGTTCAAGCCGAAAGCCTGGAGGCAATCAGACAGGCACAAATCGTGCCAATTGAAAAACCGTGGTTTGGTTTCGCTCCTCCCTCCTCCAGGCTGGGTTCCAGCACCGGTTTCCACGAACCTCCCCGCGACCAACTCCCGCACCTGGACCCAAGGGGTGCAACCAGGGCAAAGCCTGAAGGGTCGGCTGGGATGCTTCACTCGAGAAATGATGTATTTTTGTCCGAATGCAATTTTGGAGAGAAGGGAGGGAAGCCTTGCTGATCATCTCGCATTTCGTGCCGTGGAATCGACAGGTAAACCTGCCGCAGGACCGTCATCGCTCTTGCCTCCTGAGGGAAACCTGCGGTAGGATAGGAAACGTCTGTGGGCCATGCCACTTTGGCCCGAAGGCAGCACAAAGGGACGTGATGAGGGACAGGAGGAACAGGACAAGGAGGACGAAAAAGAAGACCACACATGAACGCACAGGTAAACGAACTGGCGCGGAGCTTAAACGAAGGAGGGGGGCCGAGGGTGGGGAAGAGGAGCGAACAAGCCGAGTGTCGTCTACACCTTCGCGCCCTCCACGCGATCGCAGAGCAACGCGTCCTGAGACGCCCGCCCGAGCGTGCGGCGCGCCTCCGACTGCCACCAGCTCGAACGCCTTATGTTCGGCAGGGGAGTGCGTACATCAAATGCTCCAGCCCCAAAGCCCTCTCCCCTGGGGGGCCGCAAACCCGAGGACAGGGGATCGCCCCCCAATGACGACGCCGACGACAAGCGACGACGACGAACACTGCGACGTCGACGACGACAGAGGAGGGGGCGGGGGAGGGAGAGAGGAGGAAGAGGACGAGACGGAGAGAGGAGGGAGGGAGCGAGGAAACGGTCCCCCCGCCCCCAAGCGTACGTCCCCCCTGGAGAGGCAGGCGGCTGGCGCCAGCTGGCAGCCAGCCAACCTGGGCCAGACAAAATCGTGCCCCCCCTGGCAAGAAGCGACAGCACGCGCGCGATGCTATCGGCCACGCGGCTGGGACAGCAGACGGCCCCAAAATAATCCAAAATCGACGGGCTGGCATCCCCAAAATCAGCCGCCCGAGAAGAGACGAGGAGAGGAGAGCAGAGAAGATAATAACAGAGAAGAAAAGAGAAGAGAAGAGACGAGACGAGAAGAGAAGAGAAGAGAAGAGAGGAGAAGAGAAGAAAAGAGAAGAGGACGAGGATAAGCGAGGGAGACAGGGGAAGCAAGCATGCTGATGATACCGACTACTACTCTGTACGCGCCGCCGCCTCCCAGAAAGTTCCCGGGAAGGCGCCGTCCAACTGTTCGCTAGTAGTCCGCCCGTGCCTCAATGAATTGTGGATCCGGTACAGTGCGTATAACGCCATGCTCCACGCGACGGTCTCCGCGTCTGACCAGTCGAAGCCCAGGGAGAGGTCCAACTCCCGCCCCGCGCGCGCGGCGGCGTCAGCCCGGCGCCTGCTGCCAGGAGCAAGCGCGGCGAAATGCTGCACCCCGCCGGGTCTGCCACCGCAACCGAATAGACAAGGAGCTTGCCCGTGGGAGCAGCGGTTGGGGCACCAGCCAACCGTGACCCGAGGCGCGCTGTCCGCCGCCACTCGCTGTAGCCGCGCCAAACCCTGGTGCAACCGGCGCACAGGAATAATAGCGATTGGCCAACGGTCCAGGCGGCGTCGCAAATGCCGCAAAACCACGCCGCTGCCGCCCGTCCGGCACGCGAGAGCCACCCAACCCTGCAAGCCCGCCCGCTCCTCCAGGCGCAAGCCGCCGCGCGGCAGCCGCGACAGCTGGGCTTGCACCTGGTGGTCTACAGCAAACAGCTGGAGCAAGAAGCACTGCGAGTGCCAGCACAGTAGCCAGGCCTCGCGACTCAGCGTCTGGTCGTCCCCCTGGCTGGTCAGCGCCGCCATTCGCGCAGCGCGCCGCTTCACATCCAAGCGCCCGCCGTCCTCGAACCGGATCAACCGGGCCTTGGCGGCGAGCGCGGTCGCCTCCAAATTTTTTAACCGTCACGGCATGTGGAGGTCCATCAGGCTCTTGAAGCAGTCGGTAGTCATCCACCCCTGCGGGCCCGGGAACATGGCTCTGCAGGCGCTCTGCTCCGCGGCCGCGAATTCCGGCGGCAGGGCGTCGAGCTGCGCCACGAAGAGGAGGACCGATGCCACGTAGATGCCATAGGCGCGCGACGTGAGGAGGGCCCCAGCACCGATTTGTTTCCAGATGGGCGCCCTCTCTGCGTACTTGGCCAGCGGGGCAATCCATGTGCGATGCCCGCGGTCCGGGCCGAGGTAGAACCCCAAGAACTTCGCCGAGCGGACAATGCCCAGGCCGCCCCGCGGTGGCACTGCCGCCGCAAGCTCCCGCCGAAGTTCAAGTTCAGTGAGAGCGTCGAGGGGCACCAGCACTGTCTTGGGGACAGTGAAGCTCAACTCCGAGATCCGGGCGAAATCGCCGAAGAATTCCTGCAGCGCGGGGGGCCTCGGCAACGCCCCCGGCAGTACCATGGCCAGGTCGTCGGCGTAAGCACGGAACGTGGGGCCGGGGCAGAGACGGGCATGTCGGCGCAGGTAGAGGTCGGACACAACAGCGAACAACAATGGAGATAAAGGACATCATTGGCGAATGTCCCTCGTAATCTCCATGCAGGGGTGCACCGAGCCGCCCAGCGCGACTTGGCAATGATTGTGCCCGTACAAACTGCCGACGAAATTGAGAAGCCACGTCGGCCACCCGAGTTCGCGGAAAAATGAACGAAGAAGACCGTGCTCAATCGACGGGAAGGCCGCGGCGAAGTCGAAGAAGCGCGCGCACGCCCCCTCCGCCCGCATGGCCTCCGTGATCATTGCTTCATCAACATCCACAGAATGTTCGCCAGCATGGACCTCCGGGCAAGAACCCACGCTGGCAACTCGCAGTGCGCTGTTCTACGAACGGCTCAGAGGGGGCGCGGGCATAGACCGTCTCCGTTAGGTTCAGGGCCTCTGCATTGACCAAATGGTTCATGAGGATCCAGATCACCGAGCCGTCCTCCCGACCGACCTCCCCGAGCACAGTGACGTCCGTGATGTCATCCATCTGGCTGCCAGCCTGCCTCTCGCGACGCCTGGCCGCCGCCATGGCGCCTGGCGTCGCCGACGGGGCGGCGATGGTGCGCCCCACCAGCCGCGATGGCTTCCACTTCAGCCGGGCCGCGGTCTCAGTGGAGTCGGCGGCCAGCACGATGTCCATGGTGCTGGTCCATGTGGCCGCATTCGCACTCGAATAGACCAGAAGTTTGGTCCGGCCGAGCACCACCATCTGGGAACAGAGACCCCAGTAATGGTGCAGATTGGCACCGCCCGACGTCTTCAGAATCTGCGCGTCCCCAGCGGCATACAAGGATGAGAGGCCGTATACGGCGTCCCCGGGCAGCAACGTCTGCCTTAGCTGGTCGAGGGGCATGAATATCATCAACTCCGGCACGGACGGCGGGAAGAGAATTTCCAACCGGACCCGCGGACGTTCCTTGCAGAGCGCTGCGCCGCGGATCGCGGTAGAGCGCGCCAGGCAGGGCCATCACCGCATGCAGCACCTGCGGTAGGGCCAGCGCTGGGACGTCCATGAGCAGGATCGGAACATCGGGCACGCTGATCAGGGGGGCTGGGCTGCAGAAGCCGCGGCACGTGCCTGGCACCATCATGGAGGGTAAACACAGCCAGTCCCGTGCGCTCATGCCGGGAGCCACCAACTCCTGGAACGAGCTCAACCGGGGAGGTCGTGAACGTGCAGTCGCGTACCACCGACGCCCACTTATCGCTCAAGAGCGGATGCCACCATAGATTTGTCATCCCTAGTACCAAGGTCATGCCAGGTAAGAGCGGGATCGGAGAGATCAGGCGGATGGACCCGGGACGCTGGCCAGAGGGCAAACGCAGGAACAAGGCGAGCATACGCGTGAGCGCGTTGCTGTCCTCGGGGGGCAACATGACGGCGGCCCGACCCGCGAGGGAGGTCCAGAGCTTGGCATCCCCCTTCTCAGCCAGCTGGGCGAGGTCCCTGGTCTCCCTGATCGCCTGCGCTGACGTCGCCGCAGAGGCACGGACCGTGCCAATGATGTCAGACCACTGGGTGAGGATCTGCTCGCCTGAAACGGCCGCGCTGTCGCGGAGGAGCTGCACAGCAGCGCTCCCAAGCTCCTGGTGGAGCGGCAGTTGCCCAGCCCTCAACCTGCGGAGCTCTTTAATGAGGGCGTCCAGCTCAGCCAGGCACCGCTGCTCTGCCGCCACGAAGACCGCTACTGCCTGATGATCGGCGGGAGCCCCTGCAGCCACAGCAGCGAGGCCATCTAAGTAGCGCGCCGAGCGGGCGCGGCCGGCCCCGACAAGGGCCACCTGCGACCCAAGGCAAGGGAGGACGAGGGAGGAGGAGAGGGAGAGAGGAGACGGAGGAGGAGGACAAGGCGGACGCAGGAAGACAATACTTCTGGTCCCAGAGTCTGAACGGGGACCGTCATTGGCACCTAGTGCTGGTAGATGATGTGTTCTTTGTGAAAATATGCATACATCGATTTACATATTGTTATAAAGCCGGGGACCCGGGGACCCCGGAAACAGGTACCCCCCCCAACGAATTCGACCCAACCCGGGCCTCTCGGGCAACCCCCCAGACGACCGGGAGAACCCCGCGAGAGCCCGAAGACGGCCCTAGAGGGCTCCAAGCGTTCCAGCGCGCTCCCGAAACGACCCCAGCGCGCCCCAAGACGGTCCACGACGACCCCAAAGAAGCCGTCATACCCCCAACGATCGCTCAAAAACGTCCCAAGAGGCCTCCGAGAGTGCTCCAAAGAAGGCCCCCAAGAGGCAACATTCATTGATTTTCTGTTGGTTTGTGGTGAATTTGGGGGTTCTCCTCTTTTCGGCTTTCTGACGCTCCAAGACGGCGGTCTTCTGGGCGTCCGAAGCCGCCTGGGAGGCTCGAAAATCATCCCACAACCATCGGAAAGGGCTTCCAGGCAGTCCAAGAGAGCCCCAAGACGGCACAACAGGGTTCCAAGATGGCCTAAGAGAGCCCCATAACGGCCCAAGATGGCCCGGTCGTTCAGGGAGACCGCGGCCGGAGGCAGGATGGCCCGAGAAAGCCCCCCCAGAAGACGCCCAGGAGGCCTCCAGAAGGCATTCAGAAAGCTTGAACAACTGCTGTGAGGCCCCCAGAACCCCGAAGCTCTCCAAGGAGGAGCCTCCACAAAAAGAGCTGAGGAGGATGGGGAGAATACGCAAGGTCTGGCGAGAATGCGGAACAAACAATTATGGCGGAAGGAAAAAGGAAAGCATTACTATAACGGCGATGCCAGGAAAGGCAACAAGGAGTTAACGCTGAATGATCGCCTTGACCTTCCTGCCATTCCGCCTGCATACTAAACTTCAAGGACCAAGGTGCATGGCGCGAAGCGCAAATGCACTCTTGTATGTATATATATATATGTATATAAATGTGTGTGGACAATCGAAAACAAACAACGGATAAATCCGCTGCCCCTCAGGAGGGCTATCGCAGTCGCGCGGTTCACGGACAAGCAAGAACAGCGAGACTCGTGCACTGCGAGTCGGCGGGCGCAGATCTCGCTTTTAGGTGCCAAGCTACTTACAGGGCGCAAATACGTAAGTATACCACAAGACAGTCGCAATGTTTCGGCACCCACGGTTTGACGGGGGGGTCTACGGTAGCCCTTATCGCCGCCTATCTTGCCAGTGATAAAGCACCATGCGAGTCTCACCGCCTGCCCTACCACAGGAAAGTTTGCCATCCTGGTGGTGACGGGGGGGGGACCCGCTCCACAACAGGGCAGCATGGGGTGACAAGGGGGGGGGACCTAAGCCTGCTCCACCCCAGGGCGGACGACCATCCTAGGGCTGACACGGGCGGGCAGCTCTCACGCAGAACGGGTCGCTCCCCCATGGATGGACGGGGCGGACCAACGCCACTGCCGCCAACTTCGCTCATGCAGGTCGGGCATGTCCCCCGACAGGCGGATCTTGGACGTTTTTTTGATTGTTGTTTATAGTATGTTGCTTTCTTCTTTGCTTCGAAAAATACGCTCGAAAAATAATCACCATACTATGCTTGGACTGTGTTAGAATATTCCCCCTGTAGAGGGACAGGCCCGACTTAAAACTTCGCCGTTGTAGCAGTGCCAAGGGAACCTGCCACGCAGACGAGCCGACTGCCTCCCTGGGGATGACCTGGGTGGCCCGCTCCACAGCTGGACACCTCTCCATCCTGGTGGCGCCAAGGGGGACCTGCTCCAACGCGGGGTCGTCGCCACTCTAGGGGTGACGGGCGGTTGGCTCCCCCGCACGCCGGCTCGCGAGCCGAAGGCGACATGGGAAAGCCTGGTAAGACATCAGGCGTTGCCGCGGGGCTGTGTCCCGGAGGTCAGAACCCTGCTGGCATTGTTGCTGAGCTGTGCCCTTGACGGAGGAAATAGAAGGTCTCTGCACCCGCGGGGTGCGGCCGCATTTGCTCCCACGCATGCGGAGGGCGAGCGTGGCCGCCTAGGAGACGAGCGGTCAATTTTCGACCATCGGACTTCGATGGGCGATACGACTGCGGGGGTGCAAAGGCGAGAGCCGCCGACGGTGGAGGAGGAGGGGGAGGGGAACGAGGACCGTGCCGAGTGAGAACAAGCTCTTGAAACAGCCTCGGTCTCATGCCTCTAGGTGAGGCGCGTGTGCAGGACCGCCAGCATGGCCGCCGGGCTGTGTCCTGAAGGTCGCGACGTCTCGAATGGAAAGACAACCGCCGGCAGTGCTGCCGAGCTGTGTCCTGGAAGTCAATACCTCCGACGTGTCGAATGCAAACAAAAGCCCGCCGGCATTGCCGCCGAGCTGTGTCCTGGACTATGGGGCGGCTACATTCGAGACGAGATGTATTCCTCAACTCTTGTACCTGCGCATGAGGACGGCCGCTTAGTAAACGAATGCGGGCCTACGAACAACGAACTGACCACCCGTCAGTTTTGACCATCGGATTCCGATGGGAGATAGAAGGCTGCGGGGGTGCAAAGGCAATGGGTCGGCTTTCTTATCAACCACGTAGCTGGGACAAACGTTAACAAATACAACCCCACCCCCATTCCATGCTCCCTCCTTCTGTTTTGCGCTCATTGCCATGCCATCATCTAAAAGCCGCAACGTGGAAAACGGAAAAACGTGAAATTGTGCACGGCCGCAGATCTTGCCGCCGGGCTGTCTTTGAGGCAACTGCCTCGCGACGGGGGTAAGCGCGCAGACTCCGCAGATGCACGAAAACCGGCACTGCCGCCAGGCAGCGTCCAAAAGGAGACGAACCGTAGTAACCAGAGAGACAGAGAGAGAGAGAGAGAGAAAGAAAGAAAGAAAAACACAAAGAGAGAGAGAGAGAGACACGAGTGTTCAGGACCACCGGCCTTGCCGCCAGATTGTGTCCTCGAGGCAACTACTTCGCTAAGTCGGAACCGTGTCAAGATATCGAAATGAAAGCTCAAGGTGCTCGGGGTTGAGACCTCGATGTGAAGAACTCGCGGTGAATCAAGGTAAAGACCTCGAGGTGGTGAAGACCCCAAGGCGATCCTCGAGGTGAGGACCTGGAGGTGAAGGTCTCAAGGTGAAGACCTCGAGGTGAAGACCCCGAGGTGGTTCTCCAGGTGAGAATCTGGAGGTGAAGACCTCGAGGTGAAGACGTCGAGGTGAAGACATCAATACCTCGAGAGATCAAGGCGTCGAAGTGAAGACCTTGTGGTGGACCTCGGGGTGAACAACCTCGAGGTGGAAGCCTCGAGGTACCGACCTCGAGGTGAAGACATTGAGGCGAAGACCTCGAAGTGCGCAGGACCTCCAGCCTTGCCGCCGGGCTGTCCTTGAGCTACGTACTAGTGTCGCTCCAGTTTCCTCACCCATGGGGTGCTTGTGCAAGTGCTCGTTGGGCGTGCTCCATGCGCACACCCTTACCGGTGCCCCATGTGTCCTGCTCAAAACCCACCATAGCGGCTGCAGAACACCATCTGCATGATGAGAGGCGGAGGGAAGGAGGAGGACGAGGAGGAGGAAAGGCGAGCTAGGTGCGCTCGCGCCATATCTGACATCCTACCCCTCCCACCCATCACTTCCCATTGCGCTGTTGTTTCTCGATCCGCCGACGCGTGTCGTAACGGACCTGGAACTCCAAAGGGGACCCAACCAATCGTGCGAAAAGATGCGCAATCTCGAAGAAAAAGGGAACTGCGTACATTGGAGGAGATGGCGCATGAGCAGGAGGATGAGCAGGAGGAGAAGGAGGATGAGGAAGGAGGAAGACGATGACGAACAGAAGCAGGAGAAGCTGGAGTGGAAGGAGCGGGATGAGCAGAAGAACCAGGGGAAGGCGGAGAAGGGGAAATGAGGGGGGCGACAACGATGAAAACCTGCACGGATCCAGAAAAATGCTAAACGATGGGAGCAAAGCGCTGATCAGAAAATAGAGGCTCACGCTGTAGCGGGAGCACCATTTTGGAACACCTAATGCAACCGTATTGCCAAAGAAACACCAAAAACAAGAAGCCCAAATGTTTGGAATCCTGTGCAATAGCAATACGCGATGAGGGCCGAACATCTTCTGGACAGAGTCAGGAGAGGGGAGAAAGGAACGTAGTATTCATTCTGTGTAGTTATATGGAAGAGGAGATGGCGAAGGAGGAGGAGGAAGAGGAGGGGGGCACCGACTGAAGCATCGTCCTCTCGAACTAACGACGGCAAGCTAGATAGTATGGAAGGCGGGCAGCGCTTCGCCTTCGATCGGGTACCGCTTTAAAGGAGGAGGAAGACGAGGAGGAGAGGAAGAGGAGGAGGAGGAGGCGCCCGTCGGAGGCGGAGTGTCCTGACTGCGACTGCCTTTGCAGCTCATGCTGCGCAAAAGCTCGCCTGCCAAATTCCAGGTAATTTGTGGAGTCCCGCGTCCCCTTCGTATGAGGAGAACAAGAGGAAGCAGGAGGAGGAGGAGGAGGAGAAGGAGGAGGAGGAGGAGCGAGGAGAAAGAAGAGGACGAAGGCGGAGGCAGGAGGGCGGAGGGAGGAGGAGGAAGAGGAGGAGGAGGAGGAGGAGGAGGAGGGGGAGGAGGAGGGGAGGAGGGGAGGAGGGGAGAGGAGGAGGAGGAGGAGGAGGAGAGGAGGAGAAGGAGGAGGAGGAGGAGGAGGGAGGAGGAAGGAGGAGAGAGGAGGGAAGAGGAGGGAGGAGGGAAGAGGTGGAGGAGACGGACGACGACGACGACGACGACGACGACGACGACGACGACGACGACGACGACGACGACGACGACGACGACGACGGACGACGACGACGACGACGACGACGACAAGCCCACCGGAGAAAGTTAGCGCGACCCATCCTCGCCGGCGCCCGCCGCGGCCGCGACGATCTCCCGCGCCAGCGGCGCCATCGCGGCGGCACCCGCGCGGCGCGCTCGGCGCGCACGGCTCGGACGTCTCCCCTCCTCCTCCCTCCTCCTCCTCCTCCTCCTCCTCCTCATCCTCCTCCTTCTGCTCCTGCTCCTGCTCCTCCACTCCCCGCTCTGCGGAGGCCGCATGCCAGGTCTGGAGGACTTCGCGGAGGCCCCGCTGCAGCCAGGGTGTGCCTCTCTGGAGGGCTGGCATTCCTGAGAGCTCCTGATGGGGAGCGGGCCCTCCCCACCCGGGAGCCCGATCGGGGGCATACCTGGGGGAGGGGCTGCAGGGGCCGCGGTCTTGGCGGGGGGTTGAACCCTCCACGTCCCCCTGTGGGAGGGGCCCCCCCCGCCCAGCGCAGCGCAGAGGCGCGCCGCTTCGCCCGCGGTGTTCGCGGGCGGCTGAGTGCGGCGTGCGTGAGAGACCGCGCTCGACCGCGTCTCGGTGTTCTCTCACTCACTCACTACTCCTCCTGCTCCTGCTCCTCCTCATCCCCATCCTCCTCCTCCTCCTCCTCCTCCTCCTCTTCCTCCTCCTCCTCCTCCTCTTCCTCCTCCTCCTCCTCCCCCTCCTCCTCCTCCCCCTCCTCCTCTTCCTCCTCTTCCTCCTCCGCTTCTCGGGGGGGGCGACTAATTAGGGCAGCCGTTTGGAGGCGGATGCGGCAAGGGCCTACGGTCGGAGCGAGGCATCCCCAGACATGCAGCGGCTTGCAAACATCGAGACGAAGGTTTTTTGATCGCTCTTGGCCTCTCGGGGCCCTTACTGAGCCTCGGAGCCGTTAACAAAAAGGCTCGGGATGAGAATCCGTTCCCGGGGAAGTGGTCGAGAGGTCGAGGGCACGGCTAGACGTGTGCACTCCAGCAGGTCTTTTATGCCGGTCGAGACACGATCAGGTGCAAGGTCACAGGACCCTGCAATGACGCACACTCCCTTGATGTTCGCCCTAATGTCGTTCTAGTTTCGCTCTGAGGCGTCTCGTTCTGAGGCAAACCGGAACAAGAAATTATTATAGTACGAAGCGGAACGAAGAACTAAACTGGAAGAAGAAACGAAACTGGAACGAAACTAGAAAGTCCGACCGATCATAAAAAGACGAGCAACGGATAAAGGTGGAAAGAAAACGCATCTAAAGGACACGTATTCTGAGACACCTCGAGGGGCCCAAGACAGAACAACCCAAATCGGTTGCCAAGACATCTGGCATCTTGAAAAACTCACGGCACATGTCTTTCAACGTTCGGCCTCTGGGGGGCTCTCGCCGGCCCCCCGGGACGTCAAAAAACGGCCCGGGATGAAGAACCGGTCACGGGGAAGGGGTCTAGACCTTTGGGGACCCACGCTGCCCAAACATAAGACACAAATATCTCGGTCAAGAATGGTGCGGCTTCTCGAGGGAGTCCCGGCTGGCTTCCTCAGGCCCCCCGAGCAGTCTGGGGTGGTCTCAACACAAGACGAGCGCGTTCCACTACTCGCAAAAGAACTACGCGCAAATGGCCTGGATCAGCCGCATGGGATCTATGATAATTTTCATCGAAGCAAACATATGTTTTCGGACGTTTGCAAGTAGGCACTTTGCGATTAGTGGAACGCGCTCGGCAAAACACCCTGGCGCCGCCTCCAGGGGCGCCCACGGTTTGGGGTGTTGAGACTGCCCAAGCAGGAGCGGCCCTACGCAAGGGTGGCCCCTGGTGCGCGGCCTCAGGGGGGCGCGGGGGTGCGGTCGGCATGCTGGCTGCGGATGAGCGGTCCCTCAGAGGGGTGAGCGGCGCCAAAATGATGCAACGTGCCGGGGCCAAAGCTTCAGCGCCAGTCGCTCAGATCTGGCAGAGGACGACAAACATGAATATGATGGCCCGTGATGATGATGCTGATGATGATGCTGATGCTGATGCTGATGATGATGATGATGATGATGATGATGATGATGATGATGATGATGATGCTGATGCTGCTGATGATGATGATGATGATGATGCTGATGATACTGATGCTGATGATGCTGATGATGCTGATGATGAAGAGGAGGAGGAGGAAGAGGAGGAAGAGGAGGAGGAGAGGGAAGATGATGCTGATGCTGATGATGATGAGGAGGAGAAGGAGGAAGACGAGGATGAGGAGCAGAGGAGGAGGAGGAGGAGGAGGAGGAGGACATCTGGCAGAAGACGACAAACATGAATATGATGGCCCGTGGGTTTGCAACGGGAGTCACACAGGCTTCAATGGGCCGCCGGGGGGGGGCGGGGCAAACCCAAGCGCGCAATGCGATGCTGTCAGAATGCGCTAAGCGATCGGGGAAGCCCAGTGGGCCCGCACCGAAGGTCACTCTGGCGAAGGGCCACCCATCACGCGTAGTCGAAAGAAACTCAGTGTATACACGTCCATAGGGGAACGAAGAATTGCATGAACAACAAACCTTGGAGGTCCGCGCGGATTTCTTGGATCGGCGCTGGATCCCCCTCCCTGGCGCGCGGAGCGTGCCAGGGGCGGCGCCGGAGACGCCGCTGGGGGGCCCCAGCGCCGATCCGAGAAATCCGCGCGGACCTCCGAGTCTTTATGTTTATGTCATTCTCCGTTCCCCTGGCCCAAGCTTCCCAAGCGCTGGGGTGCTGGAGCGTCTATGCACCGAACTCTTTCGCGCAAACCCCTTCCTCCTTGGCCAGAGGCCTCCCAAATGGGGTCCGAGCAGATGGGGTCGGAGGATCGCGCCGACGTCGCCGATGCATCGTCAATGCGTCGGCGATGCATCGGCGACGTCGGCGTGGACAAAATCGGGCTCCACGTCGAGCCGCCTCGACGATGCATCATGCGACCCCTGCCTACTCCGACCCCATGTGGGACGCCTAGATTTTCGTGGCCCCCCGGCCTGGGAGCGACCCCCGAAGGTCAAAACGATGGGAGAAACGCCGCGATCGAACAAAAAACATGTCGGAGCGGTCTGATCACCGATGCATCACCGATGCATCGCGCCGCATCGCCGATGCATCGGCGATGCAGCGCGATCCTCCGACCCCACCTACGGCTCAGACCCCAACGTGGGAGGCCTGGATTGGCAGACCAAGCGACGTTGGAAAGCAACTCACGGAAGCCTGTGGTCGTCCCATGGCGCCCAATAGCGCGCCCGAGCGTCCCGATGTCGGAGAGGTCTGGGGAGGCTGACGGGGGAGCGTCACTCCGACCCGGCGGCGCCCACTCACAAGAGCGTGGCACGAGGGGCGGCCCGCCATATACAAAGCGGCGGGGGGGGCTTCGGAGACGCCAGGGGCCTTCTGGGAAACCCTCCTGGCCTCAAACTTCTGACAGGTCTTCTGGGTACAGTCAACCCGTACCATAAGGATGCGCCGTAAGGACACAAGGGCCTTGGAGGCCCATGTTCACGTTTTTCGAACGAGGCTGGCCAGTGAAAGTCCCTACGGATGGGCCGACTGGGCAAGGATGCAAGGGTACACTTGGGAAGATGCCCATCCTTACTTTGCGGGTTGACTGTAAGAAGTTCAGGCGCGGCGCTTCTGAGAAGGCCCCTGCCTTCTGAGAAGCCCCAGCACCAACCGTAGAAGGCCGTCCCCCCCCAGCCCCCCGACGTCGTGATTGTCTCAAAACGTCGACCCCCAGAGGTCTCGGCCCACTCCCTAGGACTGCTTCTGCACCTGGAATCGCTTGTCGACGGTCCCGGAGCCCGGCGAAGGCACCAAGGGGCCGAAAATTGCACCACACCTTCCGTCGCTACTTTTAGGGCGGGCGTGTCCTCCTACAGGCGGATGTTGTACGAAAAACGAAGAAGAACAAACCAGTATGCGTAATTGGTGGAAAGATAGCCCCCCGACTTTTTGTTTGACCATGTTTGTATCTTCCTCCTGTAGAGGGACAGGCCCGACTTAACGCTACTTTGTCACGACGCGAGGGGGGGCCTGGGGTGAACGCCGCCACCCCGGCGCCCACGCGTACGCCGGCGCGACCGGGGCCTCCCCCGCGCCAGCGCCGCACACCGCCACGCACAGCCGCACGGGCGGCGGCACCGCGCCTCGGCAGCGCCCGACGCCGCCCGCCACCGTCGCCGCCGCCGCGGCGCGCTCGGGTCAGGTACGAATTTTCTTGGATCGCGGCGCTCCCTGTGATACTGGCGTCTCGACCGTTTCGAGCTGGGCGTTTTCGCCCAGTTTCGGGACCCAGGGCCCTCACAGATGAATAAGGCGCGTAAGATGACGCAGAAAGATGGGGTCCAGGGCTCTGGAATGGTAAAAAAAAAAATCGCTGCGTCGGATCTCAGGGTTGTTCCTTCCCTTTCGGCCCTTTGGTGAGCGAGTTCGGGCCCCAGGGCCATCACAAAATGGACCCAGGCTGCAGAGCCCTGAGATCCGGCGTCGAGAACAAAAACAAACATCGCAACAAATCACAACTGGAGCCCTAGGCCCCGTCCTGTGGCATTTTCAAGCCCGATCGATCTGTGATGGACCTGGGGCCCAGCTCTGGGCGAAAACGTCCAGTGAGACAAAAAATGCAACGCCCGGATCTCAGGGGGGCCGGGAGCCCTGGGGCCGCGGCCTGACCACATCGGAGGAGGCCTGCACAGGGGGGTTCGCGCGAGGAGGGCGGTCTTCTTACTTACCAGGCCCCGCTCGGCCACCCAACGGGCTCGATCGCGGACACGCTCGGCGGTCGCAAGACGAAGCCAGGACGAGGATAAATTCGGGCGAGGATGCATCGGGAGCCTCTGAGATCCGGCGGCTCTGGAGGATCTTTCGGGCGCCGCGGCCTTCTCGGACGCTCTGGAACGGAGAACGAGGGGAAGGAGGCGGAGAAGGGGGAGGGGGAGGGGGAGGAGGACAAGTTAGGTGCGCTCGCGTCAACATCTGACATCCTACCCCTTCCTCCCATCCCTTACCATGGCGCTGATTTTCTCTATCCGCGGACGCGTGTCGTAGCGGACCTGTGGCTCCGCGCGCGTGTGCGTAGTGGGTGGTGGTGCGCGTGCGTGCGTGCGTGTGTGCGTGGTGGCGGTTGTTGTGGTGGTGGTGTGTATGTGTATGTGTGTGTGTGTGTGCGTGTGTGCGCGTGTGCTGTGGTGTGACGTGGTGTGGCGTCTTGGTGGTTTGGTGGTGGGCCAGGTGCGTACGTGCGTGATGGCGGTGGTGGTGGTGGCGGTGGTGGTGTGTGTGTGTGTCTGTGTGTGCGTGTGTGTGTGTGTGTGCGTGTGTGTGTGCGTGTGTATGTGTGTGTGTGTGTGCGTGCGTGCGTGTGTGTCTGTGTGTGCGCGCGTGTGATGTGGTGTGACGCGGTGTAGCGTGGTGGTGGTGGGTGGGGTAGTGCGGTGGTGGTGGCGGTGCGCGGTGGTGGTGCGCGTGCGTGCGTGCGTGCGTTGGTGGGTGGAAGTGGCGGTGGGTGTGCGTGCGGCGGGGCGGGGCGTGGTGCGGCGCGGTGGTGGCGGGCGGATGGGCGCGCGAGAAAGAGGCCCGCGCTGGGGCGAGAACGCCATCCTGAACGACGGAGGCAAAACACCGATCCGAAAATGAGGCCCACGCTGCAGCGGGAGCACGATTCGGAACGATTCGGGAGCAGAAATGAAGCCGGCGCCTCAGCGAGAGCAGCATTTTGAAAAAACGCAGGCGAAAACCCAACTCCCGGGAATCCTGTATGTAAAAAACAGTACGCGGGGGGGGGGGGTCGGCTACTCCCAGCACGCCACCAGGGGAAGAGGGAGAGTAGTATTCATGTTGAGTAATTGTGAAGGGGGAGGAGGAGGAGGAGGAGGAGGAGGAGGAGGAGGAGGAGGAGGAGAAGGAGGAGGAAGAGGAGGAGGAGGAGGAGGAGGAGGAGGAGGACCCCCTCCCCCTCCAACGCATTGTGGTGGTGGAAAACAGGCCCATCAATGCTGGAGCGTCTATAGACCAGGCTCCTCTGCCGAGCTCTTCGCCTCCTTGGGCGACCAAGCGACGGGGGTATAGACAGCGAGCCCCTCCGAGCCTCGTCTTCTTCCTGGGGATCCGATCTTCGTCGTCTCCGCCGAGAGCGCGGGATCAGCCAGCATCGACTGGGGAATTGGTAGGATCTGATCAGGATGCTGTTCGGATCGGGCCGCATCGGCACGGAGCCGAAACCAAACCGGATCGGCTGCGCCAGGACGTACAAAAACGCCGTGCAGGCGCCCAGGCTGCGTTGGATCGTCGGAACATTGGAATCAAATCGAATTTGGCCAGACATGCGATACCAGGGCAAGTTCTTCATCGAGAGTCGTTCAATGCCAGTCCTGTGGGGCCCTGCGAGGGACCCAGAGGCCGAAAACGGCCGAAAACCTCCAACCGTGACTTGTTCACGACGCGAGCATGTCTGGGGTAGGACCGATTGGATCGAAAGTGGGCCGGGCAGCGATGACGACGACGACGGCGACGTCGACGACGACGACGAAGACGACGACGACGACGACGACGGCGGTGGCGGCGACGACGACATTCGAAAACTGTAGAAGGAAAGACCCAGCCCTTCGACGACTCGATGCTTCCTAGCCTGGGGGCCCCAGACCCCTCGGGCCCCCCAGACCCCTCTCGGGTGACGGCGACAGCGACGGCGACGGCGACGGCGACGGCGCGACGACGGCGACGGCGACGGCGACGACGACGACTACGACGACGACGACCACGACGACCACGACCACGACGACCACGCCCACGACCACGAGGACGCGGAGCCTGGCGCTGCGCGGCGCTCAGGAAGCGTACCGTTTTGAGGGCCGCACCGCCGTCGCCACCAAGGTCACCAGCGGCCGGCCAGGCGGCCTCGAACAGCCTGGCGCAGCGGCGGGCGAAACCGTGCAGTCGGAGCACCCAGACCTCTGACGAGATGGTTGCCAGACGCCAGACATGATCGCAATGTCACACAAATTCTTTTCGAGAACTGTTTGACCGTTTTCGGCCCCTGAGGGGGCTTTGGGCCCAGAACTGTGAAAAAAAACGACTCGTGATCAAAAACCCGGGCCCAGGGAATTGCTCGGGACGTCTGGGGATCCCGTATGGAGATTAGCCTGGCGAAGGACCAAATCATATGCAGTTGTGAGCAACGCCATTGTGAGTATTGTTATCGGTGGAGCTCACTATGGGGATGGGGCCACGAAACGTGTGAGTGGTGTGCCGTAAGCGCATGCGGGCGCAGCCACTGAAACCTTCGGTGGAGCTCCCTATGGGGCCACGAGACGTGTGCGAAGCCACTGGGGCCTTCGGTGGAGCTCTCTACGGGGCCACGAGACGTGTGAGAGGTGTGCCGAAATCGGTGCGGCGGGCGCAGGCAAGCGCAGCAACTGAAACCTTCGGTGGGGCTCCCTATGGGCCACGTATCGTGTGAGGGGTGTGCTCTAGTGGTGCGGCGGGCGCATGCGAGCGCTGCCACTGGGATCTTATGTGGAGCTCCCCATGGGGCCGCGAAGCGTGTGAGAGGTGTGCCGAAATGGGTGCGGCGGGCGCATGCGGGCGCAGCCACTGAACCTTCGGCGGAGCTCCCGATGGGGGCCCTAAACGTGAGGGGTGTGCCGAAATGGGTGCGGCGGGCGCATGCGAGCGCAGCCACTGGGGCCTTCGGTGGAGCTCCCTATGGGGCCACGAACCGTGTGAGGGGTGTGCCGAAATGAGCGCGATGAGCGCATGCGAGCGCATCCACTGGGGCCTTCTCTGGGGCCTTCGGTGAAGCTCCTTATGGGGTCACGAAACGTGTGAGGGGCGTGCCGTAGTGGGTGCGGCGGGCGCATGCGAGCGCAGCCACTTAAACCTTTGGTGTTTCTCCTTACGGGGCCACGAAACGCGTGAGGGATGTGCCGAAATGGAAGATGGAGCCGCACGCGAGCGCTGCCACTGGGGCCATCGGGGGAGCTCCCTATAGGGTCACGAAACGTGTGAGTCGCGTGCTGAAGTGGACACGCGGGGGGCAGAGGCAAGTATGAGGGAGGACTGGGGGAGGAGGCGGACAAGGAGGAAGGAGAGAGGAAGGAAGAAGGAAGGAAGCAATCAAGGAAGTAAGGAAGGAAGGAACGCGGGGCGCTCTCTCTCTCTCTCTCTCTCTTTTTTTCTCTCTCTCTCTCTCTCTCTCTCTCTCTCTCTCTTTCTCTTCAGAATACGAGGACCTAGCACCACAGGATGGCTGGGAAACACTAGGACATCACATGTCTGGGCTTCCTCAGTCGTGGGTTCTTCCCTTCACTGCGGCCTCTCGGGGGCCGCTTCCGGGTCGGGGGGGGCATCAGGAACGGACCCGGAGCGCAAGCCTGCCTCTGGGGAGGGGTTCGGGAGCTCCGCAGCCGCGGGCGGAACCGACCATAGCGTAGCATGTCTGGTCACGGCCACGTGAACTCTTTCGGGTAGGAGATCGGCTACAAAACTGAGTTAGCCCAAAAAGCATCGTTCCGCCGACTCTCCAAATTAGCCTGGCGATGGACCATATGCAGTTGTGAATACCGTCGTTGTTCGTATCGCCTTCGGTGGATCTCCTTATGGGGCCACGAAGCGCGTGAACAATGTGCCGAGATGGGGCGGGGCCGCCATGCGGCCTCTGCTACTGGGGCCTGATGTAGAGCCCCATTTATGGGGCCACGCAGCGTGTGAGGGGTGTTCCAAAAATGGGGCGGCGCCGCCGGACCTGAGGTGGAGCTCCCTAGAGGGCCCCAAAACGTGCGAGGGGTATGCAGGAGAGGGTGCGGCGCCGCCATGCGGACTGCGCCTCTGCGACTGTACGTGGAGCTCCCTATGGTGCCTCGGAGCGTATGAGGGATGTGCCAAAGTGGGGCGGCGATGCCATGCGGACTGCGCCACTGCGACCGTACGTGGAGCTCCCTATGGTGCCACGAAACGTGTGAGGGGTGTGCCAAAATGGGGCGGCGCCGCCATGCGGACTGCGCCACTGGGACCTTGGGTGGGGCTCCCTATGGGGCCACGAAACGTGTGGGGTGTGACGAAGACGATGACGATTCTGGTGATGATGATGATGATGATGATGATGATGATGATGATGATGATGATGATGATGATGATGATGATGATGACGATGACGATGATGATGATGATGATGACGATGATGCTGATGATGATGATAATGATGATGATGCTGATGATGATGGTGATATTGATGACGATGATGGTGATGATGCTGATGATGATGACGACGATGATGCTGCTGATGATGATGATAATGATGATGATGGTGATGATGATGGGGATTTTGATGACGATCATGGTGATGATGCTGATGATGATGACGACGATGATGCTGCTGATGATGGTGATGATGAGAGGAGGGGGAGGAGGCAGGGGGCAGCGGGAGGAGGAGGAACGCGGGGCGCTGTCTCTTCAAAACGAAAACCCAACACCACGGGATGGTTGGCATTTGCCGCACATTCGGCGGACACTTCAATATGGGGGCAAATCAATCCTGGGCAGGTGTGTCTGGGCACGCCCGCCAGAATTCGGCTACTGTCTGGGCAGCGACGGCGGGACCCGTCGCACCGCGGTCCGAGCGGCAGCCGGATCGCGGGAGCGCTACTGCTGCGACAGCCCCGCTGCGCGCAGGCGTCGCCCAATTAGCACGAGCGGCCCTAGCGGCCCTGGGCAAGGCTTCAAGAGTTGCTCTTGGGTTTAGGTCGGGCATGTCCCCCTACAGGCGGATTTTGGACGAAATATGAAATATCAGCCAGCGTTGACTCCAAATAGATAGGAGGACAGGAGGAGGACGAGAGGAGGATGGGAGGAGGACGAAAGGAGGACGGGAGCAGGACGGGAGGAGAACGGGAGGAGCAACAACAAGCAAGCGCAAGCAAGCAAGCAGAAGCAAGCAAGTGCTAGCGAGCAATAACAAGCAAGCAAGAGCCAGCGATCAAGTGCAGGCAAGCAAGCAAGCAAGCAAGAGCAAGCAGGCGAGAGCAAATACGCAAGGTCAAGCAAGCAAGTGCCATTGGAAAAAGGGGGGGTCCATTGGAAAAAGGGGGGGCCATTGGAAAAAGGTGGGGAGTGCTAAAGACGAATTACTTTTGATGAGCTAGGACTCCTATAAGGCAAGCCTATTTGGAGAAAATGTTCAAACAAAGCTCAAACATAGTCAACTAACAAATCGAAACATCGTCCCCTGACTATTTTGGACTATGTTTAAACACCCCCTGTAGAGGGACATGCCCGACATAATGTTGGGTCTTCAAGTCTTCGTTGGTTCCTGGAGGCTTCCTCGCCTCGGAATGCCTTCCAGCAGCCGCGCCCTTGCCGAGAGCGCTCCGTGGGGGCCGAGTCGTCCCGAAAGGCCGTCCGAGGCCCCAGTCAAGGGGCCAGAACGCCACCAGTCGAGGGGCCCTGGGACACCGGCGCCCTTTACGAGCAAGTCGGCAGATGAGAAGCTGGACCGCGCTGCGGCCATGAACTTTCTACGCTTCACTTATCTCCGCGGCGGGAGATCACTAAGATGCCGAAGGCGCACACGGCGAGAAGCATGCGACAGCGGCGTCGGGCAAGCTTACTTTCTTCTCACAGGGAGATTGAGCTTCGCACGAAAAGTCAAACCAACGCTGTCGCTGAACTGAGATCCTGTCTGTTACACTAGCCGCGTGAGTTGTGGCCCCTGAGCCGCGACACCGGCAAGGGAGGAGAGATATAAAGGAGAAGGAGGAGGAGGAAGAGGAGGAGGAGGAGGAGGAGAGAGGAGAAGGAAGGAGGAGGAGGGAGGAGGAGGAGGAGGGAGGACGAGGGAGGGGGGAGGAGAGAGGAGGCGGAGGAGGCCGACGAGGCGCCACCGCGGGCGCCTCCGCACGCGGGCGAAGGTCTCTGGGCGGCCGGTGTCCTGCGCGGGGCCATTTGGGCAGGGGGCGCTCCGGACGGCTGGCACCGACGAGGAGGAGGGCCCCCAGGGTTAGGTCGGGCTTGTCCTCCTGCAGGCGGATTTTGGACGAAAAATTGAAAACACACCAGAAATACGTAGCACCCCGCAATTGCGGATAAGAGTGAGGGGGCGGGCGCGGGCGACGCGGGCATCGAGCCGGCGAACCTCGTGATCCTCACCTTCCCTGTCGATGGCGCCCTCCTCCTCCTCCTCCTCCTGCTCCTCCTCCTCCTCCTCCTCCTCCTCCTCCTCTTCCTCGTCCGCGTCCTCGTCCTCATCGTCGTCGTCGTCGTCAGGAGGGTCCTCGAGCGCCCCGAGGCCCCTTAATTGTGGACGCCTTGAGGCAGATCCCCCTGAACCCAGGCTTTGGGCACGGATGCCGAATTGCAGCAGGCAGCTGGATTGTCAAGGAACGTGTTCAGACACAGCCCCGCCGCAGGCGCCAATGTGCTGTTGTAGAGTCAACGTGGGCCGGATCGGGGGAATGGCACGAGGGCGGTTTCCCAAATTAATGCGAGCAAGCCCGCCGCAGGCGCCGATTTGCGTGCTCTGACAAGTTCAGCGCGGGGGGGATCGCTGGTGGGCCACCCGGAACGAATGCAAAAACAGCCTGCCGCAGGCGCCGAATGTTTGGCTTGTTCAGTGAATGTAGTTTGGGTCGCGGGTGGGTCGTGGGCTCTCCACCTCCACCTGGAAGGAATTCAAAAACAGCCCGCCGCAGGCGCCGAAAATTTTGATTTGTACACTAAACGTTTGGGTCGCAGGTTCTCCACCTGGAACGAATGCAAAATAAACCCGCCGCATGCGCCGAAGTTTTGGCTTGGGTCGCGGGTGGGTCGCGGACTCTCCACCTCCACCTGGAAGTTCCTGGAAGGAATTCAAAAACAGCCCGCCGCAGGCGCCGAAAATTTTGATGTGTACAGTGTACGCAGTTTTGGCTGCGGGTGGGTCGCAGGTTCTCCACCTGGAACGAATGCAAAAGAAGCCCCCCGCAGGCGCCGAAAATTTTGGGTGGGTCGCGGTGGGTCGCGGGTGGGTCGCGGGTGGGTCGCGGTGGGTCGCGGGGGGGTCGCGGGTGGGTCGCGGGGGGTCGCGGGTGGGTCGCGGGGTGGGTGGGTCGGGGGGGGTCGTGGGTCGCGGGTGGGTCGCGGGTGGGTCGCGGGTGGTCGCGGGGTGGGTCGCGGGGTGGGTCGCGGGTGGGTCGCGGGTGGGTCGCGGGTGGGTCGCCGGGGGGGTCTCGGGGTGGGTATCGGGTGCGTCGCGAATTGGGTCGCTGGTGGGTCGCGAGTGGGTTGCGGGGTGGGTCGCCGGGGTGGGTCGCGGGTGGGTCGCGGGGTGGGTCGCGGATGGGTCGCGGGTGAGTCGCGGGTGGGTCGCGGGTGGGTCGCCGGGCGGGTCGCGAGTGGGTCGCAGGACGGGTCGCGGGTGGACGACGACAACAAACAACAAACAACAAACAACAAACAACAAACAACAACATACAACAACATATTACAACAACAACAACAACAATAATTTTAAGACTGTTCGCTCTTACTTGCCCGCGTGCCATGCAACGTGTATACCCACGCCCTCGATACCCGCCCCCTTCGTCTTCGAGCGCACCCCCTTGTGGGGGGATTTTTTCTTTTTGCGGGGGCGGGCGGGCTTAGAAAAGCGGGCGTGAACGGGCGGGGAATTATTCGGAGGATGGGGCACGCATCTCTTTGCCCACCATTGGAATTAGCGCGGGCCCTGCAAGAAGAGGAAGGGGGAGAACGAGGGAGAGTGGGAGGAAGGGAGGGGGAGGGACGAGGCTAAAGGGGAACACGCCAGGAGAGAGGGGGCGAGGAGGGGGGGGGGACGATTGGAAATAAAGAGACAGAGGAGGGAGGAAGGAGGAGGCTGGAGAGGGGAGGGCGAAGAGAGGAGGGAGGAGGGTTATGGGAGGAGGGCGAGGGGAGAGAGGAAGAGGGAGGAGGAGGGTGGATATGAGGGAGAGGGGAGGGAGGAGGGAGGTTGGATGGGGAGGAAGGGGCAGGAGGGTAAGAGTGTGAACGTTCGAAGAAGTCCTAGGCGAGGGCGTATTCCTCAAGGAAGAGTTGGGCGGGAACGGGGGTCCCGAGTACATTGTCGGACGTCTCAGGCGGGAGCGCCGGTCGGGCGGGCGGACCCTGACGGGCGGGTCGGGCGGGCGGGACATTCAGCGAGGAAGTATTAAGCGAGAGCGCGATTCCTAAGTAAATTGCGAGGGCGTCCTTGGCGCGAGCGTGGTTCCTGAGCGTCGAGAACGCGATGCTGCAATAAATTGCGAGGAAGTCCTAAGCGAGAGCGCCATTCCTGAGTAAATTATGAAGAAGTCTCGGGCGGGAGCAAGGGTCCTGATTAGGGAAGTCTCAAGCGGGAGCGCCGTTTCTGAGTAAAACGTTAAAGTCTGAAGCGGGAGCGCCCTTCCGGCGTAAATTTTGAGGAAGTCTCAGGCGGGGGCGGGGGTCCTGAGTAAATTGTAAGGAAGTCTCAAGCGGGAGCCGTTGTTGTTGTAGTCCGGGGCCCAACAACGCAATCTGATCCGCAAGGCTTTCCCTGTCAAAAAACAGGGTGCGAGCCCCGGAGGAAGCACTTCAATTCAACAAAAAAACAATGGGCACCGGACAGGGGGGATCAACAATAATTATTCATCAGAAATGAGAGTTCAACAACAGCAACAACAACCATTTTAAGGCTGTGCGCTCTTACTTGCCCGCGAGTCATTCAACACGTATACCCTACACCCTCGATGCCCGCCCTCTTCGTCTTCGATCACACCCCTTTCGGGGGGATTATTTCTCTTTGCTGGGGCCGGCGGGCTTAGACGTACGGGCAAACCGGAACGGGCGGACAATCCTTCGGGGGCGTACATCTCTCTGCCCGCCATTGGAATTGGCGCGGGCCCTGCAAGAGGAGGAGGGGAAGAACGAGGGAGAGTGGGAGGAAGGGGAGGGGGAAGGACGAAGGAAGAGGGAAGATACCACGTTGTGAAGGCGTCCTTGGCGCGCGCGTGGTTCCTGAGCGCCGAAACGCAATTCCAGAATAATTTGTGAGGACGTCGCACGCGAGAGCGCAGTCCTGAGTACATTGTGAGGAAATCTCAGCGGAAGCGGGGGCCCTGACTAAGTTGCGAGGAAGTCTCAAGCGGGAGCGCCGTTCCTGAGCAAATTGCACGGAAGTCTCAGGCGGGAGCGGGGGTCCTCACTAAATTGCGAGGAAGTCTCAGGCGGGAGCGCCGTTCCTGAGTCAATTGCGCGGAAATGTCAGGCAGGAGCAGGGGTCCTGAGTAAAATTCGAAGAAATCTCAGGCGGGAGCGCCGTTCCCACGTAAATTGCACGGAAGTCTCAGGCGGGAGCGGGGGTCTTGATTACATTGCGAGGAAGTCTCAGACGGGAGCGCCTTTCCTGAGTAAATTGCGCGGAAGTCTCAGGCGGGAGCGGGGGTCCTGAGTAAAAATCGAGGAAGTCTCAGGCGGGAGCCGTTGTTGTTGTAGCCCGGGGGGCAGGGGCACAGTTTGAGCAGGAAGACTTTCCTTGAGAAAAAACAAGGTGCGAGCCCCGGGGGTGGCACTTCAATCGAAAAAAATCAATGTGCACCGGTGGGGGGGGATCAACAATAATTATTCTTCAAGAATGAGAGTTCAACAACAACAACAACAACAACAACAACAACAACAACAACAACAACAACAACAACAACAACAACGACAACGACAACGACAACGACAACGACAACGACAATGACGACAACAACAACAACAACAACAACAACAACAACAACAACAACAACAGAACAACAACAACAACAACAACAACAACAACAACAACAACAACAACAAGAATCCGCATCGCGGAATTCCACTTCAGCCACGCACCCAGGGACAGTGAATGACCGTTCGGTTCAGCCCCCTCACTCTGATTTCTGAATATTCCTCCTGTAGAGGGACAGGCCCGACTTAAAGAAAATGTTGCTCAACTACCTTCCGTTGCCTCGCCTGGCATCTTCCACTGCCTTCACCTGCCCCCAGGCCCCATACTTGCTACTTGCCTCTCCGTGCACCTTCAACTTCCATTCCTTGTCTCTTCTTGCCTCTTCAACTTCCTCTCCTTGCCTCTCCTTGCCCCCAGGCCCCCGATGTGATTTAAACGTCCTTTCCTTGCCTCTCCTTTTCTCACTAATGGGGGGGCGTCGGGGGGGGGGGGGGGGGACGTTGGGGGGGACGTTGGGCGGGGATGGGCTTAGAGGGAAGGAACATCGAGCTTGAATCGGCGATGCATCGCCGACAGATCGGCGATAGGCCCCCGACAGCGAGTCGGCACGCTCCTGGGCGGGGTGGGCCATCGGGCCCCTGTCGGTGATCAATGGGCAATTGGGGTCGATGCGTCCCCCCTGAGCCTATCCTCCATAACGTTGTCCCAAAGAGAGGGGCTTACCGACTTGTGCTGTTCATCGACTCGTGCCGGAGAAGACACGGCAACGACACAACACCCGACCGACCCAAACTGACCGAATGCACACGACTTCGAGGCAGCCGAACCGACCGACTCGTAAACACTCTCGTCCTCCCTCCTCTTCCCTCCCTCCCCTCCTCCCTCGTCCTCGAAAATGGTCATGAAGCCCCGGGGCTTTCCCCTGCAACCAACTTTTCCGTGCGAGTCACGGCTCTGGGGCCTAGCCCAGCCGTGACACGTAATTAGACGCCGAAAGCTGCGAAACATTTACAGGACCAGTGTCCTGCAGGACGCGTTCCCTTCATGCCCAGGCATCGTCCGATCTGTGTTGTTCCATTTGCGGCCCCGGGAATTTTCTTGGCCCCTTCCCATGGGCAATGCTATGCCTCAGGTCCGTGTCTGACTGCTCCGGGGACCGACAATGTCCCCCCCCCCCCCTCTCCTGGGAGGCCGAAGTCTAAGAGAAACGCCAGACACGGAACAGTCAATCCGCCCTCCCTCCTGCCCCCTCTCCCCCCGGGCACAAGGTCCTCCTCGGAGCCCATTCAGAATGCGAGCCCGTTCGGCGGCCCATTCAGGTCCCCCTCGGAGCCCATTCAGAATGCGAGCCCGTGCGGCGGCCAGGCGGGCTCAGACGCCGACTGGGCTCTGAAGCGCACCTTCCCGGACATCCGCCGATGTGGTTTTGGTCAGCCCACGGCCCCAGAAACCCCGAGCCCTTCCCCGGGCCGGTCTTTCGTCCCGGTTCTAATTCTGACGGCCCCAGGGCCCGAGAAGAGCCCCCAGAAACCGAAATCATAGGAAGTTCCCCAGATTGCAAAACATCATGTCCTCGGATATCTAGGCTGGGGCAGGCCAGGGGGCGGGGGCGGCGGCGGCGGTCCCACAGCAGCACGAGCCCAGCGGCGCTCGCCGCCCATGCCGGAACGTCCTTCTCGGGGGGGCGCGGGGTTGGGGGGGAGGGGGCTCACCGGCTGCCAGAAGGAGGAGGAGGACGACGAGGAGGAGGATAAGAAAAACCAGTGCAAACCCAAGACGCATCACCGATGCAAAACTAAACCCTCCCTCCAAGTTCCCACTGCGTAGATCCTTACAACAATATATTTTCATTGCGGGAAGTGCCCCGATGGAGAATTATCGTCTGAGAATCCTCCATCGTGCCAAAAAGCCGTTCCTCGGACTTCAACGCAACGAATCAACATTATTGATTCGTCCTGGCATTCCTAAACCGCGCCAGAACAACTTGACCTTGACATTAAGACCGCGAATCAACTTGACTGTTGCGGCATGACCATTGTACATCGCGTCATCCCCAGTAAGTCGTGAGAATGCCCAATGCGAGAGCGTGATTCCTGAGTGTCGAGGGCGCGGCCCACGCGAGAGCGCGATTCTTGCATACATTGTGAGGAAGTCCCACGCGAGAGCGCGATTTTGAACCACATGTGAAAAGTATCAGGCGGGAGCCGTTGTTGCTGTTGTTGTTGCATGTTAAGCACTAAGCAATTATTAGTGTTGGACCCCCCCGGGCGCTTTGGCGCTCTCGCCTCGGCGCCGGCTACATTTTCATCGACACTGAAGCTCACGCTCGAGCGGTTTGGGGGAGCGCCATCACCGGCCCCCCAACAACAATGCTCCCGCTCGAGACTTCCCACTTTTTTACCCAGGGCCAGTGCTTTTGCTCGCCGCCGAAAGCCGCCGTCCAAACAAAACCAGCGCCCCCGCTCGAGACTTCCTCCCATTTTACCTTGGACTGGCGCGCTACTCTTTCTCATCGGCGCCGCCCCCAGTAACAACAACGCTCCCGCTCGAGATTCCCTCCCTTTTACTCAAGGCGGTGCTCCTCCTCGCAGCCGAAAACCGCCGTCCCGACAAAATCAACGCTCCCGCACGAGACTTTCTCTCGCTTTACGCTGGACTGGCGCCCTACTCTCTTTTGAATTGGCGCCGCTCCCAGCAAGAACAACGCTTACGCTCGAGGCTTCCTCCCTTTTTCCTCAGGACGGTGCTGTTTTTCGCCGCCGACAGCACCCGTCACGACAAAACCACGGCTCCCGTTCGAGGCTTCCTCCCGTCTTACTCAATGCGGCGTTCCTCCCCGCCGCCGACACACCCGTCACGACACAATCAACGCTCCCTCACGAGACTTCGTTTTGTTTTACGCTGGACCAGCGCCCTACTCTCTTCAGCATTGGCGCCGCTCCCCGCAACAACATCGGCCCTGCTCGAGACTTCCTCCTTTTCTGTTCAGGGCCAGCGCCTTGCCTCGCCGCTGACGGCCCCCATCCCGACCAAGGCAATCCTGTCGCTCGATACTTCCTAGTGCTTTACCCTTGGCTGGGACTCCACTGGCGGTCTCGCATCAGCGCAGCAAGGCGCGGGCATGTGTTTTCGAGGCGGGATGTGTTGAAATTCCTCGGAGGAGGTGTTTGCAAGACCTCATTGGGCGGGAAATCTGGGAATGGGAATAACGGCCCCGTTATAGAACAACAATCCCCCATGATAGGGGATAATTATCATGATGGTCGCATACTTCGTGTGGGAACATCGCGCATGAGGGTCAAATGATTGTTGTTGCACTTCGGGTGCCAACAACCCGAGCTGAAGCGCAAAACGTTCCATTGACGAGCCCCGGGCTTGAGCACTTTAATTGAAATGAGCCTGGCAAAAGACCCAAACAGATGCAGCTGCGAACCCAGCAAGACAGGTGGGAACTAAGAGATGGGGGCTAGCAAAAGGACTAAGGCGCGCGTGAGACGGACGGAGCGACGTTGCTGTTGGGGTCGCAAAGGTCAGCCGCAACGGGTCACATCTGGATGTCACCCGTCACGGCTGGTCTGAGCGTCTGTCTGCCTAGCCCTGGGGAGCAGAAGGATGCGGCCTGGGGAGCAGCAGGCGGCGGGGCATTTTGGTGGAGCTCCTATAGGGCCACGAAACGTGCGAGGGGTGTGCCAGAATGGGCGCGATCACGCATGCGATTCCTGCCGATGGGGCATTCGGTGGAGCCCCCTAGGGGGCCGCGAAACGTGCGAGATGTGAACCCGAAATACGCGCGCTCAAGCATGCGGTTCCTGCCACTGGGTCCTTCGGCGGAGCTCCGTACGGGGCCACGAAACGTGTGAGGGGTGCGCCAAAGTGGGGTAACAGCGGCATGCGAAAGCAGCCACAGGGGCCTTAGGTGGAGTTCTCTATGTGGCCACGAAGCGTGTGAGGGGTGCGCCAAAGTGGGGTGGCGGCAGCATGCGAACGCAGCCACTGAGGCCTACGGCGGAACTCCCGACGGGACCACGATGCGTGTGAGAGGTGCGCCAAAATGGAATGGCGGCGGCATGCGGGCGCAACAACTGGAGCATATGTTTTTAGCCGTGTGCCAGGCCCGCGCGGCGCGAGCTCAGGTTCTAGCAACCGCGCAGTAGCGGTCGCCGAGGGCGCAGGCGGCAGGCGAAAGCCTAAAAGCGGGGCCTCAAGTGGCAAAGGAGCAAGCTAGCAAAAGGGCCAACACGACGCCACCCGAGCAGAACCCCTCGCAGGAGATCCGTATGGGGGCACGAGAAATGCGTGCGGGGTGCGCTAAAATGGGTTGGCGGCGGCATGCGAACGCGGCCGCTGAAGCCTTAGGCGCAGCTCCCCATGTGGCCACGAGAAGCGTGCGAGAGGTGCGCTCAAGTGGTGTAGCGGCGACATGCGAACGCGGCCACTGAGGCCTTCGATTGAGCTCCCCATCAAGTCAGGAAGCGCGTGAAAAGTGCGCCAAAGTGGGGCGGCGGCTACATGCGAACGCAACCTCTAAGGCCTTAGGCGGAGTTCCGTATGGGGCCACGAAGCGTGTGAGGGGTTAGCCAACGTGGGGTAGCGGCAGCATGCGAACGCAACAATTGGGGCCTTCGGCGGAGCTGCGTATGGGACCACAAAGCGTGACAAGGGTGCGCCAAAGTGGGGGGCATGCGAACGCCTCCACTGGGGCCTAAAGCGGAGCTCCCTATGGGGCCACGGAGAATGTGAGGGGTGCGCCAAAGTGGGGTAGCGGCGGCATGCGGGCGCCTCCACTGGGGCCTCAGGCATAGCTCCCTATGGGGCCACGAAGCATGTAAGGGGTGCGCAAAAGTGGGGTGGCGGCGACGTGCGAACGCAGCCTCTGAGGCCTTAGGCGGAGCTCCGCATGGAGCCACGAAGCATGTAAGGGGTGCGCGCAAGTGGGGTGGCGGCGGCATTCGAAAGTAGCCACGGGGGCCCTAGGCGGAGGTCCCCTAGGGGCCACGAAACGTGCGAGGGGTGTGCCAAAGTGGGGTGGTGGGACACAGGAGGGAGAGGAGGAAGGCGAGAAGGCGAGAAGAGGAGAGGAGAGGAGAGACGCGGGGCGTCGTTGATTCAAATCGAGGACTCAACTCGGCACAGGATGGTTTCTAAAAACAAGATCGGCACCGAAGGGGGATCAACATTACTGAGTCTTTCGACATGCGGATTTCGTACTTTAAACACTGCTCGTTCCTACATGCCCGCGTACCACTCAACGCGTGTATCCCAAACCCTCGATACCCGCCCTCTGTCTTCGATCATGCCCCCCCGTTGGGGGCAGATCTTCTTCACCTGCCGCGTGTCCTTTGCGCAGCCCCCAGAACCGGGGAGGGGAGGAGGGATGGGACGATTGGAGCACGACAGAAATCAGGAGGGGGGCTGTAGGAGTAGAGAGACCAGTGGCAGCACCAGACGGGCGGGTCAGGAGCACGAGCGCCGGGGGCAGATCCGGAAGGGCGAGTCGGGCGGGCGGACCCTGGCAGGAGGGGCCAGGCGGGCGGGCCCAGGCGGCGGAGTGCGGGCGGGCCGCTGAAGCGTCAGTCATGCACACAGCGCGAGGAGGTCTCGAGCGGTGGCTCGCATCCCGAGTGAATCGGAGGACGTCCACAGCGAGAAAATGATTCCTGAGTGTCGAGGGCGCGGCGTCTTCAGAAAGTGCGAGGAATTCCCACGCGCGCGCACGATTCCTGGATACGTTGCAACAAACTCCCGCGCGAGAGCGCGATTGTGAATGGAGTTTGAGGAGGTATCAAGCGGGAGCTGTTGTCGTTGTTGAAGTGCGGGGGGCAACGTCCCAGTCTGAGGCTCAAGACTTTTCTTCACAAGCAATCAGTTGCGAGCCCCTGGAGGGGCACTCCGATTGAAAAAAACAATGGGCACCGGTCGGCTACACGCAGGAGTGACCCTAGGCAAGAGTGACCTTTGGTGCGCGGTTTAACGGGTGACGCGGGGTGGCCAAACCTGGGCGCGCAAGCCGCTGCTATCGTTTCGCGTTCGGCGATCGGGTGACCCCATTGGGCCCGCATCAAAGGTCCCTCCCGCGAAAGGTCACGCTCACGACTAGTCGTACTGGAGGGGGGGGACCAAGCAAGCAAGCAAGCAAGCAGGTCAAATGCGGACAGCGCGTGCCGCACACCGCCTCGTGCCCCCCCACACGCAGACACGGGGCCCGACAGTTGGCAGCCGTGGATGCCATCCTAACCGCCTACAGAACTCCATGTACAGCTATCGTGCTACAGTGAAGATCGCCGAATAAGGAACGAAGGGGCTTTTCTGGCCACAGCGAGTCTCAGCCACGAACATGCTCCAAACCATAAGTCTAAGGAACGGCCCGAAAACCTGAGCCCCCCCAGAGCCAAAGGTGGTCCAGCCCTCGCGCCTTCTGAAAGGTTTTCCGCATCCTCGTGGAAGGCTCAGACACTTCTCAGAAGGCTAGAGGCCTTCCGAGTCTTCTAAAAAAACCTGCCCCGTCTTACTTCCTCCCAGGCGCACCGCCGAAACATATCCTGCCCACTGAAAGCTTCGTCTTGAGACCACTTGCACCCAATTCAATTACGGACAACGTGCTACCGGGTGACCTTGACCGCTGTGCGTGTCGAGCGTATGATCCCGCTGACCCAGTCTTTCAACGTCTCCCGCCATCCAAATCAATAAGCAACATTCCTCTTCGCACCAACGACTAACCTGAACGTTTTCCGCTGCAACCTGATGACCACGTACTATCACGGACTCGCGCATCAAAGACAATGTCCAAGACGAGCAACAATACAGAGCAAAGTGGACGACAATAGTAAACAGACGCAAACGATGGAAAAAAGGATAGCACCGATCAGTCAACTCATCCCGATGAGGGGGGATCAACAATAAGTCTTCTTTAGAAGTGAAAGCGCAGCAACAAAAATTACATCCTCGGGATTCGATCACCCTCCTATCCCTCCCCCTTCCCTCGAACCTCGAACATCGATCCTTGAACCCCTTCCCTTGATCCTCGAACATCGATTCTCGAGCCTCGATCCTCAAACCTCGATCCTCGAACTTCTTCCCTCGATCCTCGAACCTCGAACCTCGAACCTCGGTTCCTCTCCCTCCCCCTGCCCTCTATCCTCGAACACCTCGATCCTCGAATCTCGATCCCCTCCTCGAACCTCGATCCCCCTCGTCTGGCGCCCCTGGGCGGCGCCTCCACCGGCGCCTCGAACGCCTCCAGCCAGAGGCGCGCCCGGTAGTACTTCGTCTCCAGCACGGCCTGACAGGGTCGGCGCCGCCCCGACGGGTACTCAGCAAATGGCGACCCTGATCTACGCTGAAGCACATACCCGGACCCCCATCGCGTCGTGAAGTCACAACGGGCGACTTTTTCCCAACCATCGTGTGGTGCTGGGTCCTCGTATTGAAGAGACAGCGCCCCGCGTACTCTCCTTCTCCTATCCTCTCCTCTCCTCTCCTCTCCTCTCCTCTCCTCTCCTCTCCTCCTCCCACTCCTCCCCCCACCACGCCCAATTAGGCACGCACACCCCTCACAGTTCGTGGCCCTATAGAAAGCTCCACCGAAGGCCCCAGTGGCAGGGTCCGCATGCGCCCGACGCCCATTTTAGCACACCCCTCACACGGTTCGTGGCACCATAGGGAGCTCCACCGAAGGCCCAAATGGCAGGGTCCGCATGCGCCCGACGCTTATTTTGGGTCATCTCTCACACAGTGCGTTGCATCATAGGGAGCTCCTCCGAAGGCCAAGAGGAAATCTCAGGCGGGAGCCCTAGATATATAGCCCCCTTCCACGCCGCAGTCCTTTTGCTGGCCCCCATATTTCGTCTCACCTGCCTCGCGAAACACGCAGCTGCATACGGTTGGGCACTTCGTCAGGCTAATTTGTTTTGTTATTTTCGGCCTCTGGGGGCTCTCGTCGGGCCCCAAGACCGTCCAACAAATACTCGGGATGAAAAGCTGGCCCCGGGGAAGGGGTCCAGACCTCTGGAAATCCGTCGTGAAAAAATCACGACGTCGGGAGTCTGGCCGGGGCCATCCTGGGCCCTGGCATGGCGCGCACTCCCTCCCAGCCTGGGCCAGGAGCTCTGATGACACCACCCTGGGGCCCAGGATGGCCCTGGCCAGGAATGGTGGTGGTGCACAGACGCCGCCGGCGGATGATCGACGCAAGAGCGTGGTTCAATGATGGGGTCCTGAGGGGTAGGGTCCTAAAGATAATAAGAAGAGACCCAAGGGTGGATGTACACTGTTTGAGGCACCTCGCCTTCAGGACCCGATCCCTCACGACCCCATCTTTGAACCAGCGATGCAAGAGCGTAGCGCGCTTTCCTGCCACTCTCCCGCGCACAGATGACGCTGTCCTGCCACCTCCTGGCGGCGCTGCCGTAGGAGGCCGTTGCCGAGTACCCGCCTCGGTGGCGCTGACACAGCAAATGGCCCAGACATCTGCGGCGGCTCGAGAAAAATGAGACAGGTGCCGCCGAGGATCCAGGGTCGTGGTTCGAAGAGATGTTTCGCCATTCTTTCGGGGGTTGCTGAAAGTGTCCATGGCCCATGGTGTGTCCCTAACGTGTCGCTCAATTTTGGAACCCCTAAGGTCTTCTGGGCCTCGCGAGGGGTGCCCTGGAAAACGTGGGGGCCTCCTTGGGAATCCTGGGGGCAACGTGGGCCAGGAACACCTCTGGCAACGCCCGAGCCTTGCCCTCCGAAGCCCGCTTTGGGTCCCGAGGGGCCGTCAGAAAGATATCCGGAATGGGAATCCAGCCTGCTCCCCTCCGTTGTCGGGCCCCCTCGGGTCGCACCCCCCTCCCAACCCTCTTGGCCTCCCCCGAGCTGCCTGGGGATTTCGGCCCCCGGGCCCGACATCCGGCTGCTCGAGAAACGCGAGACTGCAACCTGTTGCCATAAGAGGAACCAAGAGATTGAACCTGATAGACTGTCGGAACTCCAAGCGGATTTCTTTGACCGGCGCTGATCAGGGTGGGGGTGGGGGCACTTAGCCCAGATCCAAGAAATCCGCGCGGAGTTTCGAAAGTTGATGGTTATGAGGCTGTGTGTTCCTCGGTCGATGATCCATCTGGGGCCTCTGGAAGGTCAGTTCGAGGTTCGAGGGCACATGTTTTTGACCTCCTCGCCCCTCCTCTCCTGGGGCGCACGCCTCGAAACTGCCTGCGGCTAGCTCCCTCTCGGAACTGCCTGGCCAGAGCGCACCCGTGTAATTACGAGTGCGGGGTCAAGTCTTGGCCCTGTCGCGAAGAAGTGAAGGCGGCGAGTCCAGATCTCCAAATAAGAAGGGGACCTCTTTGGGGGGGACTACGGGCCTCGTCGGACGAGATTGTGTGGGGGTGGCCTCGGCTTGGGACCGTTTGCCGTCCAGATAGGGGGGGATTTTGATGCGGTCGCGCCGCTCTTTCGGGAGGGGGGTCCCAGATGCAGGAGGACGAGGAGGAGGGGGAGGAGAAGGAGGAGGAGCAGGAGGAGGGAGAGGAGGAGCCGAGCGTAGAGAGAGAGAGAGAGACGTCCTGTCTGACTGAAGGACAAACGAATCCGCGACCCCGCGAGGGAGTGATCAGAGACAGCGAAACAACATAGATACCGAAGGAGCACCGACGACAGCGGGAGGACAGCCGGGTCCACCCACACTCAGATGACGTGAACCAGATAGCCTCCGCATCGGCCTGCAGGAGGCATGCGCCGCATGCGCGCGAAATCCTCGATAGCTGACGGCTCTTGATCTTTCCACAGACCGAGCAGACCTCTTCGTCCTCTAGCACGGACTCGACGTAAGACGCCGAGCCCACGTGGATGCCAGCATTCACATCGACAGAGGCCGGGCCACCACGATCCCGAGCAGCGCGAGCCATGCGAACATGCTGTGCGATCAAATCGGATGAGATCAACTCCTGGAACGACTTCGAGACGGAGTCCACAATCATCTCCCTATTCTTTGTAGCAACCTCCCCGGGCAGAGCAATGAGCTCTTGAATGGCAACCGCATGTGCCGCGACCTGTTCAGAAGAGCTTGTGACAGAAAAAGCCAGCGGCACCATACTCGAACGGAGGTCCTCGATCGCATTCATCGCCTTGTGAGACTTCTGCAACAGAGCCGCAGTATCCCGCAGCACGGATACATCAGCAGCGAGATTGTGGAGCACACCAAGGGCCTCCAACGAGATATGGTCACGCGCGGTGGGCATAATCTCGTTTACATTGGCGCAGTGAGTGGGAGCGAGTGGGCGCTCCACTTCTCTACAGTGGCCTCCGAGGGGTTGACGACGAGAGCGTTCCCCTTGGCCGACTCCGCGGCGAGGTGGCGGCGGCACTCCTCCACCCCAGACGCGAAGGGGGACGCGATGTCGACCTTGTGCTGGCGGATGGATCCAACGGCAGAGGATAACTTTGTCTCAAAAACCTGACCGTCAGGAACGCAATAGAGACGATAACCAATGCACTGCACGTGCACGCGCTGGGACTCCGTAGCCTCGTCACGGACCTCTTGGGTTTTGGTGTCGAAGAGCTGGACAGCCTCCGCCATCTGCGCATCCAGGTCTAGCAGAGTCTGGTCAGATCGCTCACGCAAGAGACTCAAGGCACCACTGGGCACAATAGTGGCGACCATTTCCTCCAGCTCGTGCATCCAAGAGAATAGTTTTATGTTTTGTCCGACTTCTGTTCGGTTGCTCGCAACCCAAAGCCGCGTGTCCCGTGTCGACATCTGACAGTCCTCGAATAACTGCCACGAGTGTTCAGTGGTCCGTTCTCTAAGATGATCGGGATAATATCTCATTTCAGAACAGACGCTGGGAACAGAAGGCGGCAAAACAAAAGAGCCAGAACCGCCGTCCAACCAGTATTGATCAGAGTCAGAACAGGTGCCCCAAAATGTGCAAGGATCGGTAGCCTCCACAGGCAGCATATCCACCCACTCAATAGGGCGTTCGGGGCACAGCCCGGGGAACACGAACTCCGAAATTTCTGAGCCGCTCCCAGTCCGGCGACGCCGTGGGGCTCCGAGTGGTATGCGGCGATGGCGATCTCAGAGGAAGGAAAACATCGGCGTCAGAACGCAAACGCAACTTTTGCCATCGACGGGCACATATCACTTTACCAGTCCCATGGGGGGGCGCATGCCTCCTCACAGAAGACGACGTGGAGCTCCCGACCCGCACGCCGAAAAAGGCGACGACAATTGCGATAAACATGATCCCCAACAATCGGCGTGGCAAGCGTCGCGGCGTGGGACGGATGATGCACGTTGTGTTGGAGCACTTCGCACAAGAAAGCGTGCCGTCGAATAGCAGAATGTTGAAGGGACGGGTCAAGATCACAATACGTTTGCTTCTCCAGAAGACGAATGCGTGCAGCCAAGCAATTGATCTTCGAGGGCATGAGGAAAATACAGCGCCGCCGTCGGTCTCGTAGCCAAGCGCAGGCGGACATGAACAAAGCAGAAGGTAGCATAACCAGATTGCCTCCTGTCGGCTCTTGAGCCAAAATGCCTAAGGAGGAGGGAGAGAAGGAGGAGGAGAAGGAGGAGGAGGAGGAGGAGGAGCAGGAGGACGAGGAGGAGGACGAGGAGGAGGAGGAGGAGAAGGAGCCTTGAAACACGTTTTTGGCTTCCCCCCTGCTACTTTGAGATTTGGGGCAGCTGCTTGCCACTCTGGGCCTCGGGAGGCTGGCTTCGGGCCCCGCGACCGCCAACATGACGACCCACGGCGAAAAACTGACACCCAACGAACTTGCCGTCGCTCGGGCGTCCATTTCCCGTGTATGTTTCGGTGTCGTGCGTGTTTTGATTGCTCGATGATGCAGGATGCTCCTCGATGGCCCTCGCCAGCAAAACTGCACAAGTCCGAGCGAGGCAAAGCGAAGGGGGGGGGGCTTCGAACAGTGGGTAGGAGGCCCCGCAAAGATCGAGAGGACGCTTGGCGGCGCGCACAACGGGCGAGGGGTCGAGGGGATCTGGTGCAATTTCTGTTCACCCTGGATCCGTATTGATGGTCCCAGGGCCTGGAAACGCCTCCCGGAGACCGAGAAGGGCAAAAACCATTGCCGAACCCAGCGCCTCGAACCTCCCCCCCCTTCCTGCTGGCCGGAACCAGTGCTGGGCCACTTGAAACCCCCAGCTGGCACCAAAGAGAGATGAGGTGGGAGTCCGACAGAACTCCTCCGAGACATCCGGCGTCTCGATTTTGTCGAACACACAATCTCCTGACCTCTCGACCACTTCCCCAGGACCGGATTTTCGCCCGGAGTCTTTTTTTGGCGGCCCCGAGGACCGGCAGGAGCCCCGACAGGCCGAACAACGATGAGAAGCCTTCATCTTGATTTTTTCGAGACGCTGGATGCCTGGGCTGAATTGAGGGGGCGCGGAGGAGGGCTGGGAAAGAAGCGCGGAGAGTGCGAGGCGGGGATCTATCCACATCCACTACTGAGGTAACCGACGTCCTGAGATCCCAGCGGGCGGTGGATGTAGTTAGATAATTATCTTTGGGCCCCTGTAGGCCTGGGGCGGCCTGAACATACAGTGGGGGCCCGACCACAAGAAACCCTCCACGAGAAACCCAACCCTGCGACCCCAGGACGTCCACGGACTTTTGGCGTGGGAGCGCTGCGCTCCCCATCGCAGAACCAGCGACACCCGAGAAACCCGGCGCACCCTGGAGGCAAGCAGGGTGCTTCTTGGCGCGCGCCCCCCCCCCCCCCCCCCCCCCTGCATCCACACCCACCGCCTGCACGAGGTCCCCGGAGAGCGGTCCCCCGGGCGGTGGTTCTGGACGGAGCCCCGCCTCGGCGCGAGTGACCACGGGCCGCGGGCCTGGCCGCCCGTCGAGCACTCGGCGCGCGCCTCGCCTCGCCGCCGACGGGGGCGGGGGGGGGGGCCGCCTCAGGGCGAGCGCGGTGCCATTGGCAAGGCCTCGGGCTGCGCACAGACAGCCCCTCCCCAGGTGGCCCTGGCCGACCTCAACATGAGAGGCAACGATAGACGACAGGAGGGGGGGGATGGGCATCGGGGGGGGGGGGGGGACATCGACCTGGAATCGGCGAAACATCGCCGGTGGATCGGCGATAGGCCCCCGATGGCGGACCCGCACCTTCCTGGGCGGTGTGGGGCTGTCGGGCCCCCGTCGGCGATCAGTGGGCGATTGGGGGTCGATGCGTCCGCCCCCCTGTGTCTATCCCCCTCGATCGTTGCCCCCGATTACAGGCCTCCCGAGCAGTCCGGGGCGGTCTCAACACCCTGGCGCTGCCTCCGGCGGCGCGCCTGGAGCGCTCCGCGCCCCATGTTCGTGGTGTTGGGGCCACCCCAGACTACTCGGGGGGGCCTGTTGAGCTGGGACTACTCGGGGGGCCGGTTGAGGCCGGCCCAGACGAAGACTGCCTACTACCTGGGGGAGGGGCAATCTTTGCGCAACCCGAGGCCCTCCCGGGTATCACGATGCGACTGGCTCAGGATGCGGTCGGGAACTCCTGCTCAGTCTGCTCAGCGTCATCGCGGCGGCGGCCCCGGCGACAGGCTACGCCCTGCGAGCGGATAGGGTGCCGCTCCGCTCCACGGGGCGGGGTGCCGGGAAACGCTCGGGACGTGGACGCTCGGGGTTCAGAACGTGGATCGCGGGTCGCGCCGAAGCGTGGTGGGCCAGACCCGGCGGAACGACACGCTGCCCAGCAATTCCCAGCCGTATGTTCCAGGCATTCCTGGAATATCTGGCGACCCTCGTTTCTGGAGCCCGCGCGGAACACCAGGAAATCTGGGAAATCTGGCAACAACATGGAACTCTTGGCGCGTATCGTGACTTCCGTCTGTCCCCTCACCCCCTCCACCACCAGTTGGCGACGCCTCTCAGAAGGGGATCTTGTCGGAAGGGCCTGGGGGCCTCTAAGAAGGCTCCTGAAAAGCCAGGAGGGCTTCCAAGAAGGTCCCTCAATTCCAAGGAGCCCCCGCCCTTCTTAGACGGATGCCCCCCTCGCGCCACGTCCCTTTGTGCACGCCGCAAGCCGCCCCCCTCTCCACATCGAGGCTTCCGAGGTCCGCCAGGAAAAACCACTCAGGTTTTGAGAATAAAGACGAGGAAGGTGACGAGAACGAGAATAAGGACGGGAAAAAGGACGAGAACAAGGGCGAGAAAGGGAAGGGTGGGAACGAGGAAGGGGCAGAAGAGGGAAAAGGAGGAGGAGAACGAGGGAGTGGGAAAAAGATGGATGTGAGGGAGCAGCGAGCGGGAGAGGGAGGGGGAGGATGGGAGGATGAAAGCGGTCTCACCGCGCCAACCATCACGCTCGGGTTTCGAAGCTCCCTGACCCAGCCCCAGAGAGGGGAAGGGGCTGAGTGGGGGTAGGGGTGTCTTTTAGGAAATTAAAAAACAACACAAGCACAAACATTCGAGAGAGCGTGACCCACCGCCGCTTTACTGTGGAAAATTGCCAACCTTTTCCTCCGGAGCCCGGGGGAGCCTCCGAATCCCCTCCCCCCACCCCGCCCCAAAACCCGTCCCCCCTCCCCCCCCCCCCCCCCCCCCCCCCCCCCCATAACCCCCCCCCCCCCCCCCCTCTCCCCGGTCACTACCCACCCCCCCCCCCCCCCCCCCCCCCCTCCCGGGTCCGAAAACCGGGGGGGGGTCACTACCGGTTCGAACCCCCCCCCCCCCCCCCCCCCCCCCCCCTACTCACCGCCAGCAAACGACTCCCGGTCCCCACCACCGTCCGCATCACATCCCCCACTGGTGTTCCCAGCACCACTGTCCTCACCACCGCTGTCCCCACTGGTTCCACCACCGCCCCTACTGTCCCCACCAGTGGCCCCACCACTGTCGCACTGTCCCCGCTGTCCCCAGAACTGTTCCCACCACGGTTCCACTCTCCCCACTGTCTCCACGGCCCCAACCACTGCCCGACTATCCCCACTGTCCCCACTGTCCCACTGACTCCTCCGCTGTCCCACTGAGCTGTCCCACTGTTCCCACCACTGTCCCCACTGTCCCCACCACTGTCCCCACTGTACCTCTGTCCCATTGTCCCACCGCCGTCCTCGCCACCGCCTTCACCACTGTCCCCACCACCATTGTACCCTCCACTGTCCCACTGTTTCCACCTCATTCCCATTGTCCCCACACCACTGTCCCCACCACCACCGTCACCACCACTGTCCACTGTCCCCCCCTGTTCCCACCATTGTCCCCACCACTGTCCCCACCACTACCGTCCCCACCGCTGTCCCACTGTCCCACTGTCCCCACCACTGTCCCGCTATCCCCTCACCACTGTCCCCACCACTACCGTCCCCACCACTGTCCCACTGTCCCCCCACTGTCCCCACCACTGTCCCGCTGTCCCCTCACCACTGTCCCCACCAACACCGTCCCCACCACTGTCCGCACCCCCACTCGGTTTTCGAGGGGGGGGGGGGGGGTTCGAACCGGTAGTGACCCCCCCCCCTTTTCATGATGAGCGGGGGGGGGGGGGGGGAGGGGTTCGAACCGGTAGTGACCCCCCCCGGTTTTCCGGACGGGGGGGGGGGGGGGAGGGGTTCGAACCGGTAGTGACCCCCCCCGGTTTTCCGCCAGCAGCGGTAGAACACGCTCTTTCAAACATTCAGGAGTCGGAGCGGATTTCTTGGATCGGCGCTGGGCCCCCCCTGACGAGCCTCCGGCGCACAGTGCCGATCCAAGACATCCGCGCGGACCTGCCAAGTTTATGGTTACAATGTGTTCTTTTTCGATTATCATGGGCCGCAGCACTGGCGCTTCGCTCTCTATGGTCTGAGCGTCCCGCCAAGCTCCAGCTCCCTCTCCGCGACCGCCCTTCTCTCGCCCTTCCTTCCTGGTGCACATCTGCCAAATCGCAACCCGCTTAGGCCTGCCCGATCGGAGCGAGCGCCCACGCTGCGACAAACAAAACATACACCAGAAAAGCACCCCAACAGCAGCGAGGCGCGGCCATGCGCATCTGAACTTATTCCCCAATCAGTGCTTGCACCGAAGGGGTGCTAGCGGAAATTGAAAGATTTGGCGAAAATGTCCCGCCGATTTTGGTGGCCAGCTGGGTTCCCGGGTTCCCTGTTCCGGGTTCCCGGGTTCCTGGTTATTGGTTCCGGGCTGATTTCGGTGGGTTCCGGGATCCCGGGTTCCCGGTCGATCTCCTTATCGATCAAACCATGGGGTTTTTCTCTGGGGCAGTTCTTTACAAGGGACTGTGGCCGTCCGGCCCAAAAATGCAGCCAGCATTGAGGCGAGAGCACGACTGCTCAACAGACTGCGTGGACGTCTCGGGCGACACGGCTGCCAGACCGCCGCTGGACTGGGCGGTCTCTGGAACACTCCAGCGAAACCTTTGTCCAGCAGTGTCGTCGGAGGCCTGGGTTTCGCTTGGTCTTCGGGTCGTAACTCCAGTCTCCGGCCGCCTCTCGGGACGGTTCGGGCACCCCTGGGACGATCTCGACGAGGCGCAGCTGGTGAAAAGCATCCCGAGGCTGTAAAACCTCCGAGAAATAACGAGCCACGAAAGCGTCCCAAAAAGATCTTGAACAAGCTCATGTCGCCGGAGAGCTCGAGGCAAAACTGGGCTCCCGAACTGGAGACAACGGCGGCGGCGACGACCCTCAGGACAGGTCGGGCCGGCAGCGGCCAGCGACGAGGGGAGCGGGCGCGACCTGGGCTGGCGCCAGCCAGCGCGCCGACCACCGCGCGCGCGTGGGCCAGGGCGGCGGCGGAGGCCGCGAAGGCAACGAGCGGCACCTGGGCAAGACTAGCCGGCATCGGTTCGGGAAGCCAGATCGGATCGGAATGCCACGCAATGCCAAGGGGGATCACCAGTAGGGGGGGTCGTTACTTCCTTGCTTGAGGAATCGCCATGCCCTCGAGGAGATGAAGGGCCCAGAACATTCCAGAGCCCCGCAAAACGACCCCAAACGTCCAAAAACCTCCTCCACTTTCGATCCTGGAACCTCGATCCTCAGGAGGGACGGGTGACCCCGCTAGTGGTGGCCCCCCTTGGCACTGCCCAAAAATGTGCGTCGGATCGAGCTGCATCGGCGCGGGGCCGGGATCGAATCGAATCGGCTGAGCCAGGATGCACTACGCCGTGCTCCATGCAAGCATCGGACCGCATCGGATCGCCATAGTCCACAGTCTCGGAATCGACTCGGATCGAACTGGCAGAAGTCGACATCGAATCGGATCAATCGGATCGAAGTTGACCCTGCCTGGGACTCCCAGACCGCCCTCGAGATTCGAGGATGTAGGTATTTGAACGTTTCTTGCCTGTTTTTGTTGCTTGGCCTGCGAGTCTAGGCAACCCAACATCAAGTCCAGCTAAATAGGGATAATGCGTTTGGAATTGGGATCTGAGTCTCTACGCCGCGTTCCCGCGATGTGGTTGCCAAAGGTAGTGCGCACCCCGAGCTTTCATGGATGGGGTCTTGACACTTCGCGCGGGCTCGAGAAGCCAAATCCCCTCAGTCTGTTCCGACGAGGTCGACGATGCCGCTGTCGGAATCGGACGACGCCTTTAGGCAACCCAAGTACCCTGCTCGCGGGTTTTCTGGGCGATAAGGTCGGATCTGGTCGGCCCCGCCGCAATCGGCACGCACAGCAACGCAATGCAATCCGCCAATTGCAGCGCACTGGCACACTGCAATACAATTGGGAGCCTGCAGTAGATCTGGGAAGTGTAACATGTTCTCACAATATGACGCTCAAGATTTTCCCTTGTACAAAAAAACCGGTTGCGAGCCCCAGGAGGGGCACTTCAATCGAAAAACGCAGTGCACTGGAGGGTGGGATCAACACTGAACGTTCTTCAAAACTGTGAACTCCACAACAACATCAACAACCATACGAACAACAAAATCAACAACCACAACCACAACTACAACCATAACCACAACCACAGCCATAACTTCAACCACAACCACAACCACAACCACAAACCACCACCACCACAACAACAAGCATGTTAAGAGTGTTCGCTATACCTGCTAGCATGCCATTCGATACGTATATCCCAACGTCTCAGTGCTCGCCCCGCCCTATTCGTCTTCGATCGTTCCTACCTTTGGGGTATGTTTTCCCTACCTGCCACGTGTAGTTGGCGCAGCCCCTAAAACAGGGGAAGAGAGGACGGATGAAGGGGGAGGGAGAAGGATGGAGCTCTAGAGGTATTAGCAGGAGGGGGTCCAGGACCAGAAAGCACGTGGCAGAACCAGACGGGCAGATCGGGCGGGTAGACCCTGATGGACGGGTCGGGGAGTTGGGCCCAAGCGGCCAGGTCGAGCAGGCGGGTTGCTGAAGCGTTAACATGAATCGCGAGAAGTCTCGAGCGATAGCGCGATTCCCAAGTAAATCTTAAGAAAGGCAACGGCGACAGCGCGATTCCTGAGGGTTGAAGGTGCGACGCCTGAATACATTGTGGGGAAGTCCCACGATGGAGCGCGATTCCTGCATCAATTCTGAGCACGTCCCGCGCGAGAGCGCGTATTCAACATAAATTGTGAGGAAGTATCGGGCGGGAGTCGATGTTGTTGCTGTTGCTGTTGCTGTTGAAATCTCACTATCGAAGAATAATTATTCTTGATCCACCCCCTCCGGTGCACATTGCATTTTTCAATTAAAGTGCCCCTCCCGGCGCTCGCCCCCTGTTTTTTATCAGGGAAAATCTTCCTCCTCAATCTATGCCCCTGGCCCCCGTTTTACACCAACAACGGCTCCCGCTTGATACTTCCTGGAAACTTACTCCGGTCCCCCGCTCCCGCTTGAGATTTCCTCGCAATGTACTTAAGAATCGCGCTCCCGCCTGAGACTTCCTCACAATTTACTGAGGCGCCGCGCTCTTGCCATTCAGGAATCGCGCGTTCGCTGGGGACTTCCTCAAATTTCCTCCGCGCTTTCTTTCTTTCTCTCTCTCTCTCTCTCTGTCTCTCTCTCTCTCTCTCCCTCTCCCTTTCTGTCGCTCTCTCTCTCTCTCTCTCTCTTTCTCTCTCTCTCTCCATTCTTACTCATCTTGGTCTTTTAGGGGCTGTGCCCAATACACGTGGCAGTTCAGGAAGACGTACCCCTCAGAGGGGGTACGATCGAAGACGAAGAGGGCGGGTATCGGGGGTTCGGGATACACGTGGTGAGGTACGCGCGAGCAGATAAGAGCGAACAGTCTTAAAATGACTGGTGTTGTTAATATTGTTGTTGTTGTTGTCGTTGTTGTTGGTGTTGTTGTTGTTGTTCTTGTTGTTGTTGTTGTTGAATATTATTACTTCTAAAGAATAATTATTGTTGGGCCCCCTGGTGCACGCCCCCCCCGCCGCGCCTAGGCCGCAGCTACATTTTCATCATTTTCGTGAGGAAGCCTCAGGTAAAACGATGTGATCCAGATCCGGTTGTTTTGTTGTAATCCGTTTTCCCTTGCAAAAAACACTATAAAATGACATTTCTTGTTCTAATATAATCAAATTTCAAGAATCCCTTGCAAAAAATAAGGTAAAGTGGACATTCGCGCGCGCAAGACGAAATCCTTCCAAAAGCTTAGTGTTCGGAGCGATTTTAACATAAAAACATCAAAAAACCAATGGTTTTTCAACAAAAAAATGTCAAAATCTCATCCCGCGCGCTCTTGCGGATTCGTAGGAAACCCAACACTTTTTAAACATTTCTGTCAAACGGGCTTTTGCGAGCAACTTTTTCGAACTTCTGCGACAACGGTTGCGCACCTGCCAGGGCCATCATCCCTGTCAAATAATACCATGCGGGACACATTCGTTTTTTCTTCGCGCGCGCACGCCGAAATCTCCAAAAACCATTGGGCTTCTTAAGAATTTTAGCACCGCGCATCATAAAACCACACGAATCGCACCGTAGGTCCTCGAAAAACACCTGCGAGTACGTATCATGTGTATCATGTGTATCATGTACCATATGCATCATATGCAACAGATGTTCTGTGGAAGGCTTAACAACTTCTGTGGGTTAACAAGGCTTAACAACTTCTGTGGGTGTACGAACGTAGGCTTAACAACTTCTGTGGGTGTGTACTCCACGCCAGTGTAGTAGCCACGGTCGTCCGCAGGCCACGAAGTGAAGTGTCCGAACGTCATAGGGCGGGAAGCTGGGTGTGGGTGGTGGCGAAGAGTCGTGTGGATATTTGGTAGAGCTTGCACTGCCCCCCCACAAAGTGGGGGTATTGGCTGGCGTCGCATGAAAACCCTGGCACTGGTGAGAACACTGAGCGTTCGGGTAAAGTGATTGTTGTTGTTGTTGTTGTTGAACATTATTAATTCTAAAGAATAATTATTGTTGGGGCCCCTGGTGCGCGCCCCCCCCGCCGCGCCTAGGCCGCAGCCACATTTTCATCATTTTCGTGAGGAAGTCTCAGGCAAAACGGGGTATACCAGATCCGGTTGTGTTGTTACGATCGGTTTTCCCTTGCAAAAAATAAGGCAAAGTGGACATTTCTTGTTCTAACATGACCAAACTTCAAGAATCCCTTGCAAAAAATGACACGAAGTGCACATTCGCGCGCGCAAGACGAAATCCTTCCAAAACCTTAGTCTTCGTAGCGATTTTCACATAAAAACATGAAAAACCCAATGGTTTTTCAAAAAAAGGTTTCAAAAATTCACCCCGCGCGCTCTTGCGGATTTCTTAGGAAACCCAATACTTTTTCAACATTTCTGTCAAACGGGCTCTTGCGAGCAACTTTTTCACGTGCTTCGAACTTCTGCAACAAAGGTTGCGCGCCTGCCAGGGCCATCATCCCTGTCAAATAATACCGTGCGGGACACATTTGTGTTTTCTTCGCGCGCGCACGCCGAAATCTTCAGAAACCAGTGGGTTTCTTAGGAATTTTAGCACCGCGCAACATAAAATCATACGAATCGCACCGTAGGTCCTCGAAAAACATCTGTACGAATTTTCAAAATTTCTACCCGCGCGCGCTGTCCGAATCCTAAAAAACCAATGGTTTTTCACGTTACCACCAAAAACCAGTACAGGTGTCCAGTGTTGGAACAGGGGGAAAAGTCGTATACTAAGCTAGCGTCCAGAAAATGTTACCACAACAAGTCACTGTACCCATGCGCCAGTGTAGTAGCCATGGTCGTCCGCAGGCCACGAAGTGAAGTGTCCGAACGTCATAGGGCGGGAAGCTGGGTGTGGGTGGTGGCGAAGAGTCGTTTGGAAATGTGGTAGAGCTTGAACCGGCCCCCCCACAAAGTGGGGGTATTGGCGGGCGTCGTATGAAAACCCTGGCACTGGTGAGAACGGAGTGTCCCCACGTGCTAGTAATTGTTGTTGTTGTTGTTGTTGTTGTTGTTGTTGTTGTTTTTGTTTTTGTTTTGTTGTTGTTGTCATTGTCGTTGTTGTTCTTGCACCTCGGGGACCAGGGGGCCAGTTTGCTGACAGCAACAATCACATTGAGACTGTTCGCTCGTTTCTGCTCGCGTGCCATCCAACACGTATATCCCAAACCTCGATACCCGCCCCCTTCGTCTTCGATCGTGCCCTGCGGGGGTAGATTTGTCCTTCCTGCAGCGTGTATTTCGTGCAGCCCCCGAGGCAGTGGGAAAGAAAGGACAAATGGAAGGAAGGGACAAGGCGGATGGAGGAGGATGTAGCACCAGAGAAAATAGCAGGAGAGGGGGCTAGGAGAAGACGACACGTGGCCGAACCAGACTGTCAGATGGGGCGGGTAGACCCTGATGGGCGGGTCGGGAAAGCGGGCAGGGCGCAGGCGGCCAGGTCGAGCAAGCGGGTTGCTGAATCGTGCGTCCTGCATGAATCGCGAAGCAATCTTGAGCGACAGCGCGATCCCCAAACAAGTCATGAGGACATCAACAACGATATCGTGATTCCTGAGTGTCGAAGGCGCGGCGTCGGAATAAATTGTGACGAGGTCCCACGTGAAAGCGCGATGTTTGTGTGCGTCGTGGAGAAGCTCCGCGCGAGAGCGCGATTTGTAAATATATTGTGAGGACGTATCATGCGGGAACCGCTGTTGCTGTAAACTGGAGGCCAGGGGCGCAATTTGGTGACACTTCGTTTGCCAATGTTCAAAAACAGGGTGCGAGCCCGTGGAGAAACAATTCATTTGAAAAATACAATGGTTTACGGGGAGGGGGGATCAACAATTATTTGTTGGAGCTGAAAACAAACAACAGCAACCACAGCGACAACACCAACCACAACAACAACAACCAATTTAAGACGGACCGCTCTGGTCTGCTCGCGTGTCATTCAACGCGTGCACCCCAAACCCTCGATACCCGCCCTTTTCGTGTTCGATCGTACTCGCATGGGGTATATCTTGCTTACCTGCAACGTGTATGTCGTGCAGCCCCTGAGGCGGGGGAAGAGAGGACGGATGGAAGGGGACAAGGGGAGAGGAGGATGGAGCACGAGAGAGAATAGCAGAAGGTGGGCGATGAGCAGAAAACATATCGCAGAACCAGATTGGCAGATCGGGCGGGTAGGCCCTAACGGGCGGGTCGGAAGGGCAGGCCCAGGCGGCCAGGTCGAGCAACCAGTTTGCTGAAGGGTGCGTCGTCCTGCATGAATCACGATGATGTCTCGAGCGATAGCGCGATCTGCAATGGGGCCACGAAGGGCAGCGAGGGGGCCACGAAGGAACGGGGCCACGAAGGGCAGCGAGGGGGCCACGGAGGGCTGCAAGGGGGCCACGAAGGGCAGCGAGGGGGCCACGAAACGCTGCAACGGGGCCACGCAGGGCAGCGAGGGGGCCACGAAGGGCTGCAACGGGGCCACGAACGGCAGCGAGGGGACCACGAAGGGCTGTAACGGGGGCACAAATGGCAGCTATAGGGGGCCACGGAAGTCTGCACCGGGGCCACGAGGGGCAGCGAGATCCCGATTCCTAAATGAGCTGTGAGGGAGTCCTAGGCGTGAGCGCGACTCTTGGATGCCCGAGTGTCGTGAGCGTGGCGCTTGAATGAATTGCGGGGAATTGCAACGCAAACGCGCGGTTCTTGAGTAAATTGCAAGCGAGTCTCCAGCGAGAGCGTGACTCCAGAGAGAGCGATTCCTATATTACTTGCAAGAAGTCCCAAGCGAGAACGCGATTCCTAAGAAAACTGCGAGGAACTCTAAGGCGGGAGCGGGGGTCCTGGCTAAATTCTAAGGAAGTCTCAAGCGGCCAAGGGCGCAGTTTGACCCTTATAATTTTCCCTGGTAAACAAAGGTGCGAGCCCCGGGGGGAACACTTCAATTGAAAACACAATGGTAACCGGAGAGGGATATCAACAGCAATCATTCTTCAGTAGTGAGAGTCCAACAACAACAATCATTATGAGACTGTTCGCTCTTGATTACCCGCATGTCATTCAAATCGAATTCCCCACACCCTCGATACCCGTCCTTTTTTGTCTTCGATCACGCCCCATTTGGGGGGAATTCTTTCTCTTTGCGGGGGGCGGCGGGCGTAGGCGGGCGGGCAAACCTGAACGGCCGGACAATCCTTCATGGGCGTACATGTGCCCGCCATTGGCATTGGTGTGGGCCCTGCAAAAAAAGGAAGGGGGAACGAGGGAGAGTGGGAGGAAGGGAGGGGGAGGGACGAAGGAAGAGGGAAAACGCCAGGAGAGAAGAAGCGAAGAGGGGGGCGGCTGATTCTGGTGTTCTTGTCGCTCGCGGGCCGGTGTGGTTTCGCACCGCGGAGCCGCCGCCAGCTGCCTTGCCCGGGCCTGGTTGCTCCCCGGGGGAGAGAGGGAGAGAGAGAGAGAGAGAGAGAGACAGAGCGAAAGACAGATAAGACAGGTAGAGAAAGAGAGAGAGAGGGGGGGAAAAAGAGAGAGAGAAAGAAAGAGGGAAGGAGGAGGCAGGAGAGGGGAGGGAGAAGGGAGAGGAGGGAGAGGGGATAGGGCAGAGGGAAGAGAGGAGGGAGAGAAAAGGGAGGAGAGGAGGGAGGAGGGAGGAGGGAGAGGGAGGAGGAGCAGGAAGGTAAGAGCGTGAACATTCGAGGAAGTCCTGAGCGAAAGCGCCGTTCCTGAAAGAAGTCTCGGGCGGGAGTCCAGAAGGGATGGGCGATCCCGTGACCGGCGGGTCGGGCGGGTGGGACATTCAAGCGGGATGCCTGAATGTGGCGAGAGCGCGACTCCTAAGTAAATTGTAACGGCGTCCTTGGCGCAGCGTGTTTCCTGAGCGTCGAAAGCGCGATTTCTGAATTCATTGCATGAAGTCACAGGCGAGAGCGCAATTCCTGAATACAATGTGAAGGGTTCTCTGGCGGGAGCGGGGGTCTTGATTCAATTGCGAGGAAGTCTTGATTCAAATGCGACGAAGTCACAGACGGGAGCACCGATCCTGAGTAAATTGTGAGGAAGTCTTAAGAGCGGGGGTCCTGAGCAAATTTGGAGGAAGTCTAAGGCGGGAGCCGTTGTTGTTGTCATCCGAGGGCCAGGGGCACAGTTTGAGCACCAAGACTTCCCATGTTAAAAAACAGGGTGCGAGCGTCGAGTGGCACACTTTGATTGAGAAAAACAGCATGCACCGGTGATGGGGGGATCAGCAATAATTATTCTTCAGAAATGAGAGTTCAACAACAACAGAAACCACAACACAAACAGCCACAACAACACTAAAACCACAGCAGCAACAACAATATTTCTAAGACTGTTCAGTGTGATCTGCTTGCGTGCCATTCAACACGTATACCCTAAATCCTCGATGCCCGCCGTCTTCGTCCTCGATCGTATCCACATTACATGGCGTTTATATGTTTCTACATGCAACGTGTATTTCGTGTAGCCCGTATAGTAAGGCAAAAGTGGACGGATGGAAGGAAGGGGCAAGGGGCAGGCGTGTTGCTGAAGCCTGCGTCCTGCATGAATCACGAGGACGTCTCGAGCGATAGCGCGATTCCCGAATAAATCTTAGCAGCTCCACAACGAGAGAGTGATTCCTGATTGTCGAGGGCGCGACGTTTGAATAAATTGCGATAAGGTCCCACGCGAGAGCGCGAGTCCTGTATTGACTGTCAGGAAACCCCTCGCGAGAACGCGATTTGGGAATACATTGTGAGGACATATCATGCGGGAGCCGCTGTTGTTGTAACCCGGGGGCCAGGGGCCTAGTTTGCTGACGCCGCACCCGTCTTAAGAAAACGGGTGCGAGCCCCAGAAAAAACACTTTAGTTGAAAAGTGTAACGGCTACTAGAGGGGGGATCAACAATAATGAATGTAGGAAGTGAAAATTCAACGGTTTCCGCCTGGTACTTCCTCACAGTGCATTGGTGATTCGCTCTCTCGCGCGGGAGTTCCTCACAACTTATAATGAATCGCGCTCTGGCGCAGCACTTCTGTCAAATTTATTGACAGCCGCGCCCTCGACTCTCAAGAATCAGGCTCTCGCTCTCGCTCTCGCTTTTCTCATCAGTTGCCTGGGAATCGCGCTATGGCTCGGTACTTCCTCGCGATTCCTGTGGGACGCACGCTTCAACAACCAGCCTGCTCGACTTGGCCGCCTGGGCCCGGGCCCGACGTCCCGACCCATTAGTTAGGGTCTACCCGCCCGATCTGCCCGTCTGGTTCTGCCACCTAGCCCCCCTCCTGCTACTCTCTCTCTCTCTCTCTCGTGCTCCATCCTTCTCCTTTCCCCTTGTCTCTTCCTTCCATCCTTTCTCTCTTCCCTTGTTTCATGGGGTGAATCAAAGGCACGGGGTAACGAAGATATACACCAAAGGAAGCACGATCCAAGACGAAGAGAGCGGGCATCGAGGGTTTACGTCCACGTGTTGGATGGTACGCGAGCAGATTAAAGCGAGCAGTATTGAAATAATGGTTGTTGTACTCTGGGGCCAGGGGCACTCTGAGGCGCAAGACATCCCCGTGTTCAAAAAAACAAGATGCGAGCCCTGGGAGGGGCACTTCAATCGAAAGGGCACCAGAGGGGGGGTCAACAATGAATATGCTGTAGAAGTGAGAACTCAACAGCAAAGCATGATACCGGCGCAACCCCAAGCAAGGGAACGCTTCCTAAGCAGCATTGTTTGGCACTGTTTAGCAGTGGATTGCATTACTTGGCACTGCATTGCTTGCGTTACTTGGCGTTGCTTGGCGTCGCTTGGCATTGCTTGGCAATGCTTGGCATTGCTTGGCGGAAACAAAACCAAGGGACCCGGGGAGCCCGAGGAAGGCCTCTTCAAAAACAGCCAGGAAAACGAGACCAAGGATCCCTGGGAACCCGAAGAAGGCCTCTTCAAAAACAGTAGGGAAACACAACCGAGTAGCCCAGGGAAGCCGAGGAAGGCCTCTTCAAAATAGTAAGGACAAAAACAATGAAACCCAGTGAAACACGAATAAGGCGTCTTTACAATAGTAACTAAAGAAGCAAGACCAACGAAACTGGCGAACCCGATGGAAACCTCTTCAGAAATAGCAAGGGTAACAACACCATGAAATTCAAGGAACCCGAGGAAGGCCTCTTCAAGGAACCCAGTCAACGCCGTGCAAGAAGACAAGCAAGGAACCCCAGGCAAACAGAGCGAATAATCAAAACCGAAGAACCCCAAAGAACCTCAGCGCAGCGCGACCGCGTCCGGCACCCGCCTGGTTCTTAAACGAAAGATCGAAGGCAACGACTCATGATTGAAAACAGCACAAGGCACATACACTCGGCAAAGAACAGAGGCTGACCCTTTGGCCTGGCCAGCGCCGGTGTCGGCGCACGGTTGGGCGCCCCCCGGCCAGGAGCCCCTGCGCCCCCCCTGGGTGTTCCCCACGGCCGCACCTCCTCCGAGCGGTGGCACGCAGCGCCAACCTTCCGAGGCCGGGGCCGAGACACATCCACCGCCCAGGGAAGCGACGTCCCAGGACCCCACAGGTGGGGAAGAAAGATACCGATACCGCTACTCCCTGGACCTCTGCAGGAGTGTCTTCTGACCAGGATTTCGAGGCGAATCCAGCGGTGGCGACGACCTCGCAGGAAGCCGAAACAGGGACAAACGGGCGAAGGGTAGCGGTATCAGTACATTTTTCCGCCCCTGAACGGGGCAGCGGATCTGGATTCACTCGGACCCCAGCGGGCCCGATGCTTTTTTGAGGCGCGACTCGTCAGGGCTGACGTCACAGTGAAAGGACGCCAAGCAAACCAGGAACACCACACGGGCCCGAAAATGTCCATGTCCACCGGCCCCCGAGGCCCAAGCAGATCGCCGCCCCAGGCGGTGGAGATTGCAGCAGCCCCAGCCCCGGAAACCTTCCTGATGTTCTTGGCCTGCACCAGCACGGCCTCCTGGTCGCCCTCGGGGACCACCGCGAACCGCTGCTTCTCCGCCACGAACTTCCGCACCGCCCCCGCCCGGCCGTTGAGGTCCGCCCGGCCCGACAGGCCGTGGAACTCCACGCGGTCGCCGGCCTGCGGCTCCTGGAGACGGCCCGAACGGGGCCAGCGGCAGCGTCGAGGGGCGACCACAGTGCCGCCGATGCACGCCGCCGCCGCTGCACTTGTTCGCCGCCGCACCCTCTCAGCTCCTCCCTGCCCCCTCCCATCGTCCTGACAAGTACCGCATCGGCCACTCGCAAATAGACTACGGCCGTACTATTGACTTGAAGGGTGCAACGTTCAATCGGAGAACTACCAGGCTGTCTCTTGGATTACAGCCAGGGCGGCGATTAAGAAACGATCCGCTAAATGAAGAAGCAGAAGGTCAACGACAGCACGCTGGAGGTCCGAGACACGGGCCTACCGCAGCTCGAGGCGAGCGAAACGTTGTCCCTGCCCCCGCTCAAGCCACAACCTCACGACGGGCCGGAGTAGTTAGCGGCATGGATAAGAAGCTGTCCTTTGGGGCCAAATTACTGGTCCATGCTCCGCTCGGCATGCCACCCAGAGTGGGTAACAGAAGCAAGGGTATGGACCAATGGATCGAACGTCGACCACCGAGATCCCCGCCCCTGAGGGGCAACGAGAGGGGGGACTGGGCCAGGGTGCGAAACACCTAGCTGGAGTCGGCGATACATCGCCACTAGATCGGCGATATGCCCCCGATAGCGAAGCCGCACGGTCCTGGACGAGGCAGACCATCGGGCGCATATCTGCGATGAACGGGCGATTGGGGGGATAGGTTTAGCGTGGAATACGCTCATTCCCCGCTGAGCCTATTCCCCCTAACGTGGCCCCTGAAGGAAGCCTGGGTCAGCCTTGCGGCAAAATCTTGAGCTCACCCTGGCAGCCTGGGCCAGTCTCGTGCGCAGCCTCCCGGATGCACATCAGGATCTTTTTTGGAACACTGGCCATCCTCCGGGAATGCCGCCGAAGAAACGCGGGCTGGTGAGCGAGGAGGGGCTGCAAAATGACCGGCGCGCCTGTGGGTGGTGGGGAAGATCATACCGCATCGGCGATCGACCAACGGCGTCGTTTCTGGCTTCGGGCGGAAAGACGCGTGCAGTAAGCAATGGCATCGACATGAAATGCTTCCTCGCGCGAGCCCGCCGCTGCCTTCGTCTCGATTCTTTAGAGCCAAGCGTTTTCGTCTGGTTTCGGGCCCTGGTACCCTGACGCACCAACTCAGCCCGAAACATGTAGCAGAAACATGGGGACCATGGCTCCAGTCCGGTTGTTCATTTTGTTTTCATTTTTTCGCTACATCGGACCTCAGGGTTTCCTCGGGGCTGGTTTTCCATCGCGAATCCTTTTTGGACGGCCCCGGGGCCTGACGAGAGCCCCCAGAAGCTGAAAATGGGCCGACCCCTCCCGTCGTGATTTTGTCACTATTATTGCGCGTCTGGGTTGGACAACGCGCAATGGTTTTTTTTGATTTGCGCGCGGGTGATCGTCTGCCGAACACTCCTGCCCGTGGCGCCGAAACGACGAGCGAGGGGCCCGAAGAAGGGCCGAAAGAGGCGAGGGACGGACCAGGACCCGAACAGAGCCGAGCGAGGGACCGACCCGAGCAAACAGGGACCACGAAAAATCGAGGGCCCGAAACAAGCGATGCTGGCAAGACTGGCGAGACAATTTGAAGGCCGCGTCCTGGCTCCTGGGCTTCCGGCCTCAACCTCTGGCCAAGCAGCAGCATTATACAGACAAGACAGACGCAGCACGGCGGCGGAGAGCCCTTCCTCTCTTCGCGAGCCTGGGCTGGGGGGGAACAAAAGGAGCACATAAAGGATGAGTGGGCGCAGGCGGTACGGGTGCCTGCTTCTCAGCGCCTCTGTGCCCACTCATCCTCAGCCTAGCCTACAAACCCTGACGCATCGGCACAGGACACTTCAGAGAGCAAAGCTAGAGAGGCGTGAAAGGATGCCGCCCCACGCGGCAGGCGGCGAAGAGAATTTTCGCCGCTTCTCTTTGCGGGCCTGGGCGGGGGAAAAGACACAGGCAGCGCGCGAGGAGGATGAGTGGGCGCAGGCGGAACGGGTGCCTGCTTCTCAGCGCCTCTGTACTCACTCATCCTCAGCCTACTAGTCCCTGGCGCGTCGGCCATAAGACATTTCGACTGTCCGACTGTCCGACTGTCAGAGAGAAAGCACAGACAGAGAGTCATGCACAGATATCCCCGCGCGGCGGGCGGGCAAGAGTCGCCTCTCTTTGCGAGCCTTGCCGGGGGGAGGAATGGCGAAAGCACAGACGGGATAAGTGGGCGCAGGCGGAACGGGCGCCTGCTTCTCAGCGCCTCTGTACCCACTTATCCCAAACCTTCCCTACGTCCTGGAAGCTGTCCTCTGTAGCGGCCAGGAAAGGGAGTACTGCGGAACAACACTTCTGGCGGCTGGCGTCGGGGATCCGAGTAGTCCTGCCAGCATCAGACAGACGGGACAGACCAGATATCCCAGGATACATCCACCCACCTCCGAAGTATACCCCGAGAAATCTACGGGGCCTGTAAAAGCCGCGCAGGATCAAACAGTGCCTGAAAATTAAAGACATCGTGAGGGGCAGGAAAGGCATATGTAACGTTGACATTGTCAACCGCAGTGACCTCACCGACTGGTTGATCAGTGCGGGGGTCACGACCATCACACATGCGTCGAAGCCGTGAGATGGTGCCAGAGGCCCGAGGAGGCCCAGTGCAAGATTTAGTTAAATCAACTGCCTTCTTACACGAGTAGCGGCCACATCGGCGATATAATATGATATTATTTAGCCGCCTGAGCACGTGCCCACCGCCAGTGGGAGAAGAGCACTGCGAACGCAATAAATAGCTCTTGGAGACTGAGCTAGCCCAACAGTTCACGCATCGAAAACGACCCGCTGAGGGGTCCCAGAAATGCTCATGCAAGGCCCCAGAGGAGGCACCAGAGAGGACTAGGGATGGGGCCGAGGGGGCAGGGGACTCGTCAGAATCCGCCGCCCAGACCTTTTGGGCACATTCTTAAAAATCCATGCTATACAATGACCGATATACACACCAAGATTGCGCACCAGCAAACCAGAGCGCTTGATACGGTCGTGCAGGACCGTGTCCAGAGTGTGTAGGTCTGCACCTAGGTTAGCAAGTCTGTCGGCTTGCTTATTACCCGCGGAGGTGGAGTGGCCACGAACCTTGGTGACCTTAATTAGGTGATGCCCGATATCTGAAGCCGCACGGTGGACGCGTGCCCACAAGGATGCGTGATTGGCCCAGCCGTGCGTGGTAGCTTCCTACCCCATTGCCCAACCGTCAACGACATACTGGGCATCCGTGACAAACTCATAGCAGTCGGAGGGAGCGGCATGGGTTAGATAAAATAACAACGCGTAAAGCTCAGCCCCTGAAACATCCTGGGTGAGAAAGGGATATACGCCATAGGCGCCAGCACTAAGCCGAAGCCGATCATTGGCGATGGGCCCACCAAAAACATTTCGGCTACGCGGGGCAACGGAGCAAACACCCCATCCACAACGGAGAGTGAGCGGCGAGGGACCATGCTTTCCCGAGCCGTCTCCGTACATAACACCGTGCGTGTGCCTGAAGAAACGAGAGAACGTGCGCACACACGTCGTGAACAAGGCAACCGTGCGCTCGCCACCATCAGCCTCCGGGATCAAATTCATGATGAACACAGCGAGAATGGGAGGAAATCTACCCAATCGCAGGACAACACGCCAGATACCAAACAAGGCAAGAAGAGACGAGTCGGAAAGTAGCGCATGGTGACGTGGATGCATAGAATCCAATCCAACCGAAGTACGAGCTTTGTACCTGCGACACATCTGTCTGTACTTGTCCAAGGACGGGTGGGGCAAGGGCGCAAGGCAGTCGGGCGGAAACGGCGGAAAATCCAGGGCCAGGCAAGGATCATCAGGGTGCTCCTGCATGGGCTCCCAGATCGCATGCCAAACTCCTTCTCGCGCCTTAAGATGATGCTGCGGCGTACCGACTGGGGCATCTGGGTTCGGGGTGGTCTTGTCAAAAGATGCCCAATCCATAGATCCCTTGACGAAACGGTGCGCAGCAGAACCCCCTTCCTGGACAGATCGGATGGCCCATGATGTCCAGGATTGGCATCTCTGTGCCGATGCTGCACGCTCCAGAGCAGATGCGGACTCAGCCAATACTCCCCGCAGCCAATCTATGGAACCAAGATCTAGGGTACCAAGCCTATTGGCATAATACCTCCACCATGACCCATCGGGGGGAGGACTATCATCGCGCTGCGAAGGACGATATCGGCGCAGGGCTTGGCAGGCTCTCCGATAAGCGGGCCACAACTGCTTGTCAGCCAGAAATAGAAGAGTGCCAAGACGGTTAGAGAGATACCTCCAGAGCCTTCCTTCATATGACGACAGCACACCTCCAGGAAACAGTCTAGAAACCGAAAGCTGGATAGTCGAGGGGCGCTCACCCCACTTGGTGTAATCCTGCGGATCAGGCAACTGGAATAGGGCAAGCAACTCCTGGGCAGACGTCTTCAGCCAAGAAGAGGTAAGACGATCCAAATCTTCCACAGTGTTGACTGCATCAGGATCAGGAAAAGCATCCCAGGAAGGCGGACAATTTGAACACCCCACAGGCCGAATAACAGGGATGTGAGGAAGACGCCGAAAAACCGATACCAAATCAGAGTCAACATTTCCAAGAAGGGTGAGAGCAACAGGCTGATGCTTGGGGGTCAGGGGGGGTTCCCAGACCTCACGCTTAACTGCTGCCGAGAGCAAGGGGTGTACCACAAAGTAGTCAATCAACGACTGGGCACCCGCGGACTCATAGGCATGGCGATCTGGCGCGACAATGACCCCACCTATGAGCGTTAGGAAGTCCGTAGTCTGCAAGTCCTTGGGGGACATGCTCCAGTCCCCTGATATAACAAAGGGGGTGGATATAGTCTTCATGACTGCTGCCACCTGCATCAAAAGCTGAGCATTGCGATCTTCGGCGCCTTCCCCCGCATGCAAATAGACATTGGCCCAGGGGATACCTGAATCAACGACCCCATGCCATAGCTTCAGGATAAATCTCTCTGGAGGGGGCATGACAACAATCGGATCCAATACAACTTCAGAGAAGGACCTGGCATAATGCGAGACAAGGCCCACTCCTGAACTCAAGCCTCCTCTCTGAGTACTAACTGAGGGGTGGAGGTGCGCACGCATGGAACCCGTGCTTGTGAGCACGGTTGACTGCGAACTCGATAGCCTCTTCAGTACGACAGAGTTCTTGATAACCAACAACATCAAACCGATCAGAATAAGCCTCCAGGAAAATATCGGCATTGGACCAGGAGGTAACATTCACAGTAACGATGACCCAGTCCCGACGCGGCTTCTGACCGAAGGCTGACTTGTCGGGCGGGGTCTCAGATGTGCTAAAGGTCAGACGGGCCCTTGGGATTGGAGCCCTCCACCACTGCTGGGGAGTCGGCGGGAGCAGAGGTGGCGGCAGCCGACGGCGAAAACCTTCCTGACTGTCCCGACTGATCAACTGCGACATCAGGGGCGTGAGCAGGACGTTTCGGCGCAGGCGGCAATGAGGAAGAGGAACGGGGAGGAGCCCTGGCAACACGTGTTGGGGAACCTTGCTGGTCGACAGACATCCTGGGCTCCTCAGACTGGGACCGAGGTTCACTGGCAACACCAACAGGAGCATAGCCAGACATAACGATACCCTGGAGGTCCCGCAACGCCTGAGCAAGCTTCTTGTCTCTCTGCACTGCCTGGGAAGCTGCGAAAACGTCCGCCACGGCTGAGAGATCTGGGGGCGTGAAACCCTCAGGGACTGGCTCGCTCGATGGGAGATCCTGCAACTTAGACTGCCACATAGCCATATCCTGGGCGACACGCTCCTGACGAGAGCAGAGGGCGTCCCTTTCGCTCTGAAGGTACGATCGAACTCACGGATCTAGCTAGAGATCTTGTCAAACTTCTTACTGGCCCAATGGTGACGCTGCTTGTAGAACGCACGCTTCTGGGGAACCGTAAGCAAGTCGGACTTTTGTGCGCGGAGATGCTGCAACTCATCCTGGAGACCCAAGACCTGGTCACGAACGTACTTGGTCGGCGGAAGCAGGCGAAGGGAATCCAACTGGCCCAAAAGGGCCTTGATAATCTGATCAATCTGCGTAACCGAAAGCTCATTGCCATTGGTGTCGACACAGCCGCCATCAACGTCGTCGTCGACATAATCAGCCCAGAAACCACGATCGCTGCCACGACCGTCGTCGCCAGAGTGATATCCAAATCTATCCTGCACTTCCTCATCCAATGGAGCCTGAAGACGTTCATCCAAAGACCGAACTGGGGGAGTGGCAGTACCGTCAACATCATAACGATCATGGAAACGAGCACGGGGAGGAGACAAGACACGATCACTGCCACTGCCTTTGCTCCTGCCTTTGCCGTCTTTGTCGCCTTTGCGACCGTACTTTCCTGGGACCTGTCCTCTGGAGCGGCCAGGAAAGAGGGTACTGCAGAACTTACACTTCTGGCGGGCTCTTCTTGCCGAGGAAAAAGACGAGCGGGTCGGCTTGGCAGGCCCTCCCGTTCCGACGCCCCCGCTGGAGTCAGGGATGAACCCCGAGGAACCCGCACGCCGCATTCCCACAGAACTCGCGACCGTGCACGGACGCTGCTCCTGGGGGCGCGGAGGCAAGCGCGCAGTGCGCGGGGCCAGGCGACCTGGACAGCGCGCCGGGAGAGGCGCGGCAGCTGCTCGGCGGGGCTGCCCTCTGGAGGCTCACCACCAGGCGGCAGGGGAGTGGCGCCGAGGGAGGCGCATCTGCACAGTTTCCCCCGGGACCGTAGGCGACCCGAGGAGGAGGAGGGGGAGGAGGAGGAGGAGGAGGAGGAGGAGGAGGAGGAGGAGGACGGGTCGTTTAAGCCCTTCGGAGAAACCCTCCAGGCGCATCCCGGCATGTAAGCACGTGTTGGAAGGGGCCCAGGGAGACACAAACAGATACACGCAAGTCCCAGGATCCCCCATACTTTTTGCACGCGCTCTGGATTTTTGTCCTCCCCTCCACTTCCCATAGTCTCCCATGTCTCCACTGGAGTCGATACTTATTTGTGTCTGTGTGTTTTTGCTTCTCCTGACGTGTGCCTGCCATCCCGAGGCTCAACCCCGAGAGGTGCGCGCGGAGAGCTCATGGCTCGGGGCTGGCCCCTCCTCCCCCGGGCGCGCGCGGAGCGGGTGAAGACGAAGCCAGGACAAGGATAAACTCGGGCACGGAAATGACTACCTACCAAACCATCCCAACTCAACCCGAAGACCGGAATTTCGGGTTTCTGGGGGGGTACGGGCTCCAATGTTCCCCGACCCACCCACCCCACTGGAAATGGATGGCAAATTGAGGGCTTCGGGTTGGGGTGGTTTGGTGGGTGGTGAGGATGAATCGAGAATCTCAGAGATCCCGCGGGTCTGTGATGATGTCTCCGGCGCCGCGGCCTTCTCAGAGCGTTCTGGAACGCTCTGGGAAGAATTTATCCTCGTCCTAGCCGCGTCCGACGGGTCCTGGCGCACCGAGCAATCCGCGCGGACCTCCGAAAAGCCACGCTGCGGGGCCCGGACGCAAAGTGTCCACGCCCATCGCGCCAAGACAACGCTACGACGAAGTGCATTAAACAAATCGATTGCCCCCTCCCTTAAACTCAAAGTTGGCAGTGGTGCATGCGAGCAAGTTCGGGAACGACAAAATGTGGACACTGCAACGTTGGGATCGGGGTGGAGGGGTGTGAGCCATATGCCTTCTGCTGTTGGAGATGTTTCACTTCAGAATGTCTTCACTCCACATGTGTGGACACTGTTTGTCTGGGCACCACTATGCCTCTTTTTGTTTCTCCGATAGACCCTGCCTGGATACTCCGGCCTCCTCCCCGGACCTCTTGGGCCGTCAACGACACTACCGCGGGCCTCGAGATGCAGATCTGGTTCCAAGGAGGGGGCCCGTACCTCTTCTAAGGCAGTGGGCAAAATCATCACGTCGGGGATCTGGGAAGAGGGGGGCCAAAACGCACTCCAAAACACTGGACCCAGACCCCCGACTCCGACGTCATGATATTTCCCAAACGTCAACCCCAAAGGACTCAGGACTCGATCCATTCCCAGGGACGGGTTATTTTATCCCGAATCGTTTTCTGACGGTCCCCAGGCCTCGTAAGGACCCCGAAAGGCTGAAAATAGCCAGAAACCTTCCGCCGTGATTTGTTCGTGACTCGGAGGGGTCTGGGTCCAGAGCGCTGGACAAAGGGGCAACGATCGGGGGGGATAGGCATTAGGGGGGGATACATTGACCTCGAATGGCTGATACATCGCCCATGCATCGTCGATACATCTTCGATGCAGACCGGCCCATGTATCGTTTATATATCGACGACGCATCATCCTGATATCAACGATACATCGTCGATGTATCAACCATTCGAAGTCGATGCATCCCCATTTGCCCACCCACCCCCATTGCCCCCGATGGACGCCAGCCCCAAACATGCGACGTCCTGATGTGTTCACTAGGGCGTCCCCGGATGTCTCGACCTGTTCCCCAGGACCAGATTTTCATCCCGAATCGTTGCGTGACGATCCCGAGGCCTGGGGAGGGCCCCAAGAGGCCAAAATTTACCAAAACCTCGCCCTGAATTCTTCGCGAATCGAGCATGTCTGGGAAGAGGGAGGCCGAAACGCACTCCAGAACACTGGACCCCGACGTCAAACATTCTTCACAACGTCGACCCCCAGAGGTCTCGACTCATTCCCTGGGACCAGCGTTTCATCTCGAGCCGTTTCTTTGGCGGTCCCGAGGCCCCGTAAGGGCCCCCAGAGTCCGAAAATGCAGAAAACCTTCCCTGTGTGTCCATCCCCCATTTATGACGAGCGAACAACACTCATAACGGGGATCGGTCTTTAGAACCCCTTCCAACAATGGAAACGAATTATCATTTCAAAGCCCTTATTGACAGACTGGGCCCCACCAGTAACGGAAAACAGTTTTTTACCCGCGGCACCCGCTGCGCAACAACGACGACGACTACGACTACGATTGCGACTACGACCACAATCGCGACTGCGACTACGACTACCACGATTACAACCACGACTACAACCACAACTACTGGTTCCGGTTGTAATCGTCGTGCCCAGGAGGAATTAGCCTGGCGAAGGACCCAACCATATGCAGTTGTGAATACCGCAATTGTGAATACCATCTTTGCCCGCGCTCCCTATGTGGCCACAGCTTCCCGCCGGAACCCGACATGCTCAGGAACACGTTCGTTGCCGTCTTCGCGGGCGCCGACGACCACACGGACGGCGTCCCTCTGACCGAGGAGCAAAAGCAGAAGAGGGCTATGAGAGCCATCAGGGAGGAGGTGGCGTTGCACGTCGACGCGGCGGAGTACGACGCCCAGGCGCGGTTGTTGAAGCAACACATCTATGGGGCCACGATCCTCGTGAGGGGTGTGCCGCAATGGCCCGGGGCCGCCATGCGAACCTTGCCACTGGCGCCTTCGCTGGAGTTCCTGTGGGGCCACGATCCTCGTGAGGGGTGTGCCGAAATGCCCCGAGGCCGTCATGCGAACCTTGCCACTGGGGCCTTCGGTGGAGCTCCTATGGGGCCACGATCCTCGTGAAAGGTGTGCCGAAATCGCCCGAGGCCGCCATGCGAACGCTGCCACTGGGGCCTGCGGTGGAGCTCCCTATGGGGCCACGATCCTCGTGAGGGGTGTGCCGAAATGCCCCGAGGCCGCCGTGCGAACCCTGCCACTAGCGCCTTCGGTGGAGCCCCCTATGGGGCCACGATCCTCGTGAGCCGAAATGGCCCGAGGCCGCCATGCAAACCCTGCCACTGGCGCCTTCGGCGAAGCTCCCTATGGGGCCACGATCCTCGTGAGGGGTGTGCCGAAATGCCCCGAGGCCGCCATGCGAACGCTGCCTCTGGGGGTCTTCGGTGGAGCTCCCTATAGGGCCACGATCCTCGTGAGAGGTGTGCCGAAATGGCCCGAGGCCGCCATGCGAACCCTGTCAATGGGGGCCTGCGGTGGAGCTCCCTATGGGGACACGATCCTCGTGAGGGGTGTGCCGACATGACCCGAGGCCGCCATGCGAACCCTGCCACTGGCGCCTTCGGTGAAGCTCCCTATGGGGCCACGATCCGCGTGAAGGGTGTGCCGAAATGGCCCGAGGCCGCCGTGCGAACCCTGCCGCTACGATCCTCGTGAGGGGTGTGCCGAAATGCCCCGAGGCCGCCATGCGAACCCTGCCACTGGCGCCTTCGGTGGAGCTCCCTATGGGGCCACGATCCCTATGAGGCCGCCATGCGGCCACTGGCGCCTTCGGTGGAGCTCCCTATGGGGCCACGATCCTCGTAGGGGTGTGCCGAAATCGCCCGAGGCCGCCATGCGAACGCTGCCACTGGGGCCTTCGGTGGAGCTCCCTATGGGGCCACGATCCTCGTGAGGGGTGTGCCGAAATGGCCCGAGGCCGCAATGCAAACCCTGCCACTGGGGCCTTCGGTGGAGCTCCCTATGGGGCCACGATCCTCGTGAGGGGTGTGCCGAAATCGCCCGAGGCCGCCATGCGAACCTTGCCACTGGCGCCTTCGGTGGAGCTCCCTATGGGGCCGCCACGATCCTCGTGAGGGGTGTCCCAAAATGGCCCGAGGCCGCCATGCGAACGCTGCCACTAGGGCCTTCGGTGGAGCTCTCTATGGCGCCGCCACGATCCTCGTGAGGGGTGTGCCGAAATGACCCGAGGCCGCCATGCGAACCTTGCCACTGGCGCCTTCGGTGGAGCTCCCTATGGGGCCACGATCCTCGTGAGGGGTGTGCCGAAATAGCCCGAGGCCGCCATGCGAACCCTGCCACTGGCGCCTTCGGTGGAGCTCCCTATGGGGCCACGATCCTCGTGAGGGGTGTGCCGAAATCGCCCGAGGCCGCCATGCGAACGCTGCCACTGGGGCCTTCGGTGGAGCTCCCTATGGGCCGCCACGATCCTCGTGAGGGGTGTGCCGAAATCGCCCGAGGCCGCCATGCGAACGCTGCCACTGGGGCCTTCGGTGGAGCTCCCTACGGGGCCACGATCCTCGTGAGGGGTGTGCCAAAATGGCCCGAGTCCGCCATGCGAGCGCTGCCACTGGGGCCTTCGGTGGAGCTCCCTACGGGGCCACGATCCTCGTGAGGGGTGTGCCGAAATGGCCCGAGGCCGCCATGCGAACGCTGCCACTGGGGCCTTCGGTGGAGCTCCCTATGGGGCCACGAAGCGCTGCACTGGGCGGGTGAAACGCAGGGAGGAGGGGGGATGAGGGGGAGGAGGAGAGGAGAGGAGGAGGAGGAGGAGGAGGAGAAGGAGGAGGAGGAACGCGGGACGACGTCTCTTCAAAACGAGGACCCAACACCACAGGATGTTTGGGAAATTATCCTGGCGAAAGACCCAACCATATGCAATTGTGAGTGCCGCAATTGTGAATATCTTCTTCGGTGGCGCTCCCTATGGGGCCACGAAACGTGTAAGGGTGTGCCGAAATGGGCGTGCGGGACGCATGTGGGCACACTCACTGGGGCCGTCGGTGGAGCTCCCTATGGGGCCACGAAACGAGTGAAAGGTGTGCCGACATGGGTGTGCGGGACGCATGCGGGCACACCCGCTGGGACCTTCGGTGGAGCCCTCTACGGGGCCACGAAACGTGCGAGGGGTGGGCCGAAATGGGTGTGCGCGACGCATGCGGGCACACCCACTGGGGCCTTCGGCGGAGCTCCCTATGGGGCCACGAAGCGCGTGAAGGGTCACGAAACGCGAGAGGGGTGTGCCGAATTGGGTGTGCGGGACGCATGCGGGCGGCTGCACTGGGGCCTGCGGCGGAGCTCCCTATGGGGCCACGAAACGTGTGAAGGGTATGCCGACATGGGTGTGCGGGACGCATGCGGGCGGCAGCACTGGGGCCTTCGGTGGAGCTCCCTGTGGGGCCACGAAACGTGTGAGGGGTGTGCCGAAATGAATGTGCGGGACGCATGCGGGCGCGGGCACTGGGGCCTTCGGGTGCCGAAATGGGTGTGCGTGACGCATGCGGGCGCGGGCACTGGGGCCTTCGGCAGAGCTCCCTATGGGGCCACGAAACGTGTGAGGGGTGTGCCGAATTGGGTGTGCGTGACGCATGCGGGCGCGGGCACTGGGGCCTTCGGCGGAGCTCCCTATGGAGCCACGAAACGTGTGAGGGGTGTGCCGAAATGGGTGTGGTGACGCATGCGGGCGTCCCCGCATCGGTGGAGCTCCCTATGGAGCCACGAAACGTGTGAGGGGTGTGCCGAAATGGGTGTGGGTGACGCATGCGGGCGCGGGCACTGGGGCCTTCGGCGGAGCTCCCTATGGAGCCACGAAACGTGTGAGGGGTGTGCCGAAATGGGTGTGGGTGACGCATGCGGGCGCGGGCACTGGGGCCTTCGGTGGAGCTCCCTATGGAGCCACGAAACGTGTGAGGGGTGTGGAGCCGAAATGGGTGTGGGTGACGCATGCGGGCGCGGGCACTGGGGCCTTCGGTGGAGCTCCCTATGGAGCCACGAATCGTGTGAGGGGTGTGCCGAAATGGGTGTGGGTGACGCATGCGGGCGCGGGCACTGGGGCCTTCGGTGGAGCTCCCTATGGAGCCACGAAACGTGTGAGGGGTGTGCCGAAATGGGTGTGGGTGACGCATGCGGGCGCGGGCACTGGGGCCTTCGGTGGAGCTCCTATGGGGCTACGAAACGCTGTACTGGGTGGGTGAAACGCAGGGAAGAGGGGGAGGAGGGAGGGGGCAGCGGGAGGAGGAGGAGGAGTGAACGCGGGGCGCTGTCTCTTCAAAACGAAGACCCAACACCACAGGATGGTTGGGAAAAACATGATCCAGCCCGCCCAACAGTAGAGGACAAACAGGTTCCGCCGCGACGACGACTACGAAGACGATAACGACCGCGAGGAGAAGCAGGAGGAGGACGGGGAGGAGGGGAAGAGCAGGAGGAGGACGAGGAAGAGGACCAGGAGGAGGACGAGGAGTAGAAGGACGAGGAGAAGGAGGAGCAGGAGGAGGATGGGTGGTGGAGGAAGTTGAGGTGGAGGTGGAGGAGGAGGAGGAGGAGGAGGAAGAGGAGGAGTAGGAGCAGGAACCGGAGGAGGAGAAGGAGGGTCGAGTACGTTCCCCGCCAAAAGAAACAGAGGGGCTAAAGACCACTCGAGGTGAGCGGCGGCAGATGGGGCTATGGGCGCGTGCTGTCGGATGGGGTCCCCGCATGAACGCGAGCCTCTCCAGCGGCCTGACAACCCGCACCCGTACCCATAGCCAATCCTCATCCCTCCAACCCCAATATGGGTATGGGTGTGTTTTTCTTGGGGGTGGGAAAAAAGGTACCGATACCGCAACTACCCGGACGTCTCCTGGGGTGCGCTCTGACCAGGAAGGGGGAAGAAAAAAAGAGGGAAAAGGGGAAAAGGAGACCCGAAGAGTGGAAAAATACCTGTTCCTCCTCTGATATTACGTTCGTTGCTGTACGCCCCGATGGACCTTGCCTGGATGCTAGAGGCCTACTAGATGGGGCCGGAAGATGTCGCCGCATCGCCCGATACATCGGCGATACATCGGCGATACATCGCCGATGCATCGGCGATGCAATGGCGGCGTCAGCGATGCATCGGCGACATCGGCGTGGAGAAAATTGGGCACCACGTCGAGCCGCATCGTCGATGCATCGGCGATACGGCGCGATCCTCCGAACCCATCCACTCCGACCCCATCTAGGAGGCCTACAGATGCGCCGTCGCTGGACTCCTTGTCGGGACGCAGTGGCGCAGACGACACTGGGAACACTAGCGCAGAGGATTCGCAGAGGGACCCCGAGGGCCTCCAGAGCAGAGGCCACCGGGATCCGCGAAGATCCCGGAGGGCAGCGAAGGCTTCCAGAGGCTCACGGGGCACCGATCATGAAGATCTCGCCGGCGCTTGACGCTTGGGCGATCCGCAGAACTCTGCGAGAATCTGATGGCGTCTGGGAGAATTCGGAAGAATCTGCAAGAATCTGGAAGAATCCAGATCCCCTGCAGGATCCCGGGTGCCTCAGGAGGGGCCCGCCTTCTTGTCGAAAAGGGCGCGCCGCGTCACCGCGGCGCCACTCGGTCCGACCCGAAGACCACCGAGAGCAGCCGAGGGCCCCCGCCAGGACGCGCGGATGCGCCGAAACTTCCCTCTGGGCGGCCGCCCGCCTCCGGGCCGCGGCAGCCGCTCGGCGGCGCGGCCTCCGCGCCCCGGCCCGCGGCAGGGGCCGCGCACGGCTGCCCGGCGCCGTGCGGCACGGCCCCCGCCGGGAGCCCCGCCGGCTGGAACGCCGCCTCGGCGACGACGACGACGACGACGACGACGACGACGACGACGACGACGAGGGTCCCAGACCTGCTCGGGCCACGAACAAAAACACGACGGCGTTTCTGTTGCTATTTTCGGCGGCTGGGGGCCCTCGCCGGGCTCCAGGACCGTCAACAAAATAACTCAGGATGAAAAAACCCGCCCTGGGGAATGGGTCGAGACCTTTGGGGGTCGACGTCGAGAAAAAATCATGACGTCGGGGTTCTGGGGGTGGCTGCTTGGATCACCACGGGGATTACCGTCTGGGGGTCGATCTTCAGGGCCCTCGGCTGGCGGTGGATATGGATGTGGATGCGGACATCCATATAAGTGCATACGTGTGTACGTGTATCTGTATGTGCAATGATACACGGTATTTTAGATTATACATACACGTGTGCGTGTACATGCATACGTCCACATATACATTGAACATGTACACCGTCTGCACTTCTGCATGTATACGCATGAATTACATCTGTAAATCTGCTGTGAGTGCGGTAGAGGCAGTTCCCAAGAGCCATGCTTGCATGGTTGTGCAACGCTGATTTTCGGAATCGACTTCTCTCTCTCTCTCTCTCTCTTCTGTTTTTTGTTTGGTTCTCTCTCTCTCTCTTTCTCTCTCTCTCTCTCTCTCTCTCTTTCTTCTTTGGCCATTAAAAGATTCATTCTGTGAGCCCGCCATAAAGAGAACCGACTCGTACATGCCCCTCAAAAGGAATCAATCAGCTAATCCTCCACAGAGTGAGGCAATCTGCAAATCTGCCACACACTGATTTCTATGGTGTGCGGCCCCAGGAGATCTCCCGAGGCCTCGGACAAAATTGTGCTTGTTTGCTGATGCTTGGTTTGTGCGCGCGGGGCTGCGCGCGCCGAGCAGGTCGAGCGTTGGCAGAACTGGGTTTAGAGGGACCTGGTTTAGTGATAGGTACTCAGGGGGCGCCCACCCCGCCCCTTTCCACTAACCGGAGTTGCCATCACCCGAAATTATCCGAGCGAAGGACCCCACAATATGCAGTTGTGAGTAACGCGTTGAGGGTGACACTTTCGATGGAATTCCCTATGGGGCCACGAAGCGCGTGAGGGAAGTGCCGAAATGGGTGGGGGAGACGCATGCGGGCGGTGACACTGGGGCCCTCGGTGGGGCTCCTCATGGGCCACGAAACGCTGTACTTGGTGTGGCTGACGCATGCGGGCGGTGCCCCTCGCTGGCTGGAGCTCCCGATGAGGCCACGAAATGCTGTAATGGTCGGGGGAAACGCATGCGGGCGGTGCCATTGGGAACTTCGGTGGAGCCCCCTACGGGGCCACCAAACGCTGTACCGGGGGGGGCGCATACTGGCGGTGCCAGCGGGGGCCTTCGATGGAGCTCCCTCTGGGGCCACGGGAGGGGGGGATGCATGCGGGCGGTGCCTTCGGTGGAGCTCCCTATGGGCCCACGAAACGCTGTACTGGGTGTGGCTGACGCACGCGGGCGGGCTCCTGGAGCTCCCTACGGGGCCACGGAACGCTGTACCCGGTGGGGGCTGACGCATGCGGGCGGTGCCACTGGAGCCTTCGGTGGAGCTCCCAACGGGGCCACGAACGCTGTACTGGGTGGTGGCTGACGAATGCGGGCGTTGTCAGTAAGGCCGTCGGTGGAGCTCCCTACGGGGCCACGAAACGCTGTACCGGGTGGTGGCTGACGCATGCGGGCGGTGCCACTGGGACCTTCGATGGAGCTCCCTGTGGGGCCACGAAACGCTGTACCGGGTGGGGGGGGCGCATGCGGGCGGTGCCACTGGGGCTTGGTGGAGCTCCCAAACAATGCGGCCGCGAAATGCAGTACTGGGCGGTGGCTGACGCATGCGGGCGGTGCCATTGGGGTCTTTCTGTGGAGCTCCCTACGGGGCCACGAAAAGCTGTACTGGGTGGTGGCTGACGCATGCGGGCGGTCCCACTGGGACCTTCGGTGGAGCTCCCCATGGGCCCACGAAACGCTGTACTGGGTGGTGGCTGACGCATGCGGGCGGTGCCACTGGAGCCTTCGGTGGAGCCCCATTGTGGGGTCACGAAACGCTGTGCTGGGTGGTGGCTGACGCGTGCGGGCGGTGCCACTGGTGTCTCGGTGGAGCCCCGTACGGGGGCACGAAACGCTGTGCTGGGTGGTGGCTGACGCATGCGGGCGGTGCCAGTGGGACCTTCGGTGGAGCTCCCTACGGGGCCAAGACGCTGTACTGGGTGGTGGCTGACGCATGCGGGCCGTGCCACTGGAGCCTTCGGTGGAGCTCCCCATGGGCCCACGAAACGCTGTGCTGGGTGGTGGCTGACGCATGCGGGCGGTGCCACTGGGACCTTCGGTGGGGCTCCCTACGGGGGCACGAAACGCTGTGCTGGGTGGTGGCTGACGCATGCGGGCGGTGCCAGTGGGACCTGCGGTGGAGCTCCCTACGGGGCCACGAAACGCTGTACTGGGTGGTGGCTGACGCATGCGGGCGGTGCCACTGGAGTCTTCGGTGGAGCTCCATACGGGGCCAGGAAACGCTGTACTGGGTGGTGGCTGACGTATGCGGGCGGTGCCATTGGGGTCTTTCTGTGGGGCTCCCTACGGGGGCACGAAACGCTGTGCTGGGTGGTGGCTGACGCATGCGGGCGGTGCCACTGGTGCTTTCGGTGGAGCCCCCTATGGGCCCACGAAACGCTGTCTCCCTGTGGGGGCACGAAACGCTGTACTGGATGGTGGTTCACGCATGCGGGCGGTGCCACTGGTTCTGTCGGTGGAGCTCCCTATATGGGGCCACGAAAAGCTGTACTGGGTGGTGGCTGACGCATGCGGGCGGACCTACTGGGCCCTTCGGTGGAGCCCCCTTATGGGGCCACGAAGCGCTGTACTGGGTGGTGGCTGACATATGCGGGCTGTGCCACTTGGGGCTTCAGTGGAGCTCCCTATGGGGCCACGGAACGCTGTGCTGGGTGGGTGAAACGCAGGTTGGAGGGAGGAGGGGGAGGAGGGGGAGGAGGAGAGAGACGCGGGGCGCTGTCTTTTCAAAACGAGGACCCAACACCACAGGATGGTTGGGAAAAACACCAGCTGCGGCAGACCTGGTTTGGCGATTCTGGCCAATTTAGGGGCTCCGGGGCCCTACTACTGACTGGGTCCCCTCACCTGGGGTCCTGCTCATACCCGAGCAGGGGCTGCGCGGCGCCGAGCAGGGGCAGCGGGGACCAGGGGCAGCGAGAGCCTTGGTGGACCGCCCGGGCGGCGGGTGTCCGAGCGAGGGCCTTGGTGGACCGACCAGGTGCGACAGGAAGCCGCGGAAACGGTTGCAGAAGGCCTGGTGGACCGGCCCTGGGGCGAGAGGAGCCGCAGAAGCGGTGAGAAAGCGTGGGCTGGGCAGACCGAGAAAGGGCCGAGGAGGAGCGAGCCTCGCTCTGGACTGCGTGCCGGGACGGGCCTGCGGACCACTCTGGGTTTCTTAAAAAGCGTGGGTGGGGGGTACCGCCCCGACGGGGGCCAACCTCGCCTCGTTGTCGCGCCGCGACGGGGGTCGGAGCGCCTTCGGCGCGCGGTGGCTGCCCGCGACGGGGGTCGATGTGGGGCTGTCGGCGGGGGTGACGCCCCCCCCCGACGCGTATTGAGAAACTCGGAGTAGAGTCGCCGCTCCCCCAATGTCCCCTGAGAACGGCGTTGCAAAACAAATGCGGCATCGCGGAAAAACGAGACTGGAGCACCAGATCCCCTATCTTTCTGAGTCATTTTTCGAGCAGGATCGATCTGTGATTGCCCCAGGGCCCGGAAGCGGGCGAAAACAACCACTGCGAAAAACAAACCAAAGTCAGGATCTCATTGTCGACCTTCCTGGGCTTCGGGCTATGGGGGTTTTACCCACGGCGCGATACACCATAATGATACTTCCACCCTCGAGCACTGCATATTACCGCTGTAAAGCTGCGCCGCAGCGTGCGTCAGAGGAGCGGATGGATGGCGTTAGATCTCTCGACACCGCGTGCTGCTTCCAAACAAGAGCCATGGTACTCACTAGGTCACTGGGAAGACAAAACGAGGCGAGCAGACAACTAGAAGGCGGGAGACCGCAGGGCTGGCGACGTCCAAAACAGTCAAATTGAGAATGTCGCTGTTGCGGACAGTGTCCAGGTCTAGCTTAGACAAGGTGGGTGATACAGTGGCCTCGCGAATTTGGCTTGTCTGGGGACATGCAACGCAAGACATATAAAAGTTAGGTGGAAAGGAGGAGGAGGAGAGGGAAGAAGATGAGGAAGTCTTTAACCGAGGCCTTTACGGGGCGCAGTGGCGCCGTCTGGGACAGGACGAGGACGAGGAGGAGGCCAATCGAATCGACAAGTCGGATCAGCGTACGAAATGGATCGGATCGGCGGAGATCGGCTGCCAAGTCGGGAGAAGTCGAATCGGTGGAGACATCGGAATCCTAATCGGAATTCGTGGTCGAATCGAATCGGGATCGGAATCCGTCGCAGACACATCGAGTCGAGTCGGGAGAGTCGGCACGAGCCCTGCTGCCCGACCGATCTCGTCCACCGCTGGGGCCTTCCCGAGGCGCAGGTGGTGCCGTCTTTAGCGCGGGCCGCGGCTGGAGCCGCGGCCTCCGCGCCACAGCTCCCTTGGGCGTCTCTTAACGGGGGGCGATAGGAAGAAGAGAGGTGCACTTCTCGGCCGGGGGGGGGAAGAAGAAAGGAGCACTTCTCCGGCCCCAAGAGGCCCCCTGTGTGGCCTTCAAGGGGTTTCGTGCGCGTATCTTTCCGTCCCTGTATCCTTCCGCAAGATGACCCAGGATGCGCCTCGATGGTCTTCTTCGGAAAAGTATGCACACACGTCCGAGCGATGCCAAGAAATGGAGGTGCACCTGTCGGGCCCCAAGGGCCCCCTTTGTGGCCCTCAGGGGGCCCCTTGAGGGCCACTAAGAGCTACTTTTTTCTGCAGCCCTCGCTGCCACCCCGCTGATCGCCCCCCCACTGCGCGACGCCCGACTCTGGCGTCGTGCGGCCGCTCTGGCCGATCTGGACAACTCCGGGGCGCCTCTCGACGAGGCGCAGCCGATTGAAAGCACACCGGGGCCCGACCACTGTTTTTAGTCCGCGGCCGCAAGAGAGTATGCGCTGGGACGCAGGCGAACTAATTGGGGCACAGATTGGAGCGCGAAGCGGAGGGGGCCAGGAGAGGGCCGGGGGGCGGGGGGGGGCCACGCTGGGTCCCCCCGAAAACATCCACAGAGGCAAAACTGGCAACAGAGCAGCACGCCAGAACAACATGACACAACGCAACACAAAACAACACAAGAGGAAACACAACACACGAACAAACAAACAAACAAGAACTCCGGCCGAAAGGGAGTGTCCAGAATTCAGTGGCAACTCCTGAGATCCTCCCGAGCCATTTTTCTGACTCTTGCGAATCGAAGCTGATCGACGCTAAATCGACGCTGGTCGGAGCCAAATCGACGCTAGTCGACGCAAAATCGGCGCCTTCTCATCGATTACCAGACGCTAGCGCACGCTAACGCACTCTAAAGACGGAATGGGCATACAATAGAGGCCTCCCAGATAGGGTCAGAGTAGATGGGGTCGGAAGGTCTGGACCCGAGTTCTGGCGAATCGACGCTAGTCGACACTACAAGCCTGTAGTAATCAACGCGACCCGACGCTACACCGGCGCTAATCGACGCAAGCCAGCGCAACATCGGCGCTACTTCATCGACTACCAGCCGCTTATCGACGCCAACGCACTCCAATAACGGAAATCGAAAGGTATACAAGACTCTCATGACTTGCGCCCGACCGGCAACAACTCCCGCGCCGTCAACCGAACCTTGGGCCAGGAGCACCTTTGGCCGTAGTGGTTCTTGGAAGCGACGGGGCCATTTGTTGCAAAATCTGCGTGTTGGCGTTTTTGACCACGGTCCTGGCGACATCTTTTTGGGGCTTCCGTCGCAATTTGCTTTCCGCTTCCGGCTCCGGTTTTATCCTACAGCCCTGCTTTTCCGTTTCGACGAACCGTTTTCGTTGCCGCTCTCACTCTCGAGCTCAAGTTTTCTGGAAACGGTTCAAAAACGGCCCTGCTGTTTCCAATAACCACTAAGCCTTTAGCAGCCCTCGGAGGAAAACTGCTGGCCTCCCAGCCGAGGCACCCGCGGCCCACGCGGGCCTTTGGGCCGCGCGCGGCCGGCCTGGCCCCTCCCTGCCGAGCCCGACCGACAAAACCCCCCGCGCCATCGACCGAACCTTGGACCAGGAGCACCTTTGTCGACCTCTCGCAAGAGTGACCGTGGGCAAGGAGCAACCTCTGCTGCGCGACTTCCGGGGGGCGCGGAGGAGCCAAATCCGAACGCGGAAGCCGCTGCTATCGCACCGCATCCAGCCATCTGGGGACCCCTGCGAAAGGTCCGCCTCCGAGGTGCGCAGCTTCTTTTTCTCCGACTGCGCACATCACAGCGCAATGGGAAGGGATGGGTGGAAGGGGCAGGATGCGAGGATGCGCACCAGGAGTCACTCCGGCGAGAGGTTCGCCTCCGCGCGGCGAGCGCCTGACCGGCCCGGGGGTGGTCGGCGGGGGGCTTCCGCGAGGAAGAGGACGGAGGAGGTCTCTCTTACGTGTGGCTGACTTCGCCAACCCTCGACAAGAAACCTCTGGCCTCCCAGCCGAGGCGCCCGCGGGCCGCACAGGCCCCTGGGGCCGCGCACGGCCGGGCGACCCGTGACCCGTGCTGGCCCCGCG